GCCTGACAGAAGCCGATTGCCGGCACTTTTGTTTATCAGAGATCCTTTCTACTCCGTACTATCGCCGTCGCATCGTCTTTGGCGGTCACCAAAGGTCCTTTTTACTATCGCCGCATCGCCGCTAACGAGGCGTCAATCGTGCGAGTCCGGGGTCATATTATGTGGCGTTTAGAGTGCGCCGACTACTTAGTCTCAGCCCATGAGCCGTCGTGTCCAGTCAAACTTAAAATTTTGGGTGATGTCAAACGTGAACAAAGAGTGAGATATGTCTGTCGTCGATCGTATCCTGCGGGCGCCACTTATTAAAGCATAACCTGGAGAACAAGCGGGACGGGTCGAAGAGTCGACGACTGTCCATTATAATTGTCTTTGTTGCGGATGCAGCTAGGAGTTATAGGAAGAAGTCTGTCGTCGTCGAGAAGGTTCCAGGGCACGTAGCTATCTAGGTCAGTAACTATACGCCGACCAAGGCTGTTGATGATGTCGTTGAATCAATTCAGAACAAAGAAACCGCTCCTGAGCTGTAGAATGTCCGGTTATTTGACCAATGGTTGAGGGCATAGGCACGTGCCTGATGTTGGCTGCGGGCTAAGGTAGGGATCCAGTTAGCCTGGCAGGCCGCAGGAATAGCGCTGGACGGGGCCAACTTCCAAGTTAGGACCTGTGTCAAGGCTTCAAAGGCCAAGAAGAGTCAAGTGTCGGTGTTGGTGTCGGTGGCTGACAGTAGTAGTGACAGTAGTGAGTCTAGTGACAGGCTGACAGCCCGTGGTGTACTTTTGACAAGCAACTTTCATTCTAACGTCAAGATAGCGTTACCGAACTCCAAGTGACGACGCTAATGATCGCGGCTCGATGGTTGGGGCCTCAACCCGGAATATAAAGCGATATACCTACAGCATTCTTCCTTGGAGCTGTTTAGAGATCCGCTCCATGCCATCATCAAGCGACGTGATGGACACGACGAGCACGATGGTGGATTTGTCCATATCGTGATTTCCGAGCGCTCCCCGAGTCTATCCCCACCAGGCCATTCTTATACGGCTACCAAGGTTCATCGTCAGTTGCACTTGCTCATGGGGTGACGGTCGGAAATGAGGAGATATCACACCGGCTTCGACAAATCACAGAGGCAACGGCTCGGGAGCAGCGTCTCCGCCGGCTTTCGAAGGAGCGCAACACGGGTGGATGGCGGGACGGCTCGAATTGGTCTCAGCGTCAGTCACGACTCGCGAAGTTGCCATGCTGGAATCAGGAATGTGATAAAGGCAGGGACAGTCGAACGGCTTTCTGTCGCCTTGTGCCGTGTTTGCCCCAGGACGCGTTGACGATAATCTAAATTGATGAAATGGACGTGCGGCGCTGGTCGGTGGTTGCATTGGCGTGGCGTCCAACGGCCGCCAGGGGTCGACTCGGCAATGGGCATCCTCAAGGTAAGGCCGTTCAGGCACCCAGGCAAGCACAGGCAGGCATCCTGGCAATATCAGGCAGGAAGTGCACGTGCCACACCAGTCCGATTTGGAAGTGACCATTGACGATCACTACCACCAAGTTTCCGTCGCCATCACTCGAGTCCTCGACGTCAATTATCGTCATATCTACGAAGTATCCAGAATACGGAGCACATGGAGTCCAGACTCGATCATCCGGAAAACCCCCTGTTCGTCGTCCAGCTTACAAGTTACCACTTCCGCGATACGATCAGTCGATCACCCTTTTCCAGCGGCGGTGGGTGAGTGAAATATCCACCGACGGCGTGTTTCATTCTTCGCCACAACTCCCACAAGGCCCACAAGAGCTCGGAAGAAAGGGGGCTTCGCTGGGAAACCATTGGCCCAAGATCCAGCTTTGCGATGGCATCCAGATCAGAAATCAATCGATTGGATGAACGGTGGGTTCCAAGCACATGGTTCGTCGATATCCGGTAGTTGCCCCTGTGAGTCGGACCCCGGGGAATCGGGGTCCTCTTGATCGTCTGACGTCGAGTCTTCGAAGTTCGCCCTTTTGAATTTGATCTCTTCTGAACTTTTCTGCGCCGCTGCCGCTGGTGATGGCTAAGCCTCACCCGCTTGCGTCTATCTTTGCGACTAAGGTTCTAGCCTCCGATTCAGGCCGCGGCCGCATGATTTCATCCCCGGCGCGTGAAGTCTACAGATTCTTCCAAATGGCACGTCGCTGACTTAGGGCTGCGGATCTATGATATCAAAGCTGAGTGGGCACTTGCTTCTGAGCCGTCAACCGTGGAGTTAAGACAAACATCAAACTCTCGCCTTACTTCGTTTCTTCGTTGAGTTGACTCGGAATGGCAACCTGACAGATGAAGAAATCCCCACGGTGTGGATTATAGTGGACCTTCTGCGAGCTGCCTACCCACGAGCCAGTAGCGCACCCGTGTGTTATGCTCATGATCCGTGAAAATGCTATCTGGCGGGATTTGCGCCACTATGATCAGGACCACATCGCTGAAGAATAGTCGACTTGGGCGAGATGCGGGTGAGCCCGCTCTAGATAAACCGGTGTAGTCTCTCGGAACATTCGGATGATGGAAATACTACGGAGTACTACACCAAGTGGGAGCAAGTTAACGAGATCGACTCTGTTTTCTTCTCATTGGTCCAGAATATTCCAATCAGGAATTTATGCAGGCCAACCATTCCAAATACCCAGCTCGTTAGTCCTGCTATACATACTCCTCCGTGACTCCAGTCTGACGTCTCCTGACCGGCAGTCCGAGTTGAAACTAGACGGCAGGGTTGTGGATTTTCCTGGTTAGAGCCATCTGATTAAAGCATGCATGACCCAGTACACCATCTGGCCTGCACATAATCAAAGTGAGGCCTGTCTAATTATCTACGGTACGGACCATGACTGTGCAAGCCGGCTAGTACGACAGGTTGACCTGGACTCTGTATGCAGAGGGTGTATATCCGTCACTTTTTCACAACGGTCCGCCTACTCTGGCCAACATAGGATCACCATTGGAAATGGTTGCAGAATGAACCAGATAATTTTCGCTTGTCAGGTTCCCAACCCCTTCGTCGTTGAAGCCTGGACCTTGAGCTAGTTTGTCAAGCTTAAGCGCCCTACCACTCCTTCCCTGACGTCCCCTGCAAGCGGCGAGGATTCCCTTTCCTACAAGCGAATAACAAGCCGCGAATATACGATGGACAGGGGCTTCATGCCACACCCGTTGCACTGCAGTCTGCCTAGGGAAGGTAATCCTGCACTCTATAAGCAGGTAGCCATATCAACCGCGCCGTGGCCGGTCCGAGGCCGAGAGCCTACGAAGCACCCTGGCGGACAATTGAATTGTGTGATGCTGCTGCAGATGCAAGCGCATGGGGTATTCTTGACCCCTCACGAGCTAAACATGGCTTTCGAGCTCGAGGTTGACCGACTCGGACGACTTAAACTCCGCAATCTTATTCCTCACGGCCGTGATGCGCGACATCTATTTCCTCGAGGAGAAACTATCGGTAAACGCGAATCCACCCGGAGAAGGAAAAAGAAAGCAAGAACCTTGAGTCCACCGAGATCGGAGAGCTGTGCCACAATTATCCCGAGAAGTTGTCGTAGCATTTCTGCATAGGTCAGGCAAACAAGCCCCCAATTGACCAATTTCACTCTTTCCATGTCGCAACTCTGCATTCTGCCATGTTAAAAAAGTCCGCAGAAGCACCGAACCTGCAGGGCCTTTCGCAGACCGAAACTCGGGTCTCCCCTGCCAAAATCGGTATGTGCACCCGGAGAAAACCAGAAGCAGATCTTGCAGAAATGTTTGCTTTTTCCAGTATTCCATTTTTTCCTCGCGCTCCGCTACAGAACTCCGACCCGTGACTCGTGGATTCCCCTGTCGGTTTTCTCTACGCTTTCCTCTTCCACAGCCAATCACAACCGCAAGCTGCATGTTCTTGTTGACACTGACAGCCGGCCTAGCGATTGGCTTCACGTGCGATGTGATTGAGCGCGCAGCTAAATCCGTCACATCCTCACTTGGCATAGCCTCCGGCATTATTCCTTTTTTTAGTTCGCGGCGCCGCAGCGATCTGACGATATCAATATATTGTTGGATGAAAGGACGCTCTCAATGGACGGTGAAAAGCAACGCCAGTCTCCAAGAATCAGTCTTGTGATTATGGCCGTGAAGGATTCAATCTCATTATACTTATTACCGGTACAGACGTACTTCGTACGCATCTCCTGGCTAGGGTAAGGAGGCGCCTGTGCGATGTTTGCTGCACAGGGAAGTCATGGTAGCAAATATCACCGTGCAGTGTTGACTTTCTGGCCCGGCGCTCGACGACGACAACTGTCGACCATTCATTGGGTTAGGTACAGCGGCCGATTGCATTGCAGCTGCAAGGTAGCCCGGATCTGAAGCTCTCGTGAGTCGTGACGTTCTGCGCCCTCCCTAGTTCGTAGATGCATAGGTTCCCAATGTTTTTGACGATTTTTCAGTCGCTAGCTGTTTACCAGGTTAGGGGAGCATTCCTCTGTTTGACTATCGAGTTGGTGGACAAGATCAATCACAATTAGCTCAAGCATCCTGCTCGAAGTGGCCTCGCCCTACGCTTTTTTGCCACGTCTCGACGAGGCATAGATTATGATATAGGGCTACTGCATTCAACATACAGGTGCGCTTTATAATGTACTACAACTTAGTTACCATGAGTAGGCCCTTTCAGCACACAGTGTCGACGAAGAGGTAGTTCTTACTCTATATAAACGATGTTGCTATCTGGGTTGCAGTGTTATGTTATAGGCGGCATCAGTGGTCAAGTATGTAGTCTACCAAGCATTCCACAAAGACGCCTATTTCCTCTAGGAACAAGTCTAAAGGCTAGGCTACGCTCTTACTATATTTCCATATCTCTCGGTGCTCTAGAGTCAATCGGCCTCCACCGCGACGGTGGAACTGACTTCGTCCAGGTAGCCCAGGGCATTCCAACTTCTCCGTGACCCCGGCAGGTTCAACTGCTACACAACGACAACATCAAGAATCCTCAAACATCAACTTCCACCCCCTCAACCTTCAGAAACTCCTTCCTGGCACTCTCATCATGCGCCACATTCTCCGCCATCGTCAACCGAGACCCATACCCCTGACATTCATACCTCTGGAACTTGAGGGTGGACACCCGATTTTCAAAGAGCTCGTCCAGCTCCTCCAGACTACGCCCCTTAAGCTCCGGAACAACGAAGAACGCCCAGACTAGCGCGAGAACCGAGAACCCGCCGTAGATGAACCCGATTCGGCCTTCAAGGCCCGCGTACTCGGTATCCTGGATGAAAGGGCTGATGTAGGTGACTAGCACGTTGACGACGAAGCCGGAGAAGGACGCGATGGTTATTGTTTTCTCGCGGAGTTGCAGGGTGGGCACTTCGGCTGTTATGATCCAGACGCTATTGCTGTCAGTCAATACCCATGAATGGGCTGGGGAGTATCCCCTGGGATGGGACGTACCAAGATGACCACCCGATTGCCTGAAATATCTGCCAAAGGAACAGGCCCGCCAGCGCACCGCTCGCATTTGCCTGCTGGTCGCCGTACCCCGTCACCCCGGCAATAGCGAACATGGATGCGCCCATTACGACCGTCGAAGCGAGCACAAGCGGTCTGCGTCCCAACCGATCAACGAAATAGAAGGCAAACGCGCACGACATCATGTTCGTGAAGGTCATGAGCACGCTCGTCCGGTACTCGTTCGTAATCCCGATCCCCTGCAGGAAGACGACGAGGTAGTTTGACATGAACCCGCTCCCCTGCGTCTGCTGCATGCACTGCATCCCCGTCGCGATAGCGGTGCGTCGGAGATTCGGGCCCTTGAAGCAATCGAGCCATGACACGGAGCCGTGCAGAGCCTGCTGTTCCTGCTCGGAGAGGTAGAGCAGATCTGCCTCCTGCTCGATGAGGTCGTGTGGTGTCCCGCGGCGTAGGAGGTGCAGGACTTTGGCGGCGTCGTCGCGCCGGCCCTTGCCTACTAGCCAGCGCGGGGACTCGGGGAGGACGAATGCGCCGATGAGGAGGACTATTGGCACGATGAACTGCAGGAGTATGACGACGCGGTAGGCCCATTGGTCTGTCCGTTCGTGGAGCCCCCAGTTTGCGGTTTGGATGAGGGTTCCGCCGACCAGCAGGGAGAACTGGTATGTGTTTATGAGAGAGCCGCGAATTTTGAAGGGGGCGCATTCGCTTTGGTAGGCTGGGACGACACTTACGGCGTCCTTGTTAGCTCGGCTTCAGCAAGTCATACAGCCTGTGGTGGCAGACGTACTTGCAGACAATTCCCAATGAAACGGCGTTCACAATTCTGCCGACCATGAACTGCCAATAGCTACCGAAGCTACACGCCTGAATTAATATCCCGACAACACCAATAACGGCTGACACGAGGAACGTCTTTACCCGGCCGATTCTGTTCCCAATCACGCCGGAGACCAGGGCTCCGAGGGCGAGCCCGGCGGTTGGCGTTCCTGTTGCTGCTGACTGCCATGTAGACGGGATATACCATTCATCAGTAACTTCGTTGTAGACGCCGAAGTCTTTGGCAAACTGTGCCATGCCCAGGAAGCCGGACCAGTAGTTGTAGTCTGGAGACGCTCATCAGTCTAAGAGTGGGATAGAGGCTAGCTGGGTGTACCCATTCCAAAACCTATTCCTCCGAGCTAGATTGCTAGTTAGGAGTGTACTTGGTAGACAGCCTGAGGGAAGAAGGGCATACAGATGCATAGACGCAGACCAAGAGAAGCGGCTTGGTGATCTCCGTAGAGGCACCTGTTTTGGCGAGTGCTTCAAGCATCTTGTATTGAAGTGACGGGATATAGATACTCTACTGGTTCAATTTGCACACCAGATGCCCTCGCGTCTTAGACAGGAAGGAGCTGGAGCGTGAGACCGGGGGAGGATGGCTGGCTTGTCCCAGGTATTTATACGCTTATCTCTGGGTGCCCGGCCAGTGCAGTGGCATATCTACCTGCAGCCCAGTATAGTAAGGACCTCAAGAGGCATACAATTTCCTGCACGAGAGCCATATGTAGATAATCTTATCATTCGAGGTCGAACGGCAGGAACGAGTGGACATTTGGCGCTCTTGAATGGTCCAGAGCGTGAAATTAGCGCTCTTATCTCGAGCACCTTCAGAGCTATCTGCTCAACCGCCGGAAAACTCCCCAGATTTGCCTTACCCCAACTTTTGGTTGATGTATGCTGCGCAGTCAAGGTCAGCATTTCAGGTAGGGTAGATATGCATGCATCGGACGGTCCGAGCCCGAGGCGTGAGCGTCGGAAGTCCGCAGAGCTGATAGGCAGGAAGCTCGGCAGTGCCTTAGAGCGCCATCTAGATCATAGCGATAAGCATCTGCAGGCTCAGATCGACTCGGCCAGGGCATAAGGTCGACGAGGTCTACCCAATACCATCTCGCCTAATGTGCGGTGTACACGACAGGTCGATAAAACTAAGATGTCCAACCCATTAGCAGGATACCTCCAGGCTATAAAGTCTTCTCCGTGGAGAGAATAAACATACCTTCTTGTGTTGAAGGTTGGGCTCGCGCGAGTCTCGCGCGAGTATGGAGTACAAGCTTGGGGTTGATATACCAGTCCAAGTTTGATAAGACTAGTGTCCCCAAGGTGTCAGCGCTTAGATTATCTGCAGCTTCTCGCTCCTCAAGGGGTATGCCAGGACTCATTCTCGCGCGAGTAAGGACATGTCCGGACTTGATGGACAGATGCCTCGAAGTTCAATCGTAGGGTCAGGACGAATATACAGGATAGACCAATCGCGTAACTGCTTCAGATGGCAGAAAAGCTCTGCTTGGGCGCCGTCTTATTGATGACTGGAGCAGTAATGCGTCTAACAGTGAGTTGTGACTGAGTTGAGTTGAGTTGAGTTCCATCAAGTTGGAAGACCTGGGCCATTCGTGCCTGAGGCATTAATTTTCCATGTTGGGACTAGCGCAGCATCCCACACACAGACACCTGCGCTGAGGCAGCATCGCTTTCTCTTGGAATCTCGCTTCAGGACTGTATAATCATCTATAAAACAGTCGATACCGGAGCCCATGTCGCTATGGCAGAGCCAGCCATTGCCACGCACTGGACACGTTGAGACTCTTGCGGGGGTAGGAACTGATGCTCTACTTACACGGGCAACGAGAGTCTGGAATCTAGACAACTCCCTTGCAGCATCACGACTGCCATCATTAGCGGGCTCGGACATTTCCCTGGGTGCTGAATGGCAAGACTACCTTGCAAAGACATGATGGCACCAGGCTGAGCCTCCTATGTGATTAGTCAATAAGCCAACATGAATCAGCCCCGCGCTCAGCCTTGCCATCCAGCACATTTTCTCTTTCCTGCACCAGGCTGCATAATGCAGTGCGAGAGTTGGCGCGAACTTTTCCATGCCATCTACCCCTTCAGACAGTTGACGGCCCAGATTATGCTCATCGCCCAGACCATACGGGACGAGGTGTCCGCACGTCAGCGCGATGGCTCCCTCGAAACGTCTTTCGCACGAGGCATACACGGTCGGCTAGATCTGCGCGCTATCGCTGGAGCTGGCGGCTGCAAAGGCCATGCTGGACGAACGACACGACCCGTTGCCCCAATCCAGACGCGATAGCAACAACTAGGCTCTGGGGGAAATATTCGGTCATAACGTCGTGATCGCATGTCTTCCGTCGGGTCAATACGGTACCAACTCTGCGGCGACGGTGTCTGCCCAGATGCTGTCCAGTTTCCCGTCCATTGAGTTCACGCTGATGGTAGGGATCGGTGCGGGGGTCCCAAAAACTATCGACATAAGGCTGGGGGGCGTCGTTGTGAGCAAACCTACGGGAAACATCGGCGGAGTTGTCCAGTATGACCACGGCAAAACCATGGCAAATGGTCGGTTCATGCACACAGGCTCCCTCAACAGGCCGCCGCAAAGACTTCTTATTGCAGTTTCGGACCTGCAACCAGAGCATATGATGGGTACGAATCGCTTACCAGAGTTTCACCTTGAGGCGCAAACCAAATACCCTGCCATGACCGATTTTGTGCTCCCGCCTGCTGGCAACTTTCTGTTTCGAGCTGATTACAACCACCAAGAGGACAATCTGCCGTGTTACTTTTGCGACCAGAGAAATCTTGTTATAAGGCGGCCCCGGCCGTCACAGATTCCGCAGATCCATTACGGCCTGATTGCGTCGGGAAATCAGGTCATGAAGGATGCCTCTTCTAGGGATCGTGTTGCAAAAGAGCACGGCATTATTTGTTTCGAGATGGAAGCAGCCGGGCTGATGAATAGCTCGCCCTGTCTGGTCATTCGAGGAATATGCGATTATGCCGATTCCCACAAAAGCAAGGAATGGCAAGGCTATGCAGGATTGACAGCCGCTGCTCATGCGAAAGAGCTACTGGCTGTACTGCACATTGAAGATATGGCCGGTGACTATGTTAGAAACCTGGAAAAGGATTCTGGTTTGTACCCGCAGTGACAGGTTCCAATGATAATCTAACAGAGCCTACAGATGACAATTCTCTTGTTGAAGTCTCGAGATATGAATCCCTCTCCCTGCGATCGGAATGGCATATCGTCCAACGTGGTGCGTAATTATTGCTTGACCCTACAAACTGTCTGGGCTGCGCTTATCAATAAACAACTTCAATCAGATGGAGTTACTCTCTACAACATTTTCGAGCGGCTTTCAAGCTACGATCCACATCGAACCTGCCGCAACATTTGGAGCCGTAAATGCCCCGATACCGCCACTTGGATCTTCAGCAATGCCTTTTTCAAGGGCTGGCTTGCGCAAGGCGGATATCCTTGTCTATGGATCACAGGAAAAAGTATGTACCATCCCACGTCGTTTCTATAGAACCCTGCCGCTAATATGCACAAGTTGGATGTGGAAAGACATTCCTAACGTACGTTTATTTCTTCAAGGCGCATTTCAGCCTGCTGGTTCTCAGGAAAACAGGAGCTCAGTCATTCAGTTCCTCGAGAACTCTCCACAGAGTTCCAACACATTGATCGCTCACTTTTTCTACAACTATGGAGATCCGACGAGACTGAAGGCAATGGACTTGCTTGAGAGCTATACCAAACAAATCCTTGGATACCTCGCTCGGATCCGTAAACCATGCCCAAGCAGAATTTCCACCAACCTGAAGGAGCTATATGGCCCCGGAAAATGGCCACTATCGCCAAGAGAGATGATAGATGAGGTGTTCTTGCCTGTTTGCCGATTTGTTCCAGACGCCATCTTTATCGTGGATGGCCTTGATGAGTGCGACCGACATCATGTTGTTCAAGTACTTGATGTATTTCGGACGTTGGTGCTCGAGAATAAGACGAGAATCTTGATATCTGGGCGAGAGGGGCTGGATGTGACCCAAGCAATCACAGGATCGAGGACTCTTACCATTGCAAACCATGGCAATGGCAGCGATATTCTAAGATTCATCGACTGGAAGATTGATGAGAAGATGCGCGACCGCTCATTGACCGACAATCCAGCTATGCTTCGGAATATTAGGCAAAGCCGACTCCAGATCACTGAAAATCGCTATTAGTACGAGACAGCAGGAAATTGCTTATATGCTCATTAAGAAAGGCTGCCCTGTCGGCTGGGGTGGTCTAGATTGTGCGTGGGATAATGAGTATATTGGGGTTGCCAATCTGCTGTTCAGCTTTGGTGCAGCGCCAGAGGCAGTGCACATCGACCCCCGGGACTGGGGTTTGCAAAGAAAGCCATGGAACACGAGCTACGAGGACAATACGATCTTACCCGGGCTGTGGAGGATCTCATCCGATGATTTCGCACTGAGGCACTCGGCAACTGTGGCGATGATGCTGCTTTCTCGGATCTTGCATTTCAAAACATATAACGCAGATACAGCCTTGAACATTCAAGGAGGCCGGGCTATGATACTCTGTCATAGGTGGTAACGGGGTATAGTGATATCGTTGGCTATCAAGCATCGCCCCTCGACTTACTCGCTCGGCGCCCCATCCTTCTCCGCCCCCTACTCCGTGACATACATGTCCATCGGCATGGCAACTGCACTTGCAGCCGCAGTCTCAATACCCGCCTCTCAGAGAGGCCATCGACCTCTTCCAACGTCAACCCGCCCGTCTCCGCATAAAACACCCAGACTATCGGGATGAAAGTGAACCCCAGAACGGCATAAATGAGATAGTATAACCGCATGGTGCTCTGCATTCCAACGGGCGTCTCCAACTCCACCGCATAGTTGCAGATCCAGTTCGTGGCCGTCACAACCCCTACGCCCGATTCCGCCACTGCTGTGTTTACTTCCGCCGGGTACTCATGGAGCTGGGGGGGGGGGTTGAAGGCGGCCTGGATTTGCGGTTCTCGATGAGGACGCCAGAGGCGCCTTGATCGTAGCCAAAGAGCGGGAAGCCACTGCCCGTGGCAAGGGTCACGCCCGTGGTGAGGTGGTTTCGCGGTGTGGCGGTTCCCCTAAGGAGTACCTAGCATGGTGGGCAGTGGGCTTATCCGTCCACGGGTGGATATTATTGACGACCTCGGAGACCGAACTGGGGGGGGGAGCTGGTCTTTATATATCATGCCATACCAACCTATACCTGGGGCGGGTAGCTGGCCTTCCCCACGGGGTCAATACACCCACTTTAAACAGTTAGCCCCAGGTAGAAATGAAATCGGATCTCGCGCCCCGGGGTCCAGCCCGGGATTCGAGACCCGTGGCGCTTCCGGAATCAGTCTGTAGCATCAGTATATAATGGTGGAAGAGGTCGGCTGCGGAACTGCCGGCAATCCTTCTGTCGACAACCTTGGAAGCACCATGTCCGAAACGATCAATTCACTCGTGAGCCTATTCGGGCGCACTGTCATCTTGACGGGTACGGAACTACCTACACACATGCACGAGCAAAGACAGACCAGCTGTCAGCATTCCAGAAGGGTGCCGTGGGATCGGCTTGTCTCTTTCGGGCCTGCGTCGAAGCTGGAGCTGCCGTTGCAGTGACCGGCATTGTCCCGCGGCCTGACCAGGCGTTCCTGACTTGCAGGCATAGACTCCCGGTCGTCTACATAACTATCCGTTTGGAAATGATCGGCTCAAGTGAACGAATAACCTTCAGTTGACGACATCCGCAGTTGCGACGTGACAAGAAAGAGCAACTGGCGCAGTTCTCTCGAAGCGCCGGACGAATATGACCACTAGGCCAGCTATTTAACTTGAATATGATCTTGGCAGTTGGAGGGATTGGAAGAGGGCCGATGGTTTAGGGTATACAGTGTGGGTATCAGGGTAGGCATGGAGGTAGAATGCTCTGGCTGTCACTATATAAAATGGAGTATGGCCGGCAATACTGAGATGGATCGGGCGTGTTTTAGGTATGGTAGGTACACTGGGGGGAACATTGAAGCAGGGCCTGGTAACCAACTACCGTAGACACGGCGGTGTCTAGTCCAATGCTGCCTTTGGCATGGATGTTCCTAACTATCCTCGTCGGCGTCTGGTGCTCGTGTGGAACAACGAACTTGAGATTAAATGCTAATGCAGCTATGGAGAATTGGCTTGGCCTATAGATTAAGCCAAAAGCAGTTTTTTCAACAATGCTTTCTTAGCTCAGTCGTAGTAGCGCTCCACTCGTATACTTATATCTGCGATGGAGAGGTCAGCGGTTCAATCCCGCTAGGAAGCATTTTTTGTCATTTTTTCCCCACCAGCCACAAGTGCCTAATATGCGAAAACCGTACGCCCTGTGGAAGTCATTGCGTTGAACCGTCACCTATACGAACCCCCAGGGCTTGTCAGCCTCGCAATGAGCTTCTACTCCTGAGGATCGTTGATTCTAGATTTGACATAGATTTGCGTCCCTACGCCTGGCTAAGCATAACGCAGTGCTTCGGTCAACAAGGTGAAGGTGACTCGTCGATCCTCGCCTTCTACCTTTCTCGCCCTCCACGGCCGAATGGGACGATTTAACATGGAAGTCGTCCGTAACGGGATTCGTGCTTGCCACAATTCAGCAAAGAGAGTCCGCGCATCGGTTAATGGCACAAACACTGAGATCTCAGCATTCCCCGCAATCGCAGAGAGTTGGGTTGTGACTTCATCTCGTCCCCCTCGTCCTCGTCTTCCTCGGCGGTGCTTTGTGGAGGTGCAGCTGCGGGCGTACTGGTACTATGGATGGTAGAGGCCCGCATCAGCCAGCTAAGCAGTGCAGACGCAACGTTCTGAGACCAACCCAGACCAGCTGGGTCTGCTGTCGAGGAAAGATTCGTTGCGGGATCGTATGAATGCAGCTGGGACGCGCCCTCTGGTCCACGACTGCGCCGAGTCCAGCCTGACAACCCGACCAGCGGCAGCCCGGACAGCTCCTGGATTCACAGCACCAGCCAACGGCGTCTGCAGGCCCAGAATGCCTTCGCCTCTGTCGCTGCTTCTCCCGTTCGAGACCATGAGCATCTCCACCGCCGTCGCGACACTAAGGTGTAGACACATACACAAACCCATATGCAGTCCAATCGTTTCAAAGATACTCTTGATAGTCCAATAATCTGCTTCCTCCATCCATAAGGACCTCCAGCCCTTGGTCCCGAATATACCGCACGCGCCGGTTGATGTGTTGCGCCGGGACATGATCGTCGTCCGCAGGGGCACTCTAACCAGTGGATTAGAAATCAGTACGCTGCCCTTTTGCAACTGTATTCGAAGCTTACTTGCGTTCATCGTCAGCTTACCGATGGCGGCAGCTTTTTCCATTTCGCGGCAGTTCCGGCAGATCGGGGTAACACCGTCGCATTTGACGCTGCCCTCGCGGCAGGGTTGCAGGCGGTTGTGACGTTCTTGCGGGCGGGCTTGGAGGAGGCCGAGGATCGCTGGGGCACTTTGTGTGAGTTCTCAGAGCAATGAGGTTGACAGATTCAATTGATGGGAGAGAATGGGAGGGTGTTTGGTATTCGTGATCTGGGCCACGTGGGGGAGTCGGAGATAGCCCGGCCTCCAATAGTATTTTGCGGGGCGATGCTACCTCCCTGGAACATATTTTGCAGTGTCATGAGAATAGGATCTTCCAGTTCATGGAGCTTGTGGCTTGGAGGGAACCAAGACGCGGGGATGACGAGCTGCCGCACCAGGGTCCAGGCGAGTGACAATAACTTCTTTCGCCAAAGGCTTCCAATCCTCTTAACATTTGTGCGGCATTGTCTCCGGTGATTCAGGTCCTTCCGTGAGTACTTACCACAGTAGCATCTGCGGGGTACTGCTTATCACCGGGAAGCCTCCCGGTACTGATACTTGTCTTATAAAGGACCAAACCCATGCAGTGCCATCTCCACCGCATCTACACTTTTACACCCAGCATGCCTATCAAACGCACCCTCAACGTCGTGGGCGCCCACTGCGCCGGCGAAGTCTGCGACGTGATTGTCGGCGGCGTTCTCCCGCCCCCCAACTGCAGTAGCATGTACGAAACCCTCGTCCACTTTCGCGACAACGCAGACGAAATCCGGCAACTTCTCTTAAATGAACCCCGCGGCCGACCGGCAATGTGCACGAATCTAATCCTCCCACCCTGCAACCCCGCCGCAGACGCCGGGTTCCTGATCATGGAGAGCGAGGAATACCCGCCCATGTCCGGGGGCAACACAATCGCGGTTGCGACAGTTCTTCTTGAGACAGGGATGGTGGAAATGAAGACGCCAATCACAGAACTGGCGCTCGACACGCCGGCTGGATTGGTGACGGTCACGGCGGAGTGCGAGGAGGGGAAATGCAAGAGCGTCTCGTTCGACAATGTCCCCGCGTTTGTGTTCAAGCTGGATCTGGAAGTCGATGTTCCGGGCTTGGGGGTGATCAAGGTCGACGTCGCCTGGGGCGGGATGATCTACGTGCTTGTCGATGTGGCGGCCGTAGGACTGAGCATCGAGAACAAGCACGGGCCGAAACTCATCGAGGTCGGCGAGCGGATCAAACAGGCTGTCCAACGCGTATATACGCCCGTGCACCCGGAGAACCCAGATATCCGAGGCGTCAGCATCCTAGAGTTCACCGAGCCGATGCAGCTGCAGAACGGTCACAAGTACGCCGTCAACACCGTCGTCGTCTCCCCCGGCCGCTTCGACCGCTGTCCCTGCGGCACGGGCAGCTGTGCGCGGATGGCTGTTTTACATGCGAGGGGTCAGCTGGGTGTTGGCGAGGTCTTTCAGCACCGCAGTATCATTGGGAGTACATTTGACTGCCATATTCGGGGCACGGCCAAGGTGGGCGAGTACGATGCTGTTCTGCCCACGGTCAAGGGGAGTGCGTGGATCACGGCGTATAAGCAGGTGGTGCTGGACTCGACGGATCCGTTTCCGCTTGGTTTCAGGGTTGGTGATCAGTGGCATGTTGGGGATGGGAATTGATGCGACTTCCTGCTAGCGGACTTCCAACACATAGATTAACCAACGTTCCGTTTTCAGGAATGATTCATATTAGACTATACAAGTGTATGTATGGCTCCTCCTTTTCCAGCCTCATCACGCAAATGCCACTGGTAATCTCTCTCAAAGTCTATGACTTTTGGTCTTTCTGCCTCCTCTCCAACTCCTGCAAAAGCTCACTCTTCCCCACCTCCTCCGCCCACCTCGTCCTCGGCCTCTCAAACACAGACGTAATCCGTCCATACGCAATCCCCCCCAATTGCGCCACAGGCCTCAACTCCTCCAGCTCAATATGACTGAGCTCCTCATTCGCAGCCCCCTCCTTGACCCAGAATCTCGTCGCCTGGATAAGCACCACACCCGCACCACTCATCCCCGGCACATGCGGCGCAAACTCCTTGACATCCACGACCTTTCCCTCAACAGAGAACACCGACTCCCGTACCTGCGCCGGAGCAACAGTCGAACTAGCCGCCTTCGTAAGACCCGAAATCTCCCATTCCGACACGCCGTACGGCGCATCGATAGACGTCGCATTCACGGCTTCGATCATTCCCTCCGAGACCGTGTTAATCACACACTCCCCCGTTTGCTTTAGATTGCGGAACGTGTCCTTCTCGCGGCCCGGGCGGCCAGAGAAGCCCAGCACGAAGGTCGGCGGGTCGTGCTCGATGAGCTGGAAGTAGCTGAACGGCGCGAGATTCTCGACCGTCCTCCCATTCTCATCTGGTGCGGAGACGGTGCTCACGAACCCGATTGGGCGCGGCGCAATGGCTGAGATGAGCAGGCGGTAGTTGGAGACTGTTTCCCTGGTTGCAGCGTAGGGGTCGATCTCGTGGTGGGTGTTTCGGGCGCTTTTGTTGTCATCTGGGACGCCCTGCCCGTATTGCCAGTTTGGGTACGGCGACTTTGTGACTTTGATGGGCGTGTCGGAGTGGTGGTTGAAGTCTGGTCGGGTGGATTCGGTTTCGGTGAAGTTGCCAACGTCTTGGACGATTTTGTAGGCGCCTGTTGTGATTGAGGAGTCCATTCTTGCTCCTGTTGATGGCTTTGCTGGGTAGAGGAGCCTGAACTGTTGGTTCGAGATCAAATTTTATTTCCAGCAAAGAGAAACTTACCGCGTCCTGGTGGACAGTTTCGGTCTTGTGCTGGGAATAGCACTGAAGCTTCTCCTTATAGCGGGAAACATGGCGGACGATTGGAGGTTATGTCTAACCCAGAGTAGAGTTGAGAAGGGCTAGAGGACGAGTCTTGACTCTAGAGCACGCTTTTCTTTGTCTTCTCTTACAAATCCATCGCCATCTCCATCTCCATCTCATCTCCACCGGCGCTCGGTGGGCGGGGCCGACACTCAGAGCCCTAACTCCAATGTCGGGAGGCCGCTCCGACGCGGGGCGGCTCCGCCCCCAGGTTGATTCATATTTCATGAATGTTGGTGCTCCTGAGCTGAATTACTGGATCAAATTAAGCTTACAATCATGTTCACCCGCACCGCTCGTGCTACTGCCCGCTCCTCCCTCGTCGCTGGGCACCTTCGCACCCCAATCGCACCTCCAATTCGTACCGCGCGAGAGGCAACGCTGTCCAGTTTGGAAGCACTAGTAAAGAGGGGCATTTCGTCCTCATCTTCTCCTATCACAGTAGTCCATACGGAAAAAACATATACTCATGAGACATTGCTTCCTCCCTTCCTATGTAACGTGTTCCATAAGCACCCATGGCTAATTTGCCCAGCATTCGCGCACTACGTACTATATCTATCCAGAATTCCATGCGCATTGATAGAGTAGTAAGGCCACTAACCAGTCTAGTCCCAAGCCATCAAAACCGCCCCCAGCACAAGCACGATCTACCTCTCGGGCCAGATCCCCGCCGACGCAAACGGAACCCTGATTCAGGGCTCCATGGCGGACAAGACGGCGGCTATCATCAACAGCACGAAGATTATTCTCGAAAAAGCGGGCTCGGGTCTTGATCAGGTTGTTAAAGTTGTGGTATGTGACTAGGCCCTTTCCCTTTATCTACCTTGCCTCTTCGTCCCGTGCTGGAGTAAGAATGGCGTTTTCTTCTGTGGCTGATTCATGTTCGCAGGTCTATCTTAAAGACGCGCGCGCCATGCCCGAGTTCGCGAAAGTATACGACCCTGCGTTCCCGCATCGACCGGCGAGATCTATGGTTGAGGTGTCGGCGTTGCCGGCGGGGGTGGATGTTCAGGTGGATTTTGTGGCTGTTGGGGAGTCTTGACTACGGTAGACCTATCTCCACAAAGCGAGCTAGTTATCTTAGAAGGATAGAAAAATAAGGCTGCGGCTGCGCATATTGTAGCCTCATTGCTGGTCCCTGAGTCGGTCGTGCGCTGGCAGTCGGCGTCGCCGGGCTTGGTGTACAGACCTACTATCCCTTCCCTAGGTACCATACTTTATCCAATGCACATGCGGGCCCATTTTAGACCAGTGCAGAAGATCTGATTTGATCCAGCCTTTTACCGGCTCTGTCGATCCGAGACGTTTTCTGAGTGCCCCTGAGCGGCACCCTGGCAAAGTCCGAACGGTAGGGTACGCTCCCATTACCGAGCCCTAAGGCAGTCGAATCCGTAGTATGCCTGCTAAAAATAGTCGGCTTTGACTGTCCGCCAGGTGCAACAGAGCATTGTTAAAAGCCGTCCAGCGTCCTATTCCATGGTTTAATTCAGTCTATCTTTATTGTTTTCTGATCAAGCCGTCACCAAGTCACTCGTTCACTCATCAATCCAATCATCGTTTTCCCTCTATAACCTACCATATCAACCTAATCAAAACCCATCCATACAACCTTACCCTTCCAAGGTTACTACACACGCCAACCACTCACACAATGTCCACCACAACAACCTCAACCGCCCCCTCCTCAACATGCACGGGCCCAGCAATGTACGAGCTCCCTATCAAAGACGCCGCATGCGGAGTCCCCAACAAGACGTCCTACAAATCCCCCTTCGAGCGCTGCGCATACCCGGCAGCCGTGCAAGCCTACCACTCCGACTGCGCCCTGTACGCGCCCGCCCTAGACCAGTCCGTCCAGGACCTCATCGATTGTCTCTACGGTGCGGATGTTGCCTGGGAGGATGTTTGGTGCACGGGCGGCACGAATAGTACGGCGACGGGGACGTATGAGACTGCGACGGTGTCGCCTACGGCGAAGGAGACGGCGAAGGAGACTTCGACGAAGGATGCGGATGGGGCGGAGGAGACGGGTTCGGGTTCGGGTTCGGGTGATGATGACGATGATACGAATGGGGCTGTGGCGTCTAAAGGGCCTGGGCTTGTTGTGTGGGGTTTGTGTGGGTTGCTTCTTACGGGTGTTTTTGGGGGGTTGGTGTAGATACCGTAGTCTTGAGTCGTTGGGGTAGAAGAGTAGGGTTATGGATGTACATGTACTTTAGTCTGAGAGGGACAGATGGTTCTGTTTTAGTTATTCGCTCGCTATACTATTTTCGATTACCTTGGTATGAGTATCAATTGTATCCTCCTATGGTATAGTTTGATGCATGAACATCGTCCACATGTATAATCTTCAACTTGTGGAGTAGGCAGTTCAGTATGGTAAGCTCCTAGAATTGTAGGCATTAATCTCTGTTAGCATGTCCCCTGACTCTCGCTTGTTCGTGAAAGCAAGAATCAAGTCAACCGGGTTGGCTTAGGAGGTGTCCAGATGTCTACCGCGTTTCGTTCCCTTTATGACCTCATGAAGCAGCGAATTCTCGCCGGCAGAGTTGAGACTTCATAATTGTCATACTTGAGGCAAAATATGAATGATAATTTTTTTAACCAACTATATTCTAGGCTACCTTACAACCCAAACTCCAATTCCTTCGCAAACGCCTCCTTCTCATAATATGCTGGCGCTGGCTCCTCAAACTCAGCAGAAGCCTCGGACCCGCTCTTCGTTTCAACCCTCGGGCCAGCGAGGGAGACAACTTGGATAGGGAACTGAAACTCGACGATCCTCACCTGATCAAAAGTAAAATCCGTCAGTCGATAAACCCAACAGGCCAAGAAAAGAAAAGGCATTGATAAACTCACATTATTCCCGCCAAACCCAATGCCTAGCCGTACCTCCAGCTTATAGCTCCGGCTGATATTGCACGTCTCAAACGTCGGCGTCAGAGAAGATGAGATGCAGTACTGGGCCCAGAGGCTCCGGTCGAGCATGAGTGCCGACGCCCCGTTCCAACCGGCGCCCCCATTTCCAGCTGCAGCGACAAATGGATGCCGCAGGTTGGCCATCGTCTGCACGACCCAGAATCGGGTCTGAGAGTCTACCGCGCCGCGCGCCCGGGTCTCGGTTGTCTCAATAAGCATGGTCTGGAAGTCGTGCAGGGTTATTGGTATTGGTACTGGGACGTGGGCTTGCCGGGGGTCTGTACCCGTGCTCGACTCCAGGTTCATGTTGAGGACATCCACGGATAGAGGTATGGGCTGGCCTGTGACTAGAAAGGGCCCGTTGAGGAGTTTTGCTTGGACTTCGCATGTTATTGGTGGGGAGAGGAATGTCGAGTTAGCACCAGCACTGCAGGTGATCCTCTGCGTCTGTGTGTGGATGACTTGTGCATGCAAGGGCGGGACTAGGATTGATGTGAGTTGGAAATGTATATCGCGCGTCTATAAGCGTTAGATCCATGCTTATCTGGAACTCAGATGTGAGGTACGTACAGCTTTCTTCGTTGTCCGAATGATACCGTCCTGTCGGACGGATGCTTCCACAACATATCTGATCTCCTCTGGCGATGAGCTATTCCCTGTCGATGGAGGTAGCTTGCGTAGAAGATGGTGCGTCTTTCTACTTGCGCCGGTGCTGCTTCGCTGCTCGTTTCCCTGGAATGGGGTCTTGGAGCATTGTGTTGCTTGCGGGAACTGGCTTGTTAGCAGCGCTTTGGAGCCCGAGGGTGGGAGCTCACCTTGATTGAAAAGGGAAAGACATGCCTTCCCGCTGGGACAGTTGCAGACCGGGAAGAAAAAGCACTTGCGCAGTTACTGGGTGGGAAGAGCTGCTCCCTTATGTTGACGATCTGCGCATACTCAGTCCCAATTTCTAGAATGAGAGAATGAAAACGAGTACGTACCTGATGTGTTTCAAGTAGCTTCCCAGAGAGTAGTCCTGTCGTCGCCACTCCTGCCAGCTTTACTGACACCGCAGAAATGTCCGCCTGTGTTTCTGTGGTGAGAATGACGTGCCCGGAGACCTCGTCAGCGGCTGTGTAGACGGGCGGCTCCCTGCAGAGGTGGACTCTGATCTCCATGCGAGATGATCCAAAGAAGCACTCCACTTGAGATAGCATGAATGAGACTGTTTTTGCTTTTCCTTCTCAATATCCTAGATCCTGGCGCAGGGAGGCGGAAATAGAATGGATTTGCAGGGGACATTTGTAGGCTTGTCGGGCCACATCTCGTACAGTTTTTTCGCCTCACATCTTCGCGCTTCAGCTCGCCTCAACTCTTAGGCCGAGCATGGTTCGGCGTAGCAGACTTTTCTTCAGGCTCAACAGTTCAGGGTCTACACTGTGAGGGTCCTTCTTGTCTGAATCGCTTGAGCAAGCCCCGTGATTGGCTCGGCTTAACAGCGGGGTCTCACAGACCCACTAATTACCCCATATGGATCCCTCTACTACAGATACTGTGAGAGAGCGTCTGACCTCCTCCTCCATCACTTCCCATCCTCATCTGAGACATTCACCGACTAGATGCGTCTGGAAGGTGTCTCACTCTGCTGACTACCTCAATTGGACCACGTGGACGGCCGCTCGTCCTCTGTCCTCCTTGAACAATCCCGATCTTCATCTCACCACTCTCTCTCCCGCCATCACGCAACACAATGAACCGAGACCGCCGTAACTGGTACGAGGAGGAGTATCCTCTTCGCTCTGACGAGCTGCTAGACAGCGAGGACATGACGCCGCTCAGTCATCAACAAACAGAGCACTCTGTAAGTCCCTTTATTCACTCCTCATCAAAAGAGAGCGAGAGTCTGATTTATTTTTAGCCACTGTTTCACAGCAGCAATGAACCTGTTTGCTATCCTCCACAACCACTCTCGCCGCTCCCTGTTCCTGACCCTGACGACCTTTCCACCTCTTCCACCCCGCCTAGCCACAGGCTTTCGCACACGCATACGTACTCCAGGCCCCAGAGCCAACACCAGTACTTCCCAGAGATGTCCTATCCCAATCCCATCTCAGAATCCGGTAGCGGCAGCATCACCTCCTGGCAGAAACGGCAGACAGGGGGGCTGCGCCGGTATCCCACTCGCAGAGTCAAGCTTGTCAAGGGAACGGTCCTCAGCGTCGACCATCCGGTTCCAAGCGCCATCTTGAACTCGGTTGAGCCGCAGTATCGCGATACGGCGAATAGCTCGGAGGAATTTACCCACCTGCGTTGTATGTGCTCCCCTGTTGAACACAAGAGTCGGACTTGACTGACTGATGATGGTGTTGCTTAGATACCGCTGCTACCTGCGACCCCGACGACTTCACGCTCCGCAATGGCTACAATCTCCGTGCCTCCATGTACAATCGGTACACCGAACTCCTTATCGCGATTACTTACTACAATGAAGACAAGGTTCTGACGGCACGAACACTCCACGGCGTCATGCAGAATATCCGCGATATCGTCAGCTTGAAAAAGACGCAGTTCTGGAATAAAGGTGGCCCGGCGTGGCAGAAGATCGTGGTCTGTTTGGTGTTCGACGGGATCAGTCCTTGCGATAAAGAGACCCTTGACCTGCTAGCGACGGTGGGCATCTACCAAGACGGAATCATGAAGCACGATATTGACGGCAAAGAGACCGCGGCACATATTGTGAGTTGGTGCCAGCCCCAATCGATGTGTTTCCACTAACCTGTCCAGTTCGAATACACGACACAACTATCAATCACGCCCTCCCTGCAGCTTGTCCGCCCCCAGAGCGGCGACCCGACGAATCTACCTCCAGTCCAGATGATTTTCTGCTTGAAACAGAAAAACAGCAAGAAAATCAATTCACACCGTTGGCTCTTCAACGCCTTTGGACGCATTCTAAACCCAGAAGTCTGCGTTCTAATCGACGCGGGGACAAAACCAGGGCACAAATCGCTTCTAGCCCTATGGGAAGCCTTTTACAACAACAAGAATCTCGGCGGAGCCTGCGGCGAGATCCATGCCCTCCTAGGCCCCCGGTGGGAAAAGCTTGTTAATCCTCTCGTCGCTGCCCAAAACTTTGAATACAAAATATCCAATATCCTTGACAAGCCGCTCGAAAGTATGTTTGGATATGTGAGTGTGTTACCCGGCGCGTTTTCTGCGTACCGCTATAGGGCTATTATGGGAAGACCGCTTGAACAGTATTTTCATGGAGATCATACATTGTCAAAAAGGTTGGGGAAGAAAGGTATTGAAGGGATGAATATCTTCAAGAAGAATATGTTCTTGGCCGAGGATCGCATCTTGTGTTTTGAGCTCGTGGCCAAGGCAGGGCAGAAGTGGACGCTTAGTTACGTGAAGGCGTCGAAAGGAGAGACGGATGTCCCGGAGGGTACGTACCATCAGTTCAGGTTCAGGGCAAATACTAATGTGAATAGCTCCCGCTGAGTTCCTGAGTCAACGACGCAGATGGCTGAACGGGTCGTTTGCGGCGAGTCTATACTCGGTCATGCACTTTGCACGCATCTACAAGAGCGGGCATAATCTGATTCGACTGTTCTTTCTACACGTGCAGCTGATTTATAACGTTTGTCAGCTTATCATGACGTGGTTCTCACTTGGTACGTTATTTCCTGCTTTGGAGTCTTACGCTGACGAGCTCCCAGCATCGTATTGGCTTACCACATCGGTCATTATGGACATTGTCGGGACCCCGAGTGCGACGAATAAAAACAAAGGATGGCCGTTTGGAAACGACGTCACGCCGATTTTCAACAATGTCCTCAAAGTCCTTTATATTGTCTTTCTCATGCACCAATTCTTCCTTGCTCTCGGAAATAGACCAAAGGGGTACGCACCACCGCCATACCTAATGGACAAGGCTAACAGATCAGATCGCAACTCGCCTATATTGTCTCCTTCCTCTATTTCTCACTCGTTCAGATCTATATCCTAGTCCTATCCTTTTATCTCGTCGCCCAGGCCTTCTCCGGTGGCAACATTGACCTGGAGTTCGACAAGGGCGTAGGCGGCTTCTTCGCATCCTTTTTTACCTCCACCACCGGTCTCGTCCTCGTCGCCCTCGCCTCAACCTACGGCACGTACCTAATCGGCAGCATTCTCTACTGCGACCCCTGGCACCTCGTCACGTCCTCATGGGCGTACTTCGTCGGCATGCCCAGCACAATCAACATCCTCAACGTGTACGCCTTCTGCAACTGGCACGATGTCTCGTGGGGTACAAAGGGGTCCGATAACGCTGCATCATCGTTGCCATCTGCACAGACAAAGAAGGCCACGGGCGGCGGAGACGGCGACGCAAAGGGGACATTCGTCGAAGAACTCGATAAGCCGCAGGCCGACATCGACACGGAGTTCGAGTTGACTGTCCGTCGTGCACTCGCTGAGTATAAGGAGCCTGCACCGGATAAGACGGTATCCCTGGATGACAGTTACAAGACCTTCCGGACGAACCTGGTGCTTACGTGGACGTTGAGTAATTCGTTGCTGGTGCTGCTGATCAATAATGCGGGGGTTAGCACGCTGTGCTTGACGGTAAGCCTGTTCTTAACGCTTGGATTGTGTGCTTAGTGCAGTGAGCTGACTTCTGCTGTTCAGACTACATCTACCGTCCGTACGGCGTGGTATTTCAAGTGTCTGCTGTGGGCGACGTCCGGGCTGTCGATCTTCAGATTCTGCGGGGCGCTGTACTTCCTGGCGAAGACGGGGGTGTTGTGTTGTTTCGTGCGGAGATAATGACTGGCTCTTTTATGCCTTCTATTTAGACTGATCTCTTCATGATTTGTTTTCTTTTCGTGGTTTCTATGCTTCTGCTGCATGTCATGTCTTCGACCCGCTCGGCATAAGATACATAATCTAATATCAGCAAACGGCCATGTTGAGGTCATCTTCTGATTTCTTTATTTCCATCTATAGTAGTGAATTAGCTTTGCAGTTTCTATTCAAGACTCTTCCCTCGTGCCTTGAAGTATCCAGCTCTCCTTGCTCTATAGTCTACCATTGATTACCAAGCCTCCGCCAGGATCCGCTCCGCCAAGACTACCTAAGTGGGCAACTGGCAAATAAGTTCTCGGGGTCCGCGGACCTCGACAAAAGAACCAAATATAGCCGACAGTGACGTTGAGCTCAGCTGGGAAGGGGAAGCCATGCTCCATAGTAGAGCCGCGATGTGATTGGCCGGAGTATATTCGGATCATGGCGCAGTTTAGGAGGTCTTGGCGCCCACTCGCAGTCCCAGAGCGTTGCAAGTTAAAGTTACGGTCTTCAATCTCTTCTTTTCCCAATTTTTAATTCCTCCTTCATTGCGTCCTCGCCCTACTATTAACTTCTCCAGAAACCATCTTTCCTCGATCGTTGTACGCCCGCTCGCTGGATCTTTGTCGCCCCGGAACGGCAAGCCTCGTGGAACCCGGTCGGGCTACCCTCGGCATTACTGGTAGGGCTGGAGTCTGTGTTGCACCTGCCGCCGCCATGGCAGAGCGCCGCGTGGTATGCCCCTTACTTCATAACAACCCCCACGTCTATCCCGACAATCAACTGACTCCATCACAGTGCGATACATGCAATGCCCGAAAGGTATTTCCTGCTGTGGATCTACCTGCTGTCATCGAGTAACAATGTTAGGTCCGATGCGACAGGAACGATCCATGCGGCAACTGCCTGGACCAGAACACCACATGCACTCGGAGCCGACGCATGAGGCGTCTTCCAAAGCGAGATCGCTCGCAGATGCAAAGAGATGCTCGTCATGCTGAGTCAAATTCGCACCGTCCTTTGGATCGCGGCCAGGGCCAGGGCCAGACCCCCCGGCCTCCCGAATCCAGCCTTCGGCGATTGGGAAATGACGATGACGGGCTCCTCCGTGGTATGCTGGATGACCAGCAGCTCATGCTTCTCGGGCAGTTCGACATGAACATGAACATGACCGTGGGGTATGGCCTGCAGAGCTGGATGTCGATCGTGCCTTTGACGGAAGCGCAGATGATCAATCGCAGGCAGTTTGATCACTCACAGGATCTCAGTTGGACGAGGCAGCAAGCGCTGGAGAGTGCATTGTCCGCGGCGGGTCGGATATTGGGGAGTATGGAGATGCGATCGGAGATGACTCCTGGTGAGGGCAGCGGGCAGCGGCATATTCCGTCGCTGGAGTTCTTGTATTGGATGCTGAATGGTACTCTTGCCCCTTTCAACGGCCAGTATATTATGCTTATGCTCATTGCGTCTAGACATCGGCAGCGATAAATTCGGTCCGTTCATCTCAGACTACTTCAGACACGTCGGCAAGGAGGATCTCAAGACAATGGGCCTGGCCCTTCTGTTCAACACAGCCTCGTCGTCCGACTCTACGATATTCACCGTCTGCGTCAACTCAATAGCATTTAAATTCCTCAACGCAACACTTGGCGCGGGAGCCGACGACAACGACGAATTCGCCCAGCGGCTCAGTCATAACGCCCTCCTCTACCGCGAGACAGCAAAGGCAGCTCTGCAAAGGATACCCATACTTGCCAAACCTTCATTTCACCTGCTCCAAGCTCTCCTTTGCGGGATCTTCTTGTACCAAGGGTCGGGCGATACAACCGCCTGTCGTGAGCTGGCCAAAACCGCGTGCCGCGTCTGCATGGATATAGGCCTGCATCCGGCTGCGACGAATCTTCATAACGTCAGCGAGGCAGAGTACTACTGCTTCATGTGGTGCTATATGCTAGATCGGAACTACGCCTGGAAGTTCGGCGGACCTCGCATTCTGACTGTCGAGCCAGACGTAGATATCAGCCCTCCGGCACCAACCATCACCATCTCAAACCTTATGCACATTTACCTCGACCTTGCCAAAGTCCAGGACGGAATGATCCCGTTCCTAAATGACCCTGTTAAGGCAGCAAGGGACAATGTCTTTCAGCCGGCCACCGGCGTCGGGGCACTCTACTTGCAGAAGATGGAGGGTATCCGGCGCGATATAAATCAGGTGTGACCCATCTTTGCATTCATAATACATCAGACTCTTATTAGGTATCTGCAGATCAAGGAGCCCTCCCCGAATTGGAAAGGTCTCGACCCAGCCAGCGAGATTGCAACCCTCAACTTCGCCTACCACTGCATCCTTACGAACCTCCTACACCTCCGCCAGATCGCCCTCGGCGAACCACCTACGGCTGGGCCTGCAGCCACAAGCACAGACACGGATACCTACCTTGACTCGGCTCGTCGCGGTCTCCAGGCACTCATCACCCTATGCACATCAGGCGATAGACACAAGACAGTCGCTTATTTACATTGGTATTTCCTCTCAAGCCTAATCTTTTGACCAGACCAGTGGTGACTGACAGGTGAAGGACCCTCCTCTTCTACCCAATAACAACCTGCATCGCACTCTTCTGCAATACAGTAGCGACCTCGCACACAGGCGACTTTGCAATCCTCACAACCGTCTCGCACTGTCTAGCCCAAACCGGCCCACTAAGTCCACCCATCGCCGCGATGCAAAGCTTGCTGCAGGAGTTCGTGGCGCTGAGTCGGTGTTTCTTTCTTACTATTGGCAATGGCGATGGGAGCGGCAGTGTAACTTCCGGTATGGATATGGGTATATCGGGACATGGGATTGCCCCGCTACAACTGCAGCTGCCCGCTTCGACTCCTTTGCCCTCAGAGGCAGACATTAATGTTGACCCAATGACGACGATGCCGATGCCGATGCCAACGACGGGCGGGCTGGATCCCCTTGCGCTGACGGCTACGGATATCATGAACCTAGGTTTATCGCTGGACGATGGAAACATTGCTGCACAGGACCAGGAACACGGGCAGCGGGAATATGGCCTCGAGGCCGGGACTGCGGGCTTCTCAATCGACTTTGCTTAATTGCTGTGACCCGATGACTTCCTTGTCCTCGTCGAGGATGGCAGGAAGAGGGGCCTTCATATGTATATAACTATATAGTATATTGCTGTAGGGTCTTGCTTTGCTGGTCAAAGCGTATCCCTACTCAACTGTCTTTCTGGTCCCTGCAAAATGGCATATGCTCCGCTTCTCTCGTTCATTGACAGATTACACCGCCGCGGTTTATGGATACGGCATTCACCTCTCGACTTTAGGACTCAGGTCACTAATGGTCCATCCGACCACGGTCCTGGACTCCTGATACATCACTCATGCATACCATCAATTGCCTTGCTATGAATTGGCACTGGACTAGTTGCATACATAGTTTGGTGAAACAGGTGACATGGCCCAGGCACGAGGACGAGTAATTACTCACCCCGCTTGATAAAACCCACCTAGTTACTACCTACCATGAGAGCGAGTCTGTTAAGTTTCTCCATCGAATGACGTCCATACCTTGCACCTCCAGCTTCATCGTTACAGGCCGAGCCGCGCGGTGGCTACGCCGCAGTACTCCGGATAGCAAAAAGGCTGCCCGCGCAAAATACGGTACATAGCTTTATTCGGAGACTCCCGGTCTCAATACGGCGATCGCTCCAGCGCCCACAGATGAAACAAAAAAAGAAAAAGAAAAAAGATGGTCCCAGAGGGGGTCGAACCCTCGACTTTGGCGTAACATGCGGACCAGATAATTGTTTATCCGGGTCACGTTATATTAGCACCACACTCTAACCAACTGAGTTATGGAACCCATTTGTTGAACAATGCACATTAATCTTAAACTATATTCCACTGCAAAAACAAAAAAAAAATCCCAAGAAAAACCATTTATCTCCTCAATGTTGTGAGAGTGCACATGTTGTTTGCTGTTGAGGTGAGGTGTAATATGTGCTATGTGACGAGACTAGGACAGTCATTTAGTTAATAGGCCTTTCCCGGGTTAGCTACTATGCGAAGCTACCTTCTAAGGCTACCTAACTGGCTCGGGGTGCGACCATGTCCAAGATATATTTCATGACTTTGTGAGTAGGCAGGCGGATTTGTCTTTTCTGACAACCTGACTATGTTGTAGTATAACCCGTTTTCGTTGCTCTGTCAAGACTTCATTTGATTACACATGGCTCATTCCATGCTCATACTTTAACCATTTCGATGAAAGTAGGTCGAGGCTTGGGAGGCGGACGGCAGTCTCTCTTTCTTTGCGCAGTTCTTCAGTTGTACTTCCACAACCTGAAGAGGGCTGGCGGATCAGAGTAGAGGTTCGATGGGACACTATAGGTATGTAAAGTAGGGTCTAGCTACATGCAGGTGCAACCACACAATCAGCAAAGTGAATTCTCAAGAAAACAATTGGGACCTCGCATGGCTATGTCGACTGCCATCGTTTGAAAGCCTCAGTAAAACCAAAGCCGGCCTCACCCCCGGCTGCATTTTCCACACTCCCAACGCTCCCACGCCAGTCCAACAGGGGTACCATCGATGGCCGGCCATGCGCGCACTGGAAAGGGAAAACACAATCTGCCAAGCGACTGACGAGATTTCTGCACTCATCAACACTCAAAACGTCGTTGAACATAATTGCAGTTCGGCACGCTCGCGAGTTGAGCATGTCGAGGATTCCCTGAGGACATCCTGCCATCCGCCGGACCCAATCTTCTCCAGGCTCTGTTCTTCCAGAAACAGGCGTCAGTGGGCGGGAATTGCCCTCGGTCCGTTTCCAAACCTCCGCACGGAGAATACCCATCAGCTGGTCTGGTTCTGCCCGGCAGCGTTCTGCGATGAGAGTTGGGAGTGCTGATACCGATATCGATGTCTTGTCGCTCCTTGTAGCTTCCTGGACCGCGTATTCGATGCCCCAAGACCCAAAAAAATCTGCCTGTCGTCTGAACATCAAAGCTTCAGCAGCTGGGATCTCAAGTTCCATCGGCACCACCTCAATCGTCTGTACGTCCAATCCATTGAAAAAGTCCTTGGACAGGCGTTCTATCCGACACCGCTCGTCTGCCGCATGTTGGTCGATAAGGATAAGAGATGATGAGTCGGTATGAGTTAGTTCCACCAGGATAAACTTTCGATCGACCTGGCCGATAACTTTCGCTGCCTTCAACTCCCGTTTGCGCAGTTTTCCACGGTACTTAGTTACTCCAAAACTATCCAGTCCGCAGTGTTTGTGAAAGTTAGGCGCTTCCGCGCCGTCGTGCTCAGAATCCGTATCCAGAGCACTTATCGGCCGTTCAGATCGACCAAAAACAGGATTCTTCCAATTATCAAAAAGATGTTCCAACCACGTATTCTGCGAGTCCGGCAAAGCAGACGCTGGCCGCTTCCGGCCATCCAAGACCCGGGTGAGTAGAGACCCTGTTGTCCTCGGGCGTTTGGCCAGCGCTGAAGCAGCGGATGGTCGAACGTTGACGGACTGACCAGTCCGTGAGTTGATCCAGTGCTTCACTCCCGTGTATGGGTCCACCCAAGGAATCAACCCATCACCGTCCTGAGTTTGAGTTTCCACGGCTACCTGCTGCGGTGGTTTGGCAGTATCGCCAACCGTGGACTCCAAGAGTAGACCCCCTTCTACCGTTTCTGGGGTACTAATTCTCACATCATCACTAGGTAAGACAGAAGATATGGTTTTCACCTGCGTCGAGCCATTAGAGTGGCTGTTTCCGCTTTTGACACGCGACCAATTTCCAAAATGGCTACCCAAACCTGGGCGAGAGAAAGACGGAAGCTTCACCTGGTTTCCTGAAAGCTCTGTGCTCGAGATTGGGTTGCGGGTCTCCGTTACCTCGGAGCGCGATTGGGATTCTACTTGGGCAGGATTTTGGCGCTGTCTTCTTCCGCCCCTCGGACGCATTCTGTGCTCTTTCAAAAATTCATCGATCATGAGTCCGAGAATATCCAAGATCCGTTGTAGCGACTTGTCCGACTCGGGTAGTTCCTCGTCGCTGCTTGTAGTGTCAGCCGAGTCGATGCGGATAGAAAACATGGGCCACTTGTTCACGGCCACAGGTCCACGGTCCTCGATGCCGGATCCGTAGCTTGAGCGCACGTTTCCAATCGCGCCAAAATCAGAATTAGAGAACAAACGGTTGACCTCGTGGTAGAGTATGTTCGCTTGGTTTTGGGAGAATATAGGCTCAGCTCCCATGGAGATGAATTGGACCTTCTTCGACGGATTTGGGACGAGAGATAGCGCAGCGTTGATCGTCAGATGCGGAACGGTTGCAGAGACGGCATGCCATTTCCTCGTACTTGCGGTATCCACCAAACCAGCCTGCGAGAGAACAGAACTGAGCCGGATCAGATCCAATCCATCAACAAGAGGGCCTTGGCGAGGACGAATGGTTAACTTCCGTTCCTTATCCGTGTCCGAGACGGTCAGCTTCGGAAGGCCACCGCTAGCGATCATAAGTGAGACCAGTAGATGTTTCAAGTCATCCCATTGACGGTCTAGCTCATCTAATTTCTGTAGAGCCAGAGCACGGCTCTTCACACGAACTGGCATGTTTCCAAAAAGGTCGTTGACAGTAACCCGTGTTCCATGGTCGCTGAACCGTAGTGCGTGGTGTCGTGGGGCCGGAGAGAGCCGCGCAACAGTCACGGAGTGGTGGAACATAATGGTGTTTGTGCTCGCATGATGGCGATGATGTGATGTGATGGTCAGCAACGAGAGTGCGGATAGCGATGCCAGAAAGCAGCCCTTCCTGCCGTAAGTGCTCGATTCTGACTGGTATCTCGAGGTGTCTGGTGCCGTAAGCGGAAGCCAGAAAGCAGGCAGGAGAAGACATACGATGGGTTTTACCTAGGCCTCCCTCCAGCTGGAATTCAACAGGGAGAATCCCATCTCCATCGTCCTCGACCACGCATCCTCCGCGTCGGTAGTCGACAGTGACAAATATGCTCTGCGCATTTGCATCCAATGCGTTCTTGACCAAGTCCAAGATGACGGCATTCAAGTGCGTTATTGACGTCGAGGACTTGATTTTGGCCGCTACCTCATGAGGAAGTGGCTGAATTTGGCGGTCATGCATCATGAAGGTGTCCAAAACATATTTACAGCTCGTGGCTGGTTCCGCCACCTAAGCACCGAGTATCATCAAGTAGAGATAACCAAGGAGAGGCCTTGTTTACGTCAATATAGACGCATCAAAACATTTACCAGAGGCCGCTTCCATTCTGGTCGAGATGGCTATGGTAGTTGTTGAGAAATCGAGGAAGCTGCAGCGGGCGATGATGTCGATAAAGTCACGTGACTGTATAGTATAGTGGACCAGTTCATTGCAAGATTATTTCTAGGGACAAATTGCAGATTGCATATCCTCCCAAAAATAAAAAGCGCATTGGTATAGCTATTGCTGGGCGGATTTCCGTCTTCTACACCGTAACTGCGCTGCACTGCAAACTGCGTCAGAATTGAGTAGCACAAGCCCACCGCTGCGGGCTCAGGGAGTACGCGACTACGCGTCCTACCGGAAGCCTGCGTCTCTCGGAGTATTTCCTCGCCCAAGCTTCCAATGGCCTGCTGCCATGAAAGAGGTTGGGAATAAGAATAGCAGGCGCTGTTTTTGGGCCGGAAGGGAGCAGATCACGTGAACTTCTGGTGGAAGGGGCTGCGGAGCAACTCCTGGAGAACTTCCTCAGCAACTCACTTCCTTCTCATGACACTTGACGAAACCGCTCAGAATTATCCCTTCTTGATACCCTCGTTGCGTTTAATTTCAGCGACTGTCCTATTTACCGTCTCTCCGCCTCCCTGACTTCGTCGCTCGCTGCTCGCTGCCCGGCGCCTATCGATCGCGACCCAAGCTCGGTAAACACTTCTCGCCAATTAACACTCCACGACTCCAGCTACAGGACGAGCTCCCTGGACTACTTAGGATTAGACCTACTGCAACCCTTGTGGGAATAATATCCTACTAGTCAAGCAGATGGCCACAACCGATGGCCCTGCTCGGGCGCATGGTATGGCCCCTCTTTCACCCGCCCGAACACTACTCACAATCCTTCGTATAGACCGCAATGGCCGCCGCCGTCCATTTGCGAGCTGGATGAAGCGCCTGGCGAACCTCAAAAGCTCCAACGAGTCCAGCACTATCCGATGGTCGAACATGCGCCATGGCACATCCAAAACCAAGAACCGCAACATCAAGAACAATCCATATCCCTTGTCCGGCCACCCCCAAGCCCTCCAACAATCCACCAGCGACCGCGCCTCTTCCCACCACAGCGGAGACCCTTCACGACCTCGATCTCATTCTCGAAGCGAACCGTCCATCGCATACTCCGGATATGAAACGAACGTCCCCGCAACGAGCGCGAAGTCGGCGGCTCCGACGATCTCCACAAACGGCGAGACAGCTATATCTGAGGCTGCATATTCAAAGGCTGGGACGTCGGCGACGGTCGGAGGAGGTGTGAGCACAAACGGAGGTGGAGAAGGGAGCACGTTTTCGTCGCCGGCGCCGTCTGTACGGTCGCTGACCACGACGCTGACGACCGTGCAGTCAGCGGCACCGTCAAACATATACAACACGCAAAACCATACGCCCCACCACAATCACGGCCATTCTGCAACCGGCGCACAGCAAGTGCAGTTCTCACACCAATTCCCCTCGTCCCCCGCCACGGCCGTACCACACCATCTTGCCCCGCACGGCCACTCGGTCACATACAGCGTCGCAACCGCAAACAACATCCTCACCGACAACGCGTCGATCTTAACTCTCGCATCCTCGTCCAAGCGACGCCGCCGAAACTCCTTGGATACCAATGCCTCTGTCCGCGCGCTCGCTCCGTCCTCCGTCTTCGGCGGCAGCCGTGAGAGCCTCCCCTTGAGCGTCCTAAGCGGCGTCGGCGAAGCATCAAATACATCCATCCTCAACGCTCCTGGCGTCCTGAGCCGACCCAGTCTTGTTGGTCTAGCAAGTGCGGAACGAGCGAGCGTCTATTCGTCATCCGGCGTAGCGCCAAGTGGGGAACGCAGCAGCCTTTACGCCAAGCAAAGCGCAGTCACTGGTGATGGAGCGAGCATTCGCAGCGGTGCACACTCACATGCGCGCCAGGACAGCAATGCCGCTAGTATTGCCGGTACTGGACCCCAGTCTATCCAGCCCGGACGAATCAGCCGTCGCAGCTCGGGATGGGGAGAGATCTGTGGCGAGGACGAGGAGAGTGATGATGAGAAGACTGGTACTGGAGTCAGAGATACTGGGAAGATTGAGGAGCACTGATATGCTAATGGGTCGCTTGGCCACGGTGGTTTTTCTGGGGTTCGTTTTATGACTAATGTGACGGGATAGATGGGCTATTGTGATCACGGCGTTATGGTTTTCTTTTCTCAGACACGGCCAGATGGCATCATACCATATCATGAATAATGTCCCTTGCACTTTATTTCACCATACCAGCTGCTAAATATGAAGCCTTTTCGAATACTTAGTTCGTCCATCGATGCATCGGTAGAACCTATACATGTAATTCACACTGGGCCACGTGCTTAGGCAAAGCAAATGTCCTTGCCAACGTTGAGACGCTGGCTCCTTACGGGGAAGTGCTCAGCATTGCCGGGGCGGACAAGAGGATGGACACCAACACCTGGGTTGTGCTGGTCAAGGGAGCAGCGTATAGAGCTCATCAACCATCTCAACCATGTGCTCTTTTAGACTTCTGGCTATCGACTCGAGGGAGGCCATGCTAAAATGAAGGCCCAGGGTGGCCTGTAGAGAGCTCATCCGGCAGCGCGCTGGTGTACGGCGATCCCGGCAGCGCGCTCTAAGGTTCAGTGTGGGTCGGTCCATTTGAGTGGGCAGGGAGCATACCATATCTTGGTATAATCGAGAGAAAGAAAAGATGATGAATCTTACTCAAGACCAATTCCCGGGTCTGCGGACCAAGGCTGGATTCAAACCCGTGCAACAGGACTACGGTATACTAGGGTATTCTTGGTCTGATGCAAACAACAGCTACAATAAGGGATAAGTCACCAAGGCACTACAGACTTGGGGAGATTCAAGTGGAAACAGCATGCTGGGCCTGCAAAGGAGCAAGCATTACTTGCTTTTGGTATTCAGCAAGCCCATGCAGTCTTTGCAGTCACCATCGAAAGAGTGCAGGTGCCGGATCAGGACCTGATCATCGTGGAGAAGCGTGTATTGTACCTTTCGCAACTTTCAACTGTCCACTTTCTTGCCAGGAGATTCACCGGCGTCCAGCAGTACTGTCCCCCGCCAGGTCTCTTCATATCCTCATGCAAGGCAGCCAAAGCGGCAGCCCACTCCGCTTGACTGGGAACAACTTGAGGATCCAGCAGACGCAGCCGATCCAGAACATTACCACTGTTTTCCAGCGCTAGCATGAACGTATTCATACAGAGCGGGATGAGATACGATGCCCACGTGGTCTTTGGCAGTCGACAACCTCCAGTTCGGGAGTCGCAAGCTGGACATGATCTTGAAGCTGGTCGAGCCATCTGCAGGTGCACGCATCGAACTCGTTAGCTTCCACCGGGCTTGTCTGGATTTGGACGGTAGGAGACTCCATGGAGGCCAGTAGATACCGGAAGTCGGTCTTTGCGACTCTGTTGATGGCCCGCATCATTTCGCGAACATGGAAAGCGGCCTCACCCGGCGCCACAACGCTGCCGAAAGGCGCGTCTTCCCACTGGAGATAACCCCCCGGCTCTGCGTACATGGCTGTCAGTCCTGGACTCCAGGCCCACCGGTTGGGTAGACAAACATACTCAGTAACTTGGCTGCACTCCTGATCAAGGTACTGGTGTCGTTATCACGGATAACAAGCGCCCACATCCGTAGATGGACAACGTCGAACTGGCCCACCAAGGCTTCAAGGACCTCTCCGAGACAGTCAAGCGCGGAGAAGGAGACATTTGGCGGCCAGTATTGGCTCAGCGGGAAGGTGCTCTCACTAGTGCCATAGCCGGTCACTCGAGCACTGGGGGGCAGTTGGGCCGCGAGCTCTAGGGCCCAGATACTAAACGTTCATGTCCCGAGGTTAGTTTGAGAAAATGGGTTATTCGGATATAGTTCTGGATAGGGTAGGTATAATACCCAGTGCCGGCACCAAAGTCTGCCACACACATCCCATCTACAACGGGGATGTCCGGGTGAATGGTGTACCCGGTGTGCAGCCTCCAGAGGAGATGCTGAGACTCAAGCCTAGCAAGCTTCGTCAGGATTTCGGTTGCGGGCGTCAAGCCAATTTCGCGTTGCTTCACCTGGCGGATTCATTGCAATCGCGTCTCAACAACTACGAGCTGGGATGGGAAAGGTTGGCCATGATCGCATCACTGTACTATCGCACAAGAAGAAGAGAAAAGAAGGGTTGGAAAGGACAGAGACCATGGAAGCAGGCTGGGGGCGAAGGAAAAGGATCGCCTGAACAAAGAAAAGAAAACAGCAGAGCCTAGGCAACCAACGATGAAAACATCTAAGCGGGCTGTGCGAGGGCCAGTGGTGTATCAGCCGACTGAGAGTCTGACTCGACTGAGTTCTCCCGCTGTACTCTGATTGATTACAGACCAATACCCAACCATCCTTCCTCTCAATGAACAAGACTCACCCACGACAATGCTAATTTTCAATTCAACACATGTCCAGATCACGTACGACACAATATTCCAGCTAATGTCTACCAAGTGAGGAGGAAGCTGCAGCAAGCTCACCAGCCGAACGATGGAGATGATAGTGACGCTACACCACTCACGTAAGCTCATGGTAGGGCAAGCATACCCTCATAGTGGGAACAGTTATGGACAGGACAGTAGGCAGGATACGTGTTGAGTACTTAGGCACGATCATAAGGCTTAAAGCCCGTTTTCCGCCTCCACTGGCTGGCGGGCCGATCCGAGAGCCTAACTCGGACCGCCACTCCGACCGTACAAGGCTAAAGGTTCATGCTGTGAATCTGATGCTATCATTGATGGCTTAAGACTGCTAGTCAGTGAGCGAGATTGCTAGCAGCTTTAACGGGAACCTGGATGGATTTATACGATTATCTCAGGGCCCAGGACAGATAATAAACAATCATGAACCCGGCATGGACATGCTGGTTATCGTCACCACATTGATAGATAACCCATATTTTACTGTACGTATACAAGTGTCGTCCCTTTTCTACGGGAAGAGCCACACTTCGCAGGCGGGTTTCTCAGTACCAAGGCCATCAGTACCAAGGCCAATCCATGCGTGCACTACACACTGCGGCAAGTCAAGGTAGAGGGAACGAGACGAACGTGATCTACGGTGCGGTCGCTTCCTTTGTATCACGGTCAACTCTGGCGCGGAGCCTAATGGTGGGATGAGGCTTGTTCGTCGGACTGGCCATTGCAGCAGCATAATGCGATAGTGAGTGAACTATGGGAGATGTAGCTGACTGAACCGGAAGAGCAAAGGAGGTGGGATATCCTGATATGATTCGAAATTGATGGGTCCAGGTCAGTCGGTTGGAATTAGAACTAGATGCAGTGAGGGTTGGGACGGGTCCCTTTTGCTATTATGTGGAGCTTTGCACTTCTACTATGATTACTGCAGCCTACTCGATGAGCCATTGAAACAAATGACCTCGGCCGCAAATGAAGCCGTGTGCCACGGATGTCATTGCCAGACCGCCCCTAGGAAGCGTCGTTGTCCAGGGTTAGATCTTACGAGAGTTAGTAGTGTAGCAAATAATGCAGGGATAGTTGTGCTGAGTCGAATCAGTATATCTTTATGTCCATCTAAGTACTATATCCAAAGACTCTTCATGGAAGCACCTCCATCTCCTACTCCTCCTCCCATTTAACTAAGAAGCTAGCTAGTATAGCCAGCTTAACCTTTGATTTCTTTGTACATATATCCCTAAGCTGGAATCTCAACATGAAGTACCGTCCAAAAACAGAACGATTTGATCGCACTCCGATTAGGTAAATGAAGACAAAAAGACGGGACGAGGGTTACGCTGCTTGAAGTGATTCAATGATCCCACAGCGTTCATCCCTCACGCTCTACGCGGCCCAATTTGCTCAATACGACTATTGGAGATTCCGAACAAGCAGATTAACCACAGATATTTCTACGAACTCTTCCCTTAACATGTACCATACATCATACATGTGGTCCTGTCGAACCAATACCAAACTACGGAGTACTTTTTAGGGCACAACCCAAGCGCAGCCCTAAGCCAAGACCAAGAAACGCCACGCGGGTACGCCATGCAGGGTTCATGCGCCTCGTTCTTCAGAAAGCACAGGATGGTTTCAGATGCTATTTTGCGTACAAAAACACAAAACAAAAACATACAACAGCTGGGATTCGCATGTGGTCACCCACCATACTACTAACCAGCCGGCGTGTGGCTTAAGTACGGCTGAGCGGACGGGAAGCCCTGTTCTCCACACCCTGTGGTCGTATGTGCTAGTTTCCTCTTGAACGTGGTTTCTATAGAAAATTGTTGAGCAAGCATACTAGTAGCGTGGCGTTGTAGCGTGGTATCTGCATGTGTTAACGTCAGCCAAGGCATGAAGGTACTACAAGTGCTTCCTGGACGTGGATTGTGCTCAACAGAAAAAGAACATGATCATAAGCATGAGCGGGCGGGTTCGTGTTGAGACATGATTGGACATCGAGAGCTGAGAGTATTCCTTTTGAATTAATCCTTTGATTGTCCTCTGGCGGACCTTAGACGGGCATGCCCTAAGTAGACAACCTGCAGGTCTGACTGGTCGTGAAGGACTTTAGAGCTGCCGACAATATGGCCATATCTATTTGAAAATGATCAAAACCACATTAACTCCCTTGCCATTGCTCAATTTCACCCTCGGTTTCCTGAATGCATATATCCTCCAGAGAGAAGACTACTCCTTCTTCCACCCCTCCCACCTTTCAAACTCCGCCGTATCCAGCCCAAACAGATCCAGCACGCGCCCAACAGTATGATCCACCAAATCCCCCACCGACGAAGGCCGAATATAAAACGCCGGCACAGGCGGGAACACAACCGCGCCCGCCTGAGTAACAGTCACCATATTCTGCAAATGTATTGAACTGAGCGGTGTTTCGCGCACAGCGAGCACCAACCTCCTCCGCTCTTTTAAGACAACGTCCGCCGCGCGGGAAATCAGATCATCGCAGATACCACTCGCGATACTAGCCAGCGTCTTCACGCTGCACGGTATAACCAGCATCCCCAAATCAACACGGAACGACCCACTTGCAATGGGTGCGGCCATGTCATTGATACTGTAGACATGATCGGCGAGGGCGCGGACGTTGGCGACGCTGTAGTCGGTCTCGTATTTGATTGTGGCTTCGGCCCATTTGCTGATTATGAGGTGGATTTCGATATTGAGGCGGCGGAGGGCGAGGATCGTTTGAATTCCGAGGATTGACCCCGTTGCGCCGGTGAGGGCGATTATTATTCTGGGCCGGCGGGTGGGGGTTGGCGTTTTAGGGCTTGGTTGCGCTGCTTGGGGTGTGGATGGGTTGGGGCCCGCTGGGGGGGTGAAGAAATCCATTTTGGTGATTGTGTGAGAATGAAGGAGGTGGCTTCGAAGTAAGAACTTGGCGAGAAGCTAGAATCGCCGCAAGGAAAGAGCTTCATAAAATATTAGGCAATCGACAAGTATAGGGAGCAGGAGCTTCCGGTATCCCCAAGTTGGGGAAGCTCCCAGGGCTGGAATTGGTTGGGCTGGAGCTTGTCGGACCCGCACCGGGAGCGCTCCCGAGACTCACCCCAATTTGGGGAAGCTTGCTTTCTATAGCTTCATGACAACATAAAACAGTGGGGTGACTCGATTGCTTTTTCCTCTCTGGATTTGTTAATCTTTGCTCTCTGTTTTCAAGTTCTCTGCTTCCTCAATCATGGCCACAACCTCGGAGCACTCCGCCGCGGCAGGGGACCTCCGCCAATTCCTCAAGGAACTTGAGGATGAGAACGACCTTCTCGTCATCAAGGAAGAGGTCGACCCCGCTATGGAGCTTGCGGCAATCACGCGCCGAGTGTACGAGACCGAGGAAAAGGCGCCCCTCTTTGAGAACATCAAGGGCCGGCAAGGTGACGGTCTCTTCCGCGTCCTCGGAGCTCCTGTTGGACTGAGCCGAGTTCCCGGCCAGAGACTCGGACGCATTGCAAAGTCGCTGGGCCTTCCTTCCACAGCTTCTGGAAAGGAGATCATTGACAAGATCAACTCTGCTAGGGGCCTTCAGCCGCTGGACCCGACCAAAGTCGCGACGGGGCCAGTCAAGGAGCATAAGCTCTTTAACGACGACATAGACCTGACCACCCTCCCGACTCCCCTCCTGCATCAGCACGACGGAGGGAAGTTTATTGAGACCTTCGGTATGCACATCGTGCAAACGCCCGATGGCTCCTGGACAAACTGGTCGATCACCCGGGCTATGACCCACGACAAGCGTCATCTCGTCGGCCCAATTATCCCAAAACAGGATATCGGGGTGATCTACCAGATGTGGAAGGACAAGGGGCAGGATATGCCGTGGGCATTGTGTTTTGGCGTGCCCCCCGCAGCAATTATGGTTGGCGGGATGCCGATCCCCAAGGGCGTTGATGAAGCCGGGTTCATCGGTGCATTGGTTGGGAAGCCCGTCGACGTCGTCAAGTGCGAGACGAACGACATTCGGGTCCCCGCCAATGCGGAGATCGTCTTCGAGGGTACGGTCTCTATCTCCGAGACGGCCCCTGAAGGCCCCATGATGGAGTATCACGGCCACGTATGGCCGGGCCAATCTAAGCAATGTCCACTGTTCAAAGTCAATGCAATCACCTACCGCACCGACCCCATCCTGCCCATCTGCATCACCGGCAGAGCCACCGAAGAGAGCCACACTCTGTGGGCGCTGACGATTGCCGCCGAGGTACTGCATCTCTGTCAATCCGCTGGCCTCCCAATACAGATGGCCTGGTGTCCGTTCGAATCCCATGCTATCTGGTATGTCATCCAGGTAGACCGGCAGAAGCTGCGGGCGTTGAAGACCAACATGGCCGACTTCTGCACCAAGCTAGGCCATGTGGTATTTGGTTCTAAGCCCGGTTGGTACATGGGCAAAGTGTTCTTGGTCGGCGAGGACGTTGATCCCACGAATCTGCGCGATGTTATCTGGGCGGAATCGACGCGGTGCGAGCCCGGCACGAGCGAGTTTCTGTTCGACGAGTATGGCAACATCCCGTTGATTCCGTACGTAGGACATGGCGTTAAGCCCGAGCGCAACCACAAGAAGGTCGTCAAGTGCTGCATGCTTCCTTGCGAGTTTGAGGATGAGGAGCTTGCTTGGAAGGTTGGCTCTTTCCGTGGGTCTTACCCTGCCGATGTCCAAGCACTGGTGGAACGGAAGTGGGAGGAGTATGGCTTTCAGTCGGTTTGATGTTTGTTCGCAGGTGTTGGTGTATTGTAGTATCTAGAAAATGTCAATGTAGCAGACAATTGATAGTTCGAGTCCTGGCCAATTCCAAATTGGAAGGTGCAGCCACGAACCTGAGGTTCCAGACGAAAAGTGTTCTTCGGTCGAGTGGCATTCTCTTTCTTCATCCTCATCACTTCGGCCCCTCTCAGTCTTTAACTATCTTTAAGCTCTACATTCGTTGTTTATCGTCATCCAGCATTCTTCGCCATAACAACAATGGCCTCCACAGACAAACCTCAGATCCTCTTTCTCTGCCTCGAACACCGCGACTACTTCGACTCCTCCTACTCCACACTCTTCAACATACTGATCCAAGTGGCGCACGTCCAGCGTGCAAAGACTGCAACCGCCGCAATCAGCGCCATCACCTCAACCGCCTTCAAAGCAATCATCATCGCTGATGAAGGCCTCACTAACCACGACCCTGCAAGCCGACAAGTCCTCGCCAAAGTCAAGACTTACATCGAAAATGGCGGCCTCGCAATCGCCGGCCTGCACTTCCCAAACTTCTCGGGAATGATCAAGTTCAATTTGTTCTTCAAGGGATTCGGCCTTCCCTGGAAAATGGGCGACTGGCTCCGCACCACTTTCCAGCTTAATTCGTCCGCTACCTTGCCTGAGAGTACTGAGCTCGCATCATTGCCTCGGCCGTACAGTATGAAGGTACACCATATTAAGCACGCCAGGCCCCAGGAGAAGATCTTGGTCCCTGTTCCGGGCGCGATGACGCAGAGTAATGTTTTTGCGCCGGAGCCTGTTGATCAGGAGCAGGCTGCTGTTGTGGGGGCAAGGTTCGGTAGGGGACATCTGGTGTACTGTGGAGATGTGAATGGGGAGGATGGTTCGAACCAGCTCATGCTGGCGCTGTGCGGGTTTAGTGGTACTCTGGCGATTGTAGAGTTAGGCTAAGAGCACTATTATGTTATGTGAAATTGGCAAGTGAAGAAGACGAAAAGCTTGACAAAGGGTTTGATGCTTGGCAATTACTTTTATTAGAGTTAGGGAATATAGCAATGAACTCTTCGCTGTCCTTCCAACATCAAGTCCTGTTCTGTTGGACTTACAGATTTGGCATTGACCCTCGGCGTCGGCGTGCAAGACGGCGAGCTCTTCGAGGCCGCCGCCAATCACGGCGTCATTGCCGTTGGCGGGACAAACAAGGTACGTATACCCCCGACCCAAGACCGCCATCTAGCCGACTCTAATCTCATGGGTTGCTACTGTCGTCGGCTGGACCCTCGGCGGCGGACACGGGCTGATGACAGGCCACTACAGCATCGGGGCAGACAACATCCTGCAAGCGACGACCGTGACCCCAACGGGCTCAACACTCACGGCAGACGCCTTCCAAAACCAAGATTTCTTCTGGCCGATCCGCCGCAGCGGGACCTTCGGCGCCGTGGCCGATCTCACGCTCAAAGCATACCCAAACCCCTCAGTCGTGCTATGCGGCCTGGACTTCACGGCCCGCAATACCACGACCAAGATGCAGTGGTGGGGTCTCATCGCCGAGCTCCACGGCTAGCTCCCGGATGTCCTGGAGAACGAACTCAGCGGGTACTGCACGATCAAGGAGCGTCATGATTCCGAGGCGCTGGCGTACGCAGGCTCGCTCTTTATGCATGATGCGAGTGTTGAGAATGCCACGGCTGCAATGCGTCCGCTGCGTCAGCTCCTAGGCAGATATAACGGTACTTCCGAGGCCGCCGCGACAGACGGGCGGTTCCGGTTTGACCGATTTGCGAATCTCACGGCCATGCTGTCCTCGTATGAGACCGTCGGCACGGTCAACGGGATCACGGCATTCAGACTCCTCACCAAACAGACGCTGCAGGATGAGACGAAGCGTGGGCTCCTTGCGCGGACCCTGCAGGAGGTTGGACCGCAGACTGTTGCGCAGACTGTATGTATCCCCCATTCCTTATCAAAATGGAATGGATGCAATGTTAACCAATGGTTTCTGAAGAACGGACTCCCCAACCCCTCCATTTCCGGCACAATGACGCTCAGCTTGCAGCGCGTCTCCAACGCGCTCAGCCTGCGGACGGGGCGTACTTGAATGAGGCAAACGCATTCGAGCTAGGCTGGCAGTGGTCGTTCTATAGCCCCCATTATGCACATCTGCGCAGCATAAAGACACGATATGACCCCGAGGGAGTGATGTGGTGTCGGCAGTACGTGAGGAGTGAGGACTGGGTGCAGGATTTCGAGGAGGGGCTTGTTAGGCGTTTATTCCCTTTTAGTGGCCGGAGCTGGGGCCTGGACCACATGCTCTCTTTGGATAGCAAGGTCATACCCCGGCCTTAATTGGCAGTGGCGCTGTACTTGTGGGACTGCCGAGCTTCATGGCAACAATCGGCCTATCACCTATATCTACAATGTGCTTTCAGCGATTCATCCAATGGTGATATTGCCCCAACTCTGTCGACTCCAGCCCCGTCTGGGTTGAGAAGCTGCAGCTATTTTGCCGGCATAGGCGGCGTGGAAGCAGCATGTCTCCGCCAGCGCTTGATTTTATAGGAGTCGGCATACTTCCCTGACCACAACACACGGGATATCATTTAAGCCTGCAGTTTTTATCTTCACACAGTGTACTTCTTGCTTCTGGCACACGATAAGCTGAGAAGTATTCCTTACGGAGTCGAGGAATAGAGTCTGGTCATTGTAACTAGGTTCGCTGTCGATATGATTCGAAGAATGTCCCGCGAAAGCTAAAAGGTATGTGAGCAGGTTCGGAGTTACACCTTGAAGCCAGGACCGACAACAATTCATAGACCTCACTGGCATGCCTATCAATCGGCATGAAACAGCGATGGAGAGTATCAGTGATTGGCATGCGAATAAATCGCCAACCCAGCATCAGCGCTGTATCACGCCAGCTTGCAGAAGTCTCCATAAAAGTGACGAGGAGTGCATTGTAGTCCTTCCGATTCCAGACAGCAATGCGATGTAACATTATGCACGAGATGCGCAGGCAGGTCAACTTGCTGCTGCCGGACATTTAGAAGTTTGAAATGACCAATCTCCGGCACGTGTACTGGTGATTTGTCGCACAGTTCTCTTGCTGTGATATTCAGTATGCCCAGTATCACACCCTTTTCCGCGTCAACAAGTTACCCGTTGTTAAGAACCCCTTATCTCCCATGGAGCTTCTCCATTCAATGGATAACTGCCCCAACACTGCGCGGCTGTCCCGTCTCAAGTCTTTCTGCAAAGCCTCCAGCCCTTCCTGTTGCCCCTCTTCTTGCTCAACAAGATACGCAACCTGCAATACGTCTCGCGGGTTGAGTGTTGGTGGCGGCATGTCTGCCCCATCTGGTCGCTCGAAATCCCAATTGAGGGACATTGCTTTGAATGGTGGTTTAGGGTTTAGGCGTGTTTGCTGGACACGTTAGTCGAGTAGGATATACATGAGACGGGTAAGTACCTTGATAACGACAGCTCCGTCTCCAACATTCTCCAGCTGGGCCTCGAGAGCAAACCGAAGCAGGCGGGTCTTGCCGTAGGGCCCTAGTGACTTGTTGTCGACCTCCAGCGGAGCCAGCTCCGATGATTTGGTACGAACGCTGAGACACGGTTGAGCGACAAATTGGTATAACTTGCGGAAAGTCCTCACTCGCCCGCTGGCTGCCTGCAAATCGTTCCCCATCAACGTCTCGGTATAGCTGACGCTGACCGCCAGGATATGGTTGCCCTCCTCTTTTAGGTCAAATCGTACAATCTTCTGTAGTGACTGTCCCTTTTGGAGGCCATCATTCGGGTTTGTATCGGAGGGCTCAAGGTCTAAAGAGGAGACTTGTGACGGTGTTTGCATTTCGGCAACGATTCGGACGGACGTTATCACACGAGATGTATCCTCTGGAAGCTCGTTGTTCGCACTGAGAGTGCAAGCGAACGTTTCGCCGACATATGCGGATCCGAACGTAGGCGGAAGTGTAAGCTATCTTGATCAGCATGCTGGTTCCGAGGCCTGACATCTCATCGGGTAGCGTACACTGGGTGTGAGTATGAATTGGTTGTCAACATTATCGGACGGGAAACTCAGAGACGCTTTGCTGGAGATCTTTGTATTCGCAGCGGGAAGCGGATATTGGTATGATAAAGAGGGTCGTGAGAGGCTGCGAGGTCAGGAGGGGCTGTTGGACGGGCTGGCTGGTGCTTACCGCAACACTGATCTGTCAGATAAGCTAATTACAAGGCGAGAACTTGCATACCTTTAAGAGAGACTGAGTGCGGCTCCTTCGGAGCATCAGCGCCCGAATGAGCACGAGGGCGAGCCATTGTTGATGGATCTGGAGCGCTTCAGGTGGAGAGCTGGACGTTATCGCAGAATTCAAGACAAACCAGACAAACACCGATACTCCATACAAGCCTCCGCATGGATACCTCCCAATCTTGAATACTAGTCTAGATCTGGTTAGCGTCTGTGTTATCGCTCGCCGATAAGAGATGATGTAAATGCTCCTCGACCTTCTCGACTACAATCATACACTAGGCTTCAAAGTCTATGGTGCTTTCCTTTTCAACGTGCTGGCTATATACTATCCTTTACCGATCAAGCTGAGACTTCGAACTTCCTGGGAGGCCGGCTATCATAGCTTGGAAAAAGCGAGCGAAATTCGGAGTCTCGGTTTGCGCCACTACGGAGGAACACTGCTTCCTTCCTCAATTATTTCATCAAGGACAGAAGTCTGCCACCTCACGTCAGTGGTGCAATCAAACCTCAAGATGGCCCGAGTTGCTTCCGCGCGTACGGCCTCGAGCGCTGCACTTGCGCGTTCCTCCAAGAGAAAGCAACAAGATTCAACCATGGCCCCCACCAAGGGCTCGCGCCAGGAGAAGACGCCTGCAAAGACGCCCGTAAAGTCCCCCAGGAAATCAAGGAAAACCGCTGGGGAGATCGCCAATAGCTCGACTGCGCGCTCTACTGGAAGGTCAAGGGCCTCAAAAAGCGAAAACGCAACGGATCCGCCATCTGAGCGTCGCTTGAGGAGATTCCGCGATCATCCTCCGATCAGTTTTCAGCAACGCCTCGAACGGGCGGTCACTCAGCGGTAAGCAATCGACCTGAAACGCTCGTGCCCTTGAACATTTGTGCCTGCTAACAGTACGCTACTAGCATGTTTGTTGTCGGACAAACCGTAGATGGCACAGACGAAGATCCCGAGCTAAAGTTCGATATTGTCGGCTCAACGGGCAACATTTACAAGACGATTATCGGGAAGGTGCCGACCTGCAGCTGCCCAGACGCAACCAAAGGCAATCAATGCAAGCATATTTGCTACGGTAAGATTCTATCATCCCGATATTCTTACGCCCCAATGGATTATTCTTTCATCATTCTATTGTTATCTTTGGCATCGTTATACTTATCACTAATGGCCAATACAGTTCTAGTCAAAGTCCTAAGTGCCCCTTCCCACTTGCAATATCAACTCGCATTCCTATCATCCGTGAGTGGCTCTACCGGAGCTACAAATCGAAAGCTTACGCTTCATCCAGGAAATCCGTGAGATATACGAAAAATCCACACTGCGTCAAGTCAAAGACAAAGTTGAAGACCATGATACGGATGGAAAACGCAAACCGATCGAAGGCGACTGCCCGATCTGTTTTATGGAGTTCGAGCCGAAGGAGGATATTGTCTGGTGTCGTGCAGCGTGCGGGAACAATATCCACAAGACCTGCTTCCAGAAATGGGCCGCTACGTCGAACCAGCAGGGAGTCCGTTGTGTTTACTGGTACGTTTGCGCTTCTGGCCTCAAAGCTCCAGGCCACTACTAAACATCCCCAGTCGCTCTCCCTGGCAAAACCAAGACGCCGACGGCAAAGCCGACGTTACCCTTGATGAACTCGTCAACCAAGGACGAGTCGGAGCAGACGGATACATCAATGTGGCAAGCCAGATGGGCCTATCCGGTGAACGTGGTACGCATCCGTCCCTGTAGAAGCCCCCAGCTCGAACTCATTGCCTCTTTACTAACAATGATCTAGACTCTTCAACGTACTATCAACCCTGGGCGCGCCGGCGCTTGTACTATTCTGGCTGGCGTAGCTACGATGACGACGGCTTCGACTACGATCAATACGCCTAGTCCGGCGTTCGGTATCAAACCACCACACCATCAAAATTTCAGCGCACTTTCATTTTCGGCGTTTAATTCAGAGTTGAATCAGGGTTTCATGGTAATGATAAGGAGCTTGTATTGGGTCTACCTAGGGATCTTTGGTGTTCGGCTACCTCATACCCCACCTAGTTATTCGGAGTTCTTTCGGTTCTTTTAATCGATTCTCGTTGAAATGTGACTCGTGAGTGTAGATTGCGTCGTACGGCGGTTGGGTGAGGCGAGTGGCTCGGTCTAATCTGCAATACGCAGCTCGTAATAATAAGTGAATCAGCCGGCTGCCCTGCGTAGACCTTAAAGGCGCCTTCTCCATGAATCTAATCATAACTCTAGGTCCCTGTCGTACCCCGAGTTCGGTCAATTCCCCGAACTCCATAGCTTCCTGTTATGCGTCTCTATGGTGGTGATAGATGCAGTGCTGTAATGACGGGCCCAGAAACTCAAGGGGTGGAAGCTCGTGCAGACGTCCTGCGCAGGTATTCAACCACCCGTTCGAAGACACGTGGTTAATCAGTAACAATACAAGTTAAGCCTGCGCACAACACCATGCATGTGACAGTCTGGTTATGGCAACCGAGAGTCATTGCCCCAGGCACTGAACGTCCAAACGTGCTCGGGAGATCGGAATCAGGTTTTTCTTCAATCATCCAAGCGCATGAAACTACTTCAACCACCATCGTTGAGGACCCGTCTTCTCTTCACAACAGCCACACTGATGCCCTCTTCACCCGTCATCCAGGATGGCATACGCTCTGCATCCACGATACCGAGCTCGGCGAGCTTGCGGATACCGGATATAACATCCGTGCCGGTAAATGTGAGAGCAAGGGCAGGACGGGAAACATCATCTTCGTCGTCGTCCGCATTCGAATCCACGCCTGGAAGATCGAGAAGTCGGGCATCAAGACGATCGAGAGGTGCAGCTGATAGTGAAGTCCCAGAAATACCGAAGCGCGATTGAACAGTTCGTTTGCGTTTTTTAGCCGTGCGCGGGTCTGTTTCGAGGTCTCTGGCTCGGCGGGAAGGGACGTTTTGTTGAGAGGCTGGCTCCTCGGCGTCATTTTCCTTGTCGGTATCTGCAGATTTGTTTTCCTTCTCTTGGTCGGGTTGAGAATACGTGGTTTGCTTCTGGTGTTCTTCCGGTGATATAGTATTGGATGGTCGCGGGTCTAGCGGACTCCCCTCGAGTACGGCGTCGGCGAAAATGCTGAATGCGCCGTTTGCCTTGTTCGAGCGGCCGGGGCCACGGAGAGCAAGTAGCGCCTGGAGATTCTTTGCTGTGAGAGAGGTCGATTTGAGGGCGTAACGTTGGTGAGGGAGGGAGAGGGCTTTCGGAACGGCATCTCGGACGATGCGCTGCAGGGTCCGCGCGTCTGTCGCGACCGCGGTGCCAGCGGTTGCTTTAGATCCGGTGGTAGAAGCTAGAGATGTGTATACGTAAGGGCAGCTGTCTGGAAATGCAACGTACATGACCCGCGATGAGTCGGTGAGGGTGTCCGGGGCCTGGCGCGGATTCTGGTATGGCGAGTGTGTGACGAAAATGCGGAGGAAGGTGAGTGGGTGAGTTGTAGAGCGGGCGAGGTAGAAGTGCGCTTTCACGAGCGGCGAGATTTGCTCTTGGAGTTTACTGAGGAATGTAGAGGCGTGAATGCGCGGTATGCAGGCTGAGATGTCTGCGATGGAGGTGTCTCCCGCCTCAGTGCTTGAGACGCCGATGCGCGTGAGTTCTAGCGCCGTCCATCGCAAGCTCGCCGGGTGGTCATCTATGTATCGGAGATCGATCATCGCGACCTGTCGCAGAGTAATGCCATGCCTCCAATCTCCATCTAATATGCGATCGACCACCTCTCGTTTCCCGCCCTTTCGAAATTGTAGCTCTTGGTAGGCATTGCGCACGTCGTTGAGGGTGCGCTCAGCCGGGTACGGGCGTAAACCTTCGTCATCGGGGGCTTCTTCCTCATCTGCTTCCAAGAAAGGAGGAAACTGCTGTACATTCCGGTCGTCTAGCCATTGAAAGACAAGATCTAGCAGCGATTGGCGGGGCAGTTTTCCCAATGTCTTCACGAGCGAAGGGGTGGTGGAGGGGATGCGGAGATTGTTTGGGAGACTGGCGGTTGTCGGCGCGCGGATTGATTTTGGACGCGGCATTGTCAATTGTTGAGGCGTTTACAATTCATATTCGTACAGCGTCAATCTTCCTTGCATTCGTTGAAAAGATGAAATGCCGGCGGCTGTTTGTTTTGGAATCGTTCAGAGCCGCCAAGCATCAGACGCTGGGTCACGTGGTGATAAGGGCGCTTGATGCCTCAAAAGCCTCTATCTACAATAAGCCTACGAAACATCAGGAATACCACAAAACTGCGAAAGGAGTCATCTGCAGGAGGTGCAGAGTCAAGCTACAGATGGCAACATACTCAACTCCTCTTTGCCTTCTATTGTGCAGCCCTGAGATGTCGTGCTTAGTCCTTGAACCGGCGCAACTAATCAATCAGATAATACCTTCTTCTAATCAAGTCTCCACCGCTTGCATGCGCGTCTCAAGGTCTAACGATGCATGAATACCTTATGACCGTGGTGCAATTGAGATGCTTTATGAGCCATCGCTCGCATCTCGCAGGTTTTACAAAGTTCGAAGCACACCATATGGTGGATGCGGGGAAGAGCTCCTTCAAGACGAAGTCGCTGCAGTTGTAGATATTCATCGCAAACCGCGCCAGCGATAAAACATAAGGCCAGCCTCAGCCAACCAGGAAGCTCGAGGGAGAGGACTGAACGCAAGGCTGGCCAACAAGGGGCGATCGGAGACAGGCATTACGAGCAGGGGTCGATCCTCCAGGAGCCTATGGACATATGATGAATCCTGACGATGTGCATCACAGTACCAGAATTGGTGCAACAATATGCTGAGCCCTTGATGTTGAGGAGTAGTAGTGTTCGCGTCGCGAAATTGCTCTGTTCACCCAGCGGGTCAAGGAGGGAAAAACCGGATGCAGGCTTGGGTTCAGCGGTTCAGCCCCGGCCCATGGTTGGAGATGCCGGCTTCGGAACCGGTGGCAAGCGACTCCAATTCTAGGCCAGGGACAAAGAAGATTCACGGTCGAGCGAGACGGCTTGAGGTATCTGTAATGGCAAACTGAAGAACAAGATCAGGAGATCTATATGTAGGCTCTTTTGAACTACTACTATCAAAAGATTAAGAAAAAGCAACGAGAAAGGTACCAGCAGTGGATGTATGCGCTCCGTAGCGGAGCGGAGGGAGCCCGGAAATCGGTCGGGATTTGCTGCCACGATTTCTAAGCATTCATCCCACCCCACACTCTTACCTCAATGCGACGCAAAATCTCCCGTCCCTCGTCTCCGACTCACCCACTCTGGATCCCCTCTTCTTCTCACTCTTTCCCACTTTCTCTCCCGTCTCCATCTTCAACGTTGAACCTCGACCCCGGCCTCCACGATCCGCCAACTCATCGACACCGCGATTTAGAACGACTGCGTTCTCGACGACTCGCCGCCGGCACTACACGCCGTGCCCCTCCAGTCGTCATTACACTTGCGAAGGGAATTCTTGAGATATCGAACAAGATCAGGGTTTTGGTGGAATACGCTATTTGAGGCCGATACGCCTCACGCTTCACCATGGCTGAATACAATGGCCGCCGGGCGCCCAACTTCTCGCAATACCTGAACGACCTGAATGCCATTCCCTCGCCCTACGATGTCGCGGTGCAACAGCAGCAGCAGGATGAGTTCAACCTTGACCACGACCTATCGCTTTTCACCAACACGGAGTTTTTCGATTTTGACCTAAATCTTCCGTCGTTCGAACCAGTCGAGGAGAACAAGCGCAATGGGAACCAAAATCCTGACATGGAATTTTTGGATATTCTGGGTGGTGGTGAGTACCGGATTTCCTACATGGCTTCTCTGTGTTCGATATCGAGCGTTCTGGATGGCCCTGTCAAATGAACCATGGAAGCTTTTCCAAGGGTTCTCTTTGGCTTGTTCATCCAGTTCCCAGATTTTTCATGCTTTCTTTGATGGCGTTCGGACGTCTGTCCATTTTGGTACTGAGCTTGGGCTGGCGGCTTTGATGACTGGTCCCTGCACGAGGCGCGCCATCCGCCATCACACGCTTTCGCAATCTATGCTGGTCACTATTGGTGCTTTCCTCTGTGGATCGCTCGAGTGTGCGCCAATCTAGATTAGCGCGCCAGGGCTGCTGCAAGCTCAGGCACTTTGGCGATATCGCGAATATGGCCCGTTATGGCGTCATTTCACGTGATACTGTCTTGGCTTGTTGAGCCTCGATGTACTCATGCATGACCTTCGCGTTCTCATTTTATGCATTTGCAAGCCACTGGCAGGCCACTTGCGCAGCGATGTGACATCCGCTAATTGGCCTCAGATGGGTTTGGCAACGTCAACGACTATGCCCCTCAGATGAACTCCATGAACAACCAACCCATGCCCGTGCAGAATACTCAGTTCCACGCCGTACCGCAATCGCAAATTCCGAGCGCGCTGCCCAACGTTCACCCCCAGGTAAATCAGCCTGCTACCTCGCCGACTTCGGCCTCCCCATCCCAATCGTCCGTTGTCGCCCCAAGTCCTTCGAGCGTTACATCCCCCGCAGCCCCCGCTCCCGGCCCTAAGCGCAAGAATACCCAGAAGACTGCGCCCATCAGTGTCGAGGAGTCTGCGCGGGTTGCCGCCGATGAGGACAAGCGCCGCCGCAACACTGCCGCCAGTGCCCGCTTCCGAGTCAAGAAGAAGATGCGCGAGCAAGCCCTAGAGAAAACCGTGAAGGACACAACGGAGAAGAATGCTGCGCTGGAAGCTCGCGTCACCGCCCTTGAGCTCGAGAACCAATGGCTCAAGAACCTGATCACCGAGAAGAACGGCAAGTCCGCGGAGGAAGGCAGGAAAGCCGAAAACGACATCACGGATATGTTCAAAAAGTTTCTTGCTGCACAGAAGACCGAGGGCGAGCGAAGTAATGGCAACTCCAAGATCGGCGTCGGCACTTTTTAGGTTCCACCTAAATTGAAGTTGAGCGCTGATTTTTTGTCTTCTGTTGTATATCTTGATCTCTATGTTTATATCTCTTTGCTTTTAATGAGAGGCGTCTCATGGTGAACGGATGGGATGATTGGTGGGTCGGTGATGATTACGTTAATATACGCAGACACGTATGATGTCTAAATCTGATTCTTCATGTTCATCTCAGCCGATCAGCCAGACTGGTTCAAAACCTGGACCGCCTGGTGTGCGCACGATCCCCATGCCACCTGTTTCTGTAGCCACGCCATTTGTAACGCAGATCCCATTAGCGTGACGATCAAAGCAGGTGATCTTCTAATATGCAGGCCAGAAGTGTATGCCCAGCAGGCTATCCAGGTCGCGAATGACTCGCAAAGCTTTCGGTCTTCCAGCCGAATTTCAAACGCGCATACCCCACGAACGCTCTAAGCTCTAGCAACAATGATAAACCCCTTGACAACCCCCGTCCTTGCCCACCACCCAAACAGCTTCCCAGCGCCTCCATACTTCTTCATCCCCTTGCTCCCACCCAACCCGTACGCCTTCAACACCTCTTCTCGGGAATTGATATACCCTGCAATCCCGTGGAATACGTCATCCGATATATCTCTAAAGATGATTTTCGATAGATCGTATCCTGCATCAACCAGGAGTGCGGTGTACTCGTCCTGCGTGAGGAAGTTCGTATAGGGTGTCCCGGCAAATAGGCACAGGATCCGGAGGAGGAGGCGCGCCCAGAATGAGGGCTTGGGGGTTGGAAGTAAAAGATCAAAGGCCATTATAGAGGCGTGCAGCGTAGAGTGAGTATATTTGAAGAGAGGGGCGCGGGAGGGAGAGAAGTGGTAAAGGGTGTCAAGGGCTAAGAGCCAGTTCTCTTCTGTTTCGTGGGAAGGCGGAGCGGCGGACAGGGACGTTTTCAGCTTGGTGTCCCAGGATAATGGATTCGCGGCGTCTGCGCAAAATATTTGAGCCCGCAAGTTTGATTGCGAGTGCTTGCTGCTCTCTATCCGTTGCTTCGCGAACTGGGCCTGGACAGGGATAGAAGTGATGCCGACGTAGGAATCGAATAACGGCGCCGTCATGTCCTTGATATTCCCATCAAGATCCGAATTGTCATTTGCAGCTACTCCGCCGTGCATTCTCCGTTTGTATCCCAGAATCCGCACAGATTGATCTCCGCACCCGATCCCAACGTCCAGCAATCGAAGCCTTTTCTCCGTCGAATGTGAAGTTGCATCGCCATTCTCGTCTAGTAGTGATGCTGTAATCAGGACTTGGTCTAGGAGGGCGGCACAAGCGGTGGGGAAGTCGGTTGTGTCCTGTTCTCAGTCAGGTCTCTTTCGTCGCCGTGGCTTCGGGAATGCGTCGGTCAAGACTGAATCGCGGGGTGGCATAGGGGAAGAACCTTCCAATAGCCGAGATTCATCCACATAGACGGCGGTGGGACGGGGAGATTGAGAGCCGCATGATCGAGTCCGTAGAGGGATGAGGTTTCGTTCGAGGTCTTGGACTTGCGGAGAAAGGAGAGAAGGTGCATTGCGGAGTTTATCTTCGGCGGTGTAGGAAAGAGGCGACTCTGAACTTTGAAGCAATCTATTGCGCACGGATCATCATCAATACCAATGACAGAATCTCAGGCGAAAATGAAAGATTTCCTCCAACTACTGCGGATTGGGTGGGTGTTCAAGAATTATGCGGGGAAAGCGGAAATATATCTGGGCGGGATGTCGCCGCTTTTAGGCACCGCTATCAAAAACTTGGCGAGCAACATCTTATGCTTGCTCCCCTCTACACCTCCGGGATGAGCACGCCAGATGTTCCGACTTCCCGCTACACGTGTCTACAGTGAGTATCACATACCGGTGGTGGGGTTGTTCCAGTTCAGAAGTTTCGTCGGAAAAAGTGCGAACACTGCTTTCAATACAGAATGCTGAGGGCGTTAGAGTTCTTGCGGCATCAAGCATCGACACCGTGACTAGCCACGAGTTTGACGTTACGGATGCCCTCGAATTGCCAGCTTGATCCTGGAAATATCCGAGCGGTGGTGGTACCGAGTAATGGAGCACAGCATTTTAGTGGTTTGATGCCTGGGGTAGTAGGTACAGAATTCCCAACTCCGAACACGGTCATATGCGTATTAACCCGCTACTAGTCTTGAATGAGCCTGCTGCTTATTGTTCCTTCTCTCAATGTGTCCTCTTAGGTTTTCGGATACCCTGCCTCCAGGAATCAATCCGGGCTCTGCTGGATCTCCTAACAGTTCCCACACCGGGACGACGCCCACCCACGGAGGGTTCTCATTGTCCGGCCCGTCGACTTCTCTGTCTCTTGGTTGAATTCCGGGTGGACCAGTGCGAGTTTTGACGGACAAACTATCGATGCTGACCTTGATCACGGAGACCAAACTGATCTGGTACGAAGCCACTGGGTTTACTTCCTCCCATCGGTTGGGCACAATATGATTGGTGACAGCACGCATCACGATGCGCTTGATGGCCTTGCTTTTGACCAGGGTGCATGTTCCATGAATTACCGCCGAGCGGTAGTTGAACGTATGGCCGTTAGGGGCCGAGGAGAGCACAAGACCATCGACTGGGAAGAATTAGCATTTGTTGGAATGGATTCGGAGAGACGTTACCTTTTGTGGCTACGATGCACACTTTGACCGGTTCCAAGCTAGCCTCCCTCGCTAACTCTACTATCCTGGTACCTGGATGCCCATGCAGGTATACGACAGTATTACCTTCCTCAAGCAGGGGTGCAGGACCATGCTCTAAGCCATCGGCTTCTTCGGCTTCTTCTTTCATCACCAACGCAATCATGGGCAGGCATTGTGGAAGACCTTTATCGACGTAGGATACATGGGCTGTAAAACAGTCGTCAAACACAGCCTTCGCGGATTCAATGTCATAGGTTCCGCGTTGTGTATGTCTGCGAAGTGATGCCGGCTCCATTTTCCTATTAATCAAGCCGGGCCATTTTACGTGAGTGATGAAGGGCCTTTGTACCATGATCAAGCTTGATGCATGGAAGGATCGCCTTGGCGACTCCAAATCGGACATTGCGGAGGCTATTTGATAGCATAAAGCGGGGATCCTTCGTGCTATCTGCACCATTACTTCCTTAGAGATAAGAACATTGATCAACCTGATAGCTTAAACTGACCCGCACCAACTGTTCTCGATTGCTTCTTGCTCAGATTCCGAGCATACCGCAAGCGTAACCAGGATAGCATCATGGCCCGATCTCGCAAGGGTTGCAAGGACTGCAAGCAGGCCAAGATCAAATGCGACGAGGTGCATCCGTCATGTGGGACTTGCGCTCGTCGACGCCGCCGGTGCAGCGGATACTCTGTTTGCGAAGGCCCATCTAGACGCCCCAGTGCTTCGCTCGACTTGGGTGCGACGAACCACCGAACGTCTGTCGACTTGAGTCAGCGCATGGCCCTTCAACGGGCACTAAGCGAACTACCTGTAGGGTACGAAAGAATGATGGAAGAGATTCCCACGGGCACTTGGCTCATTGATGCGCCGGGCTGGAGGAATAGCACCGATGATTACATGAGATCAATGATTATGGAAGCTTCAACCAAATCGCGGTATTCACTGAAAGGACCCGCACCGATTTGTTTGAGCGAGATCCTCGCGGCGGATAGACCACTGATCGAGGTCTACTTCATGAGACACCCTTCAGAGATGGTGATGAGCGACGACTCATTCATCCGCGAGATGAACGGCGCCGTCATTTCCCTTCTGCAGCACAGTCCTACAGCAGTGGGCGATGCGTTAGCTGCAATAGGAGAGAACTATCTCAAAGAAGCCGTGGACTCTGCCCTGGTGTCAAATCGCAAGGTACGCCTTGTCAGTCGCTTAAGGTTGGTTAGTGAGGAAGAAAATGGCCCAGAGCTGGGACTGATGCTTTTACTTGCTCTTTGCGGTGTCGAGGTATGCTGGAACCGGATACATGTATTGCTACCCCGCTGACGAGGTTGACAGCTCGTGGACCCCCAATCGGACGGCAGTGGAGCTGTACTGTCTGCACTTATTGACAATGTCGCCATGATTCTGGCTTTTCACACTCAGGAGAAAAACGCGCTGAGCGGCATGGCCAAGTATTTTGTTAGAGGGGTGGCCCGGCAAGATCTCCTGATTTCACTCTCACAAATGAAGCGCACCAAGATCGACTCGTCAGTCTGGCTTGATGATTACGCCATGTCTCACGCTGATCGGCTGATGGGGCTTACGGCTTCCTTATCTCCGATTCTTTCGAGGCTCGCCGGCCTCGCTGAAGACATGAAATCCAGGGAATGCAGGCTCATTGAGCCTTATAGCTTTGCGACGGAGCGCAATGACCTACTTGAAAGGGAAGCCTCCATAAAGGCACAATTAGAGAGCTGGCATCCCATACGGGATCGTTCTTTGTCAATGCAAATGTCGCGGAAGCTTCTGCTTCATGCATACACGTGGAGAGCAGCCGCACTGCTCTATTTGTTCCGCCTATTCAACCGCCCAGGAATCTCGACGCAAGCGGATATGGAAGCCCTGAGCATGGCGTACGAGGCCATGGCTCACATTTCTGGGTCGCCTCAAGATATGAAACTCTCGCTCTGGCCACTTTTCATTGCGGCATGCGAATTAGAGAAGTTGGAGGACCGGAGTCATGCGACCCGGCTGTTTGACGATATTTGTTACGCTCGGCCTATAATGACTGCAAGGCGCACCAGGTCCTTTTGTGTTGACCAGATCTGGCCAGCTCGAGATGCTGGAGAGAACTGGGACTGGATGTGTTGGCCAAATGCGCCTATACCATTATAATAGCATCTAAAGACTACGTCTTTCCTGACATCTCCACTCCTCCAGCTTGAGTAATTTGTGGACCGTGGTCATGTGTGGTGTGTTCACTCCGAGTTCTTGAGCCTTCTTCAATGCGTTTCCCAAGATCACCTCCAGCTCCATTGGCCGCCCGTTTTCCAAATCGAGCAGCATACTCGGTCGATAGTCGCAGTCATCCGGCAATCGATACGCCATCCACTGCACAATTGACTCTGGCATAGGATGACCGGCCGCTTTTGAAATGTTCCAAATCTCCCACATCATCGGCACAAGCATGGATTCTCTCCCTTTACTTCTCTGCAGCTCGCCGACATCCATTCTCATCAGTGCACAGACAGTATTGAATGTTCCGTTCCACAATAGTTTCTCCCATCTCGCAACCTGGATATCCTCAACCATTTCACACACGCTAGCACCCCCACTGAGGTACATATCGACAAACTCCCTGGCTTTTTCGATGCTTGTTGAATCGTCGACGCCCGTGTGGAGGTGCGGACCCATCTTGGACACATCCTTGCCGACTTGTACCACCATATTGGGCTCCTGGATCGAGCTCCCGATATGGCTAACGCTGCTCATTACCACGTTTCCCGGCCAGGCCTTGATTATTTCCTCCTCGATTCCCATTCCGTTCTGGATCATGACCACTGTTGTTCTTCCTGGCGTCATTACGGGAGCTATCATGCCCACGACAGGGTTCAAGTTCGGTAACTGCTTTGTGCATACGACGACGTAGTCGTATGTTACCTGGTCTCCATTTTCATCTGTTGCAGCGTCGGCAGCAGAGCGCACTATGCGATGAGGTTTCCACCCTGAAAGCTTCCCGTGGTCAACGGAATCGACATCCCATCCGTGCTGGGAGACATAGCTGTATTTCGATCGGAGGACGCAGGTAAGGTGGGCCCGGCCGGATTTTGCGAGAACAACGGATGCAATTGTGCCAACTCCGCCGGAGCCTATGAGGCAGACTTGATAGTGCCGTTGCGATCGACCTTCCGAATCCATGGCTGTGTAAGCTTTGGTTTGCCGCAAGCCATTGACAAGCAAAGATCATTTGACCCATTTGTCCTATCGTGATAGCCTCCGGTTTATACACAACATTATGTGGAGTCGTTCCTGTACCCCAGACGGGCCAGACCTGAGATACGTTGTGGGCCGAGCGGGGTCTGCGATAGCATAGATAAGGAGAGCAAGAATTACTGGCTGTGAAGCCTGTGATAATCATTGTTGCTACGATTCGGCATTATTCTTGATCTATGCTATCTTGGTCTCGTTCAACACCCTATCCAGCTCCTCGGCATACCTGAGCAAAGCCGCGTCTTGCAGCCTCGGGGCAACGATTTGCAGGGAGACTGGCGCCCCAGCCATGAGCTCCGGGTCGTCTACCATTATTAGCCCTAAGGAACACTTTTCACCTGTTACCGGACTTACACAATGCCTGGACTCTTTGGTCCAAGTCGTGTTTTGGCTCGAATGCGTTGTCCCTGGGGTCCAGTTGCGGATCCGCCTTCGTGAACGGAATGATTATCGCAGGATACTGAAACCGTTGTTAGTGAGCACCATATGGTATGGAAAGACAACCTCACATCCACAGCATTCCATGAAACTGTGTATAGCTCCGAAGTGCAATGTTCCGGAGGAATCGGGGTGTGCGGTGCAGCAGGCGCAATAAGCAAGTCAATACCCAGTTGTTGCCATGCATCCAGCATCTCCTTCTGCATTTGCCCCTTTTTAGTATTCCACTGCCACATCTCCTCGTGCATCTTTCTGGGCATGTCGAAGAAGCCAAACTTGGTCACTGAGGGTACAACCGGTTCACCTGCCTTGGCCAGTTCTCGCCGCGCGTATGAAGCCCCATCAACGGTGAATAACTGACTGCTGATTTCTCTTAACTCGGCAAAGTCTGGGCAGACGGGAGTGAAGTCTCTGACTTCGTAGCCGGCAACTTCAACTTTGAGCTGAGCCTCGTGGAGGGCGCGGCGGACGGGCGGGTGAGGTGTGACGCCCGACTCGTGGAGGATACCGACGATAGGCTTTTTGGTCGTGAGTACAGGATCCGGAGACTCCATAATGCCATGTATAACGGCTGGGTCAAATAGCCATGGTTTACCCTTGCGAACAGCTTCAGTGAGCAACCTGAGATCTCGAACTGAGTGTCCAATGGGCCCTAGGACAGCAGGAATGCCGGTATTGACACCGGTCCAGCCTGAGGCGGCGTATCCGATGAAGGGAAGGATACCAACTGAAGGTTTGTAGCCATACACGCTGTTGAACGCGGCGGGAAGTCTACACATACACAATCAATAATTTGTTATTGCCACTGTCAAAGACTCTGTGAACGTACCTGATGGATCCTCCCACATCAGTGCCAATACCTAATGCATTTCCCCTGAAAGCGGAGAGCGCCCCTTCGCCGCCACTGCTCCCGCCACACGACAGGTGCTTGACGATGGGGTTCTTTGTGCGCCCAAAGACATTGTTCTCGCACTCGGCTACGAGCATCGTCTGTGGGACGTTGGTCTTCGCAATGACGACTGCACCGGCGTCCTCGACCAGCTGGATGATGGGGGTGGTCGTGGTGGAAGGGTCGAAACAGCGCGAAATGTACCCGTTGGATGCATCGTATCCTTTGACGTGGAAGCACTCCTATCACAAAGATGCATTAGCTTTACCGCTTGGAGGGATAGATCCGACGACGTACTTTGAAAGTCATCGGCAAACCATGTAGAGGGCCCACCGTCTTTCCACCCGTTCTCTCGAAGTACTCATCCAGCTTTTTCGCCTTGTCGATTGCATCGCTGAAACAGATTTCCGTCAACGCTTGACAAAGCTGCTGGCAGATTGCAGCACGCTTGCAGAATGCCGTCACCGTTTCAACGGCCGTGTACGTGCCCTTGGCAACCTCTGCGGCGAGCGAGGTTGCATCGTACTTTTCGCCTGTGATTTCAAGCTCTCTTTCGGAGAGGATCCCCGATGTAATGGCGGTTGGCCGTACATCCACTTCGTCTTTCGCCGGGTACTGCGATGCCTGCAGTCTCCAGGACGAAGGAATCCTCGACAACTGCTCAGCGCGCTTTTCGTCTCGAATGGCTTGCCATGATTTGGCAGGCGGAGGGAACTGTGATTGTGGCATGGGAACGATCGTCTCAGTAACGCTGACAGAGGCCATTATGATTTGGATTGCTCTGAGTGTCTATGTTAACAGGTAAATTATCTGGTCTTGCCTTTATACACGGGTAGATTTCGTTCTCCAAACAATGGTACTAACGCACTAAGAGCTACGCAGCGACGTGATAGCCCAGCCAATCAACTATCTGTCTCTATCAAACGCTATCATTTAAGCTATCGCATGCTATCAGTGCAAATTACCCCGCAGCCAGCATTACACTGCGCTAGTGAGATATCAGATCATACCGCGATTGGGCCAGATAGCCCTAACTCATGCCCCAACAGCATGTTATATCACATATCCCTTGCTTGCTGCAGGGACGGAATTATAAAACCATCTTCCCCACGCTCTAAAATTAACGTGCCTGTAGCAGCAGACGTGTTCTCAATCTTGCCACCGCCAACAGGCAACATGTCTGCGCCCAAGGAGGTCGATGAGGCCATCTCGTCCTCCGATCACGACCATGGCTTCGGTAGTAGCAGGTCTATGCCTGTCAACTGGCTGAGTCGCTTTACTGGCAAGAACACGAACATAAACCTGAACGAGGTCGGCAAGGATTATTTTCAGCGCTCTCTGCAGTATGACGAGGCGCAGCTAGAAAGGGACGCTGTGAAGGTCCGCAGGAAGCTTGACTTTTATGTTTTGCCGTTGGTACGCATAAGCGACCCCCTGTTTAAGGTTATATACTAATGATTATAATAGATGATGATAACATACATGTTGAGCTTCCTCGACAAACAGACGTAAGCATCCCCTACCTGACGTTGCGAACCGGAACGCGAGGTTGTTGACACAGTTTACCAGACTAAACTACTCCAACGCATACGGCCTCCAAGAAGACACAAATATGACAGGCGATAACTACTCCTGGGTCTCGTCCGCGCTATACATCGGCTGGCTGGTAGGCGCCTATCCCTGGCAACTACTTTTGCAGCGATACCCAGTCGGCCGGTTGATTGGGGTTATGCTCTTCGTCTGGGGCGCGGTGTGCATGCTGCAGGCAAGCGTTTACTCCGTATAATATCTCTATTAGCTCTAACCGGTAAATTAGGCCGCCGTGTTCAATTTCGCCGGCTTCTTCGCCATCCGCTTCTTCCTCGGTCTGTTGGAGGCGGTCGTCTCGCCCGCATTCATTATCCTCACATCTATGCTGTGGACGCGCGAAGAGCAAAGCCTACGGAGCTCGTACTGGCTATCAATGAATGGCATCTCCGCTATAGTTGGTGCGTTGTTAGCGTATGGCGCCGGACATGCGGAGGGGCTAGCGGTTCCACAGTGGAAGCTTATATACCTGGTACGAGACTAGAAAAAAGTTCCCCTTCAGTTAAGATTGACTTTCTGGTTTAATGCTGTTCAGATCGTCGGCTCCATGACAATAGCCTGGGGCTTCGTGATCTACGCGTACCTCCCCGACGGCCCGCACAACGCAAAGATGCTTTCCGAGTACGAGCGCATCGTCGCCGTATGGCGCATCTCGCGGAACCAGACAGGCCTCAAGCAGCCGCAGATCAATACATCCCAGATCAAAGAGGCTCTGGTCGATCCGCGACAATGGCTGCTATACCTCATGGCCATTTGCTACGGTATTCTGAACGGCGGCGTGGCCAACTTCCTAGCGGCCATAATCAAGGGTTTTGGATATAGCCCGCTGCGCACGAGTCTGCTGCAGACGCCTGTTGGCGCGTTCGAGCTCGTCATGGTTATTGCGTTTGGGTATCTTTCAAAGGTACCGAATATGCTGGGTGTCACTATTGTTCGTACGTATTTCCTAACCACTTGCAGTAACTGGACTAACCAACGCTGTGACAGTATCCTGCATCCCCGGCCTAGCCGGTCTAATCGGGATCATGAAAATCAGCATCGAGCGCCACCGCTTCGCCCTCGTCGCCATGTGCTGGCTCCAGGGGATCCTCGGCGCCCCCGTGATTCTGAACTGGACTCTGCCGGGCCTCAATACAGCGGGACACACGAAGCGGAGCACGGTGCTGGGTATCTACTTCGTGTATGCACTCGCACCCCATTCTAACCTCGATCCAATCCGATACTGACAGAAGAACAGGCTCTATTGCGCCGGCAACATCGCCGGTCCTCACTTCTTCCTCCCCGACGAGACACCGCGGTATTCCACGGCGATCAAGGGCCTCGCTGGTTCTTACGCGGGCGCCATGGGATTGCAGGTTATCTACACGGTGTATTGTGCGTGGGAGAATAGGCGGAAGCAGCGCGTGGGTCTTTTGGATGAGGCGCGGGCGAATGCGACGGAGGTTGCGATGGAGGGGTTTGAGGATTTGACGGATAAGGAGAATCGGCATTTTAAGTATAGGATTTAGGGGAATTGTTATTATTAGAGGAAGAATAGTGGATGATGATGATGATGGAGTTGGAGTGTGCTATGTTTCGTATAGCTGGGAATATGCACCGACTACCTACCTAGGACCTGGCCGCCGCGGTCGATCTCATCCATTATAGGAAGAAGCATATCTCATGTTATATCTAATCTTCAGCACTGTTAGTAACCGTTGACTTCCACCGAGCTTGACTAACGACGTGGACCCTTTATACAGCGTTGAATGTTGATTCCTCCACTACCAAACTATATCCATGGATATCTATCAGATCAGGACCCAGAGATGCACAGACGTACAGAATCTCGTGAATTTTACCAGACGTCTTACCATCTGAAGGATCCAGGAGCACCTTTCGCTCATTCGGCTACTCTAGCTATCAGGTAAAACTGCTGGGCTGTGACTCTCATCCGCCTAGGGCTAGGGCTGATGCATCTGGTCAGTACACCTATTGGGAGCAGCGCGTGATGTCTCGCGTATGTATAACCATGCGTGTTCAGGCGGTATGCTAGGGCGTGGTTAACTGAAGACTGCTGTCTACCCCAGGTTCTCAGCAGTGTAACAGGAGACCTGCTTGCCGTTGGGATCTGGACGGGAGTCTGGAGAGGAACGATTCGTGCTGTGGAGGTGAGTGGACGAAACCGTATGTGTTGGTTGCAGGGGGTTCTAAGTAGGTTCGGTGCTTTGCCCAGATATTATACGACATTAAAAGCAAGAAAACGAACGCCAAATGGCCCGAAGTGACATGTCAGATTGGACATTATGAAGCTGCATTATTTGTCGACTTAAGTCCATTCCATCCCCAGATCGTACAGAACAAGAATGCCTTTAGGGTTACGGCTGCACAATCGGATTATAGAACCGGAACCTGTTGTCCGGATCATACCTCTCCTTCAACGCCCTCAACCTCTTCAATCTCCAAATCTCATGCCCGTACTTCTCCTCCAAGGACTCCATTCCATTCGCGTAGTTGACGTACGCATGAGCCTTTCTCCCCGGCTGGCCTGCGTTCCACAAATCCCTCACCTCAGCAGCCCACTCCCACGCATTCCTCTCCAGCTCAGAATCTGTGTTATTTGGCGCAAGAGCGATATTGATAAGCATGAGGTGATGATCCGATCGAAACGGGTACGCCGAGTCCGCGGAATCGTAAGCGGTTACCGCGGCAGTGCTATACCCGTCATGCTCGATGACGCCGCCGGCTGCAAGTTGCGGATGACTCTGGATCCGACGCCGGAAGGATTCGAATATCTGCCGCTCCGCAGTGACGTTGTAGACCTGCAGTCCAGCGGTAGCAGAGATGATTCTGTTACCGTGCTGACAAACAATGCTATCCGTGTCGAGGCCCTGGGTTGCCGCGATACCCGGGTAAGGCAGGTCGCCGAACTCATCAGACAAAGAGGGGATCGCGTTGAAAGGGGCTAGGAGAGGCGCCGCCTGCTCTACGGAGCCGCGGTACGCAAAGGACCACTGTATTAACGGATTGTGTGCGTCCAGTGTAGAGTTCATGAAGAAACTGCCCCAGTTCTGCGCCATATCCACAGGCGTCGACCCATTCCCATGCAACGCATTCAGCGCCTCAAACAGAACCTCGAGCTTCTCGCCGCCCCAGACATAGTTATGGTAATGCCACGTCTCCGGCCCGCGAGGATAGATTTTACTCTCGAAGCTGGTCACGATCCCAAAGTTATGGCCCGCACCTTTCATGGCCCAGAAGAGATCCGCATGCGAGGTGGAATTCACGGTGATTGCCGTCCCGTTGCCCAACACAACGTTCAGCTGCAGGATGTTGTCGCTGATCATCCCGTAGAGACCCTCGAGTCGGCCGTGCCCGCCGCCCAGTCCTGGACCCATCATAGACACGCAGTCGCAGGCGCCTGTTGGCGTGACGTACCCCCTTTCCCAGAGGTATGCCACAGCTTGTCCGTCGTACACGCCGCCGCCGAACCAGGCTGATTTGCCGCTGGGAGTTATGGAGATGTTTGAGAAGGGCGAGAGGTCGATTTGCACGCCGTTGAAGGAGTTTAGCGTGGAGGCGCCGCCGTGTGCGCGGTTGCGGGCGAGGAAGGGGAGGCTGTTGTCGTTGCAGTATTGGACCTGCAATTACCAGAAGTCAGCCCAATGCCACTAGTTACATAGAAGGAGGGGAAAGAAGGCGTACAATGGTAGACACATCAACCTCTTCGTCCGGCTGGATGACGACCTGAATACGCGGGCTGGCGACGGTGTTCCACGGTTCGGTGGCATTCTTGTAACGTTCATCATCAGGGCCGAAGATGGTGGTTTTAGAAGAGACGACGCTTCCCAGCTCACGTTGGACTAGGGCGGAGCTGAGGTGCTGACGGGTGAATGGGGACGATTGGAAGACGTGAGGGATATCTGCAGGCGTGCTAGCTACAAGCCGAGATACGGCTAGGCCATACAGCAACGAAATAAGGATCCTCATTTCCACTGCTGCTTCATGTACATCTAATGAGCAAAGAAGGCCTGCTTCTGCGGTAGGAGCCGCTATACATATACCCGCACAAGCTCATCGGTATAACGAATTGGGCATCCCGACTCTTCTGTATTTATGCCCTGAATAGTACCAGTCCCATAGCTCCATAGTGCAAAACTAGTAGTCTGTGAGCTATGCATCATGCAGCTGCCACTCGGTCACGTCTCTATGAATGGGACATATTTTTGTTTCCCATAAGCTGATGTAGATCTAGGGGGTGATCATCGACAATAGTGCCTTTGTAAACGTACTTTCGAACAAGATTTATGCCTGAGAGGCTGGGGTCGCGATCATACATATGGATATAGTTAACTGAACCCTGTAGTAACTCGGCTCCAACATAGAAGGCTATTTCAACGTCTGCCGGTTTGCTTGGCCAAAAATCGAAGTATGCGCAGTCTTCGAATGTCTTGCTTTGATCTTCATCTGACGGGAAATAATCAGGTCACAGGTGTCAATATACCTATTGCTTTTGCCGAACGAAGGAAGAGCCCTGTGCTGATGTTGCTTTTGCCGGAAAAAGCAAAAGCTCCCTTCGAGGCATGGACGTAAGGCGCATGGATACTATGGATACTCCGTGCCGACACCGAAGCCAGAACCGGGCTCAGATCAGCCGAGGATTGTCGCCGACTTGATCGAGCTGTGCTGGGACTTACGTGCTTGGCTGAATGTGGTGTTTCCTCCCCGATACCATCTGGAATATATCCGTCCATTTGCACAGAGCACATAGGCAAACTGGACTTTGGAGACGTATTAGGCCCGGTCTTGGATGCCCTCGCCCTGCTGTGGATTGCATTCGAGCTAACCCTGCGGAAACCTTCGGGATCGCGTTGATAACGGGGTCGGTTAGTGCTGTTTAGTATGCCTAGGAAATCCGGCTCATGTGTAGCCCTAGGGACGAATGACGAATGGATTGTGGTGTTTGTAGGATTGACCGCGCTGCCGGGGGCTTGCATGCAGCTATCACTCCTTGCAGGGTGGTAGCAGAGTCCTAGCTAACGGGATGGATCTATCTATAGGGTACCTCCTCTAACCGACTCGGACTCCTGTCTATGCTCTATATCTACCCATGCGTCTCTATACTAATCTCACATCCAACACAGTATTGAAACCGCCTACTCCTTCTCCTTCCCCTGTAATTTCTTCAAATGTTCCGTACCCGCAATCACACTCTCCGCAAACGCACTCCTAACCCCGGCCTTCTCAACAGCGAGCAGCCCCTGAATCGTGCACCCCCTCGGACTCGAAATACTCTCACGCAGCATAGCAGGATGTTGCCCTTCCTGCAACAACTTCGCCAGTCCCAATAAGCACTGCGCCGTCATCTCGCTCGCCTCAGACCTCTTCATCCCCTCCGCCACGCAACCGTCCAGGATCCCGTCGACGGCAACGGACATCGTTGCGATGGAGGCCATCAGCATGGATCCGCAATCAAACAGGTCCGGACTAATAATCTTCGTCTGACCAATCTGCGAGAATATCCACGTGATGATCTCGCTGTTCTCCTTTGATGGTGAGGGTGACGGGAGTTCAATAACCGTCATGCTTTCGCGAATACTAGCCGCGACATTGGGGATTGCGCGCGCGACGACTGTCCCCGCTGCCGAGGCCTGGCTTTGGTTCTTGGAAATCGCTTCAGAGAGAACATTGATCGTCTTCCCGGCAATGATACTAATCACCAACTTCCCCGCCAGCGCATCCGCGAGCCCGGGTTCAGCAAGAACCGCGTCAACGAGGTACGGCTTGCAGCCGAGGATGACGACGTCGGATTGCGACGCGGCGGACGTGTTGGAGTCTGCGAGGAAGTCGAGGGTAATTGGTGATTTGTGGTCCTTGTATCGGGTTGCCAGCCTTTCCGCGGATTGGGGCGTCTTTGTGCAGGCTATTATGCGGGAGAATGGGCATGGTATCTGGGTTGATGTTAATGTTGAGGCATCGAGGATGCCGCTGAGAATTGCGGAGCCCATGTTTCCTGTGTCAATGGGTCAGAGAGGGTCTTTGGATGGGAGGACTGAGAGGGGCCTACCGCATCCGATGAATGTGAGGGTTAGATTGGAGGCCATGGTGGTGAGATGCTGCTACTGCAGATGGCTGGGAACAAGGACTCTCTAAGGGTTGGCAAGACTGGACACTTTCTGGACGATTGCAATGTCGTTTCGATGTTGGGGAAAGATCTCTCATAATGAGTCAAGCCAACCCCGCATGACTAATCTCTCCGATTTCATCGGAACCCCATCCGACATCCATCTTGCTCTATTCACGAGTTTGGATAGTGAAGTCCCTAAGATTATCCTACGAGTCGACTACAACAAGCACACAAAGTACATTGTCTGAAGTACCCATTGAATCAATATAAAATGAGCTCTTGACTATCAAGCAATGTCCCAGCCATCTCTTCAAGTCCCCGCCATCCTCTTTTCCACCCATCCCATATCTAAGGCATTCTATCAAGCCAAACAAGACTTCACAGCGCTATTATCATTATTCGCTGGTCCGAGACGGCTCTGGACTCGTGGCCTAGTCTAGTAGATGGGGATTGTATATCTGGCACTTTCAGTTCTTGTCCATTCTGTCGGGAATGCCTGGATCACTCACCTCTGCCCCGCAAATAACCAAAAGGAGCGAGTGGAAGCCTTCATATTACCTTCTTACATTGGCTCGGTAGCTGACCTACGCATACGTGTTGATCATATGTGCCTCGCGTATCACGAGCGTCCAGTTGCCAGAACTTCACGGCGAACATTGGCATCTTATCCCCAAGGAGGATGCCTAATCGTTAAAGGTCGAACTTGGCTTTTCTGAATGGTTTTGAGCATGATACCGGCGGGAGGTATCAGGTGTATTAACGCCATGCTCGGAGCTCCTAAACTGACGGAACTGCATTTCGAGGTCGGCGAACCACTTGTTTTGGAGTGACTTGAAGTCTGTAATGCGACATGGGTTAGGAGACTCACAACAGACCAACGGGGTAGGTACGTACCAGGGTATTCCTGCTCATGTTCCTCGTCAGAGCTCTCCCCATCCCGGTAATCTTTCTTCCATTTTGGTGAATTCCAAATTGTGGCCATCTCCCTTGCTTCTTTATTCCATATCAGATCCGGCAGTTCCTCCTCGGGGCACGATAACTTGAGCTTGAATGCCTTGTATATTATCTTGCTGAACTGGTTGACGACCGCTTGGTGGTCCTCATTCCAGCTCAATTTCAGCGAGGAGAGCTGCGAGAGCATTTTGTCAGTGCATTCGATATGTACCAAAAGGAGTGGAGTACTAACCTTGTATTTCTTGTCTATATGCAAGAATATCCATTCATAGCCATCAGTCAGCACCCCATATGTCTCTTTGTTGGCGCTGTGCTTCGTTCGATTATGCTGTATCAACGCTGGGTCTAGTTAGTACAGCACTTGATAGGAAGAGGAGACGTACACATGGCAGCAAGGACTGGCCGACATTGTTCATCTCCATTGGTGCCGACTGGCCTGACGGCGCGGACGACGATGAGATTCGTTTCCAGCCCTGGCTGGTCTCCATGCCACAGTACATAGTCTACCGCGCAGTCCAAAATATTTCCCTGTCTCTGGGCCGTATCTGCCAGATGGACCACCTGCTCATAGCTCCAAAAGATTCTTTGTAGCCTTCCGCAGGCCTCCGATTGCTCCTGTGATGTGAGGCCTGCCAGGACCCTGCGCTTGACGGTGGCCAGGACATGATTTAGGATGGCGTCAACTCGAGGACGGCTTGGAATAGGAATGTCTGCGGTGGTAGCAACAGTTCCAGTCGGTCTCATGGCGATGCTGTAGTCTTCGATCAAGGTTAAGAGGTAAGTAGGAATCTCGGACGTATTGTCTGTTGAATCGATGCGCCATATCTTGCTCTTCCGGCCGGCTCTCGACGCTATTCCGCAGAAGCTGAGGAACTCCTCTTCGGCTTCGATGATTTCGTGTTGGCGAGGGCTCTCTTTATGTGGTAACCACGAGAGAAGTGCATTCAAACACCCTCGCAGGGTAGGAAGCGTAGTGTACTCGGGCATGGCGCGATTTGTGATGGCTAGCGAGTGTGTCGTGATGGAGAGCAAAACCTGAGCGCGAAGATGTCGAAAAGAGCTTTTCTATATGGTTAACGTGGCTGAATGACTCTTCTCTAGCCGGAAGTCTGTTCCTACCCACTAGTTGTTTTGTGTCCGTTTTGGGAGGAACGGGCGACTGCCTTCCAGTTCCTCGTGAGAAACCCAGGACTTCAGTTCCATTCTTCTACTGGATGAATCAGCATCGCCTTCAGACTTTCTACTTGTTCATGCAGTAGATACTGTAGTATTAATGAATATAGTCCGCCATGGGCCAATTACAATGGCTCTTACTAATCGATCCGACTGTCGGGATTCCGCTCCGACATTTTCCTCTTATCTCCGCACCATCATGACCCCGCTGCGTTGGGAATATGACGACCGCTGAGCCGTCGAGGGCCAAAAAGGTCCAGAAGGCGTGAGTCTCGCTATAAACTTTTGTTGTCAGACCTGACAAATCCATCCTAGATGCGAGCGATGTCGGGCTATGAAGGTCAAGTGCTCGGGGACGAACCCATGTATGCGCTGCGCCAAAAGGAAGCGCCGATGTCACTACGTCGAGGACTCCCGCGTCTCGGTGCCGGAGAGGTAAGGTATCATAATGCCACCGTCGGGACACCCTTGCTAATAGCGCAGTTACCTCCGCGAGCTGGAGCGCCGCAACTCACCCGCACTATATAGCAGGTCGCGCCAGACTTTGTCTGAGAACGTGCTGGAGATAGACAACTCTCCGCCGGTTCAAAGCCAGCCACATTCATTATTTACACAGAACCCCTTAACTGAGACGGAGTACTCATTCGCAAGGTCGCCTGACGGAAGGTTCTGGTACATGGGCCCGTCGTCCTCGTGGTCCTTCTGCCGGCGCGTCCTCGCTCTCCTAGGAAAGCAGGTCCCGGACGCAAACAATCCTCCAGATCCCTGGAACATAGACGGCACAGCATTTATGTTGAAATGGCATCCGCTGTCTGCCGATGAAACACCTGATCTCTCCGACCTGCCTCCCATGGACTACGGTCTGTATCTACTTCACACGGTGCGTTTCCACTTTGGTCCACTGTTTTATATACTAGATGAGGCCGCGTTTGTCCGCCACTTGCATATCTTTTATCACAAGCCGGAGGAATGCGTTGGTCACATGCGCACTTGGTTCGCGCAGTACCTGCTCATCATAGCATTCGGAAAGGCATTTCTGGCGCCGAATCGGCAGCCGAATGCGCCTCCTGATGGATATCAATATGCATCACGGGCTATGGCGCTTATGCCGGACATGTCTGGTGTACATGCAGATCAGTTGCAGTGTATCCAGGCGCTTACATTGGCAGCGCTGTATTTTCAGTCTGTTGATATGCGAGTTGCTGCTTTCCAACATGTAGGGCCCTTTCTGTGCATCTGGAATACATGTACTGAGCCAACTATAGATAGGATTCGCCCTTCGCGTCTGCATTATAGAAGGCATTCACCGCCACGTTCCGGAGCATTTAGATGGTGAGGCATTAACCCGCCGCTGCAAGACTCTCTTTTGGATGGTGTATATGCTCGATAGGGATTTCTCCGCGCTTATTGGGGCGCCGAGCTCCATTCGCGACGAGGACATTACGGTCAAGCTTTTTGCAGAGGGAAGTGCGGAGGAAAAGGCGCTTACACTGCATGTCCAGCTCGCCAGGTTAAGTGCACGCATTCTTACGAGTAAGCTTTTCCGGCATATTGCCAATTGAGACTAATGACCCCAGCGGTATACGGCGTCGGCGCCGACTTTGACGGAACTCTCCTGAAAGACACGCAATCTATCTTCCGTAATCTGGCAGAACTCTCGCAGGACCTGAATGACTTGTTGAAGACGCACTTTCATGGCTCATTAAGCCGTGCGTCCCGCGCAGCGACGCGGTTGATCCTTGCCTACCACCATGTGAGTCACCCTGTCATCCTCACACCTCAACAACTAATCTCTCAATAGTGCGTCGTCCTCACAACTCGTCCGCTTGTAATGTGCGCTCTTCACGCTCACATCGAACACGCCCAGAGCCAGCCACAAACCCCGACCCACCCAACGCCGACACCTCTAGCCATCCCGCTCTCTCCCGTTGTCTCATCATTACTGCATTGCTGTGTTGAATCGGCCCAAACAGTCCTCCAGACGCTCCGGACACTCGCCGACTCAGACCGAATCGAGGCCTTCCTACCCTTCCAAATCGAGGACGCATTCGCATCGACTTTCCTACTGCATATTATCAGTGTTATTGCGCCAAGCCTTGCACGAGAAGAATCGTGGCTCGAGAATGCGGGTTTTGTGATGGATGTTCTTGTCCAGAAAGGGAGTTTGGCGGCTCCGCTGAGAAAGGTCGAGCTAGATTGTTTGAGAAGGGTTGTTAGGCCGCTTACGCTCGGTAATGTGAATTCCAACTCTTTTCCTGTTCGGAGTGGGGAGACTATTGAAGGAATGAATATGATGGCTGGCTCAGAAACGGCGCCGGTAGCAGAGACAGTGGGAGAACAAGAGCTTGACTGGGATATATTCGCCGTTGACGGCACGGTTGGACTCGAGCCGCAGGAATTGTTTGATCTGGCGGAGCAATTGGATGTTCAAGGAATCATGAATATGCAGTATGATGCTTGATTTTGGGTACACTCGAGGCCTCGCAATTGGGCAATTGGATTGTCGTGTATCTCTGAGTATATATTGGTTAATGTATGGGGGCCAACCAACTTATTTTCGCTTCTGCTTGGTGTGAAGATACCATAGTCCCCATCAAATAGTCAAGATCTATATGTTTCTAAACACTTATATACACATCCAGGAATCAAAAAGCCCATAGATCTATATAACCTCCATCCCATCCACAACCCCGAGAACATCTACCAACCGATCAATCCCAGAATCCGGCTTCTCCCTCTCGCAATTAGCTGCATTCCCCTGCCCAAACCGACACCAACAGACCCTCGCCCCAATATTCCTCGCAAACAGAATATCCGTGACCGTATCTCCAACCATTAACACCTCCCCCTCACCATACGCACACGCCTCCTCCCCATATACAGCCTTCAGCCTCGGCAACAGCACCTCGCTAAACCCCTCAGGATGCGGCTTCCTCTTCCCGCCAGTAAACATCGGCTCGCCAACAATCAGCTCGTCGGGAACGAGGCCGCCCAGCCCGTGGCTCGCTAGCGCGGAGTGAATGGCAGCCACAGCCTTGTTGCTGATTATCGCGAGTTGAATCCCGGCATCGCGCAGCTTAACCAGGACTTCCTTTGCGCCGGGGTACGGCGTCGTGAGCGGGTGACCGTGCTCCGAGTAGATTTTTCGGTAAGTCGTCACCCAGGTTTCTTCGTTGAACGAAGCGTTTCTTTCATCGGGGGGTTGCAAGGCCTTGAATGTTATCTCTGGTGGCGCGCCGATGGAGATCAGTCTGTTGAGTTCGGCTGGGTCTGGGGTGTAAGAGGGGAGGAGTTTGTCGAAGGTTAGCTGCACGGAGGTGGTTATTGCGTTGAGGGAGTCGAAGAGCGTGCCGTCGAAGTCAAAGATTATGAGCTTTGGGGGCATTTTGGGTTGTCTTTTTGCTTGCTTTGGTTTATTCTATCTTGATGAGGCGGAAGTTGAGTTGTTTACGTGGGCTGCATTGGATGGATGGTAATGTGAATGGGTTGAGTCATTGGATGGTTTTTTTGTAGACAGGGACCGCTCCGCTGCCGAGAACTCGGAGCGTCTCCGAGATGCGAAGTCCCTTGACCCCCCATTGTCATGCTACTATGATGGTCTATGTACGGCGCAGGTGCTTATCTTGACACTTGAGTTGTAATAATGTGTGTGATCAATTTACTTTATCTTTCGACGTTCCCGTCATATGTCGCTTAAGCATCCTTGAGTCTCCGGTAAGGCCTATGCGTTACGTGCGACGATGCTGTTTATAGTTGAAACATCGGGCTCCGGCACGGATATATATAACTGAGCCGCGCAGACTGCAAGCCACTCAGGTTTCAAACCATGATAGACTTCCGGGACTCTTGACTGCGGGAATGACAGCCAAGCACCCTTGGTATGAAGTTTAATCATCGGTGGTTGCACGATCTTCTCATAGGCCAACACCGTTGTACGGTGAAGCCAGAAGGGGCCTGTATCACTTGCTCTCTTATGCAATATCGGGAGGTTGCTGAGAGGAGATGGATAGAGGCAGGTAGAGGAATGCTGACTGCTTCGAATAGGAACCGGTCTACACTCTACAGTACAAATAAAGGCCGTTCTCCCTATGAAGGGGTCTCTACCAGTGCACGATCGTTTCATGAATCGCAAGCCCCATTGATCGCTGGTTTGATTTGCCCAGTCTGGCTCCGGAGTCCGACTCCAGATCCACAGATCGCCAACTCGAGCTTTAGGTGGTTGCTCTGTGCTCCGAAGTATGTATGAGGGGATGGGATCGAACTACTTCAACTGAGGACGAAACTCAAAAGAGTGCAGCGGATGTAAGCGCTGTCCAAGAGTTGTATATAAGCCGCCGTTAATGACAGGCATCAATTGGAGTCACGGGTGGGCGATGGAGTCCAGCCTGCCAGATTGTCGGGTTGCCTCGGCAGGTGAGCCTTGACTGAATTCTTGACTTTGAAGGAACGGCTGGGGAGTCCACGCCAAACCAAGCACCAACCACATTGTCGAATAGATTGACCCCTGAACATAATCGTCAATGTCATTGTCGGAGTGCCGGAGTGTTGTCTCGTGAGAACCATTTCTGGGAGACAGCGATCCATGGTTGTCTCGAACAGTCGTTCTCCAGAGCCCACTCTAGCAGTCGGACCCCACTTGGAGATTCACGGTCCTCATCCGTACGGAGTAGCACTCACCCAATTCAGAAGTTATAGCTCACCAGCTATAACCTTAAGGTTAGGTCTCAACGTGGTGGAAGGCGGAGGCAGGTTCCTGGCCCAAGGGGAGGGGGTTGGTGGCTGCAGCTAGGGACGCACACTTGCAGTAGTCTGCTTCGACCGATGTCCAGACTCTCTTAGGTAGACATTTTGCTTTTGCTTCCCCGTCCGCGACCCATTCTGTTGGCACACTGGGAATGTCGCTTTTTCTTCCGCGCCTGAAACTGTCGCACAGTCGATTTTGCAAGTGAGAGGTGCCTTGTAGAATAGAAGACTGGTCGCCAGGAGGCCCTTGCTCGTGCGACTTGGACGGGGCTGTCGTTGGCTGGACTGCACTGCACTGCACTGCTGCCCCTTCCAGGAATCCACGCAACCTGCCGAAAAAGCAATTACGAGCAGAATAAAAAATTGAAAAGCCAAAACTCAATGTAAACAGGGAACAGAAGAAGAGAGGCAGGATAAAGGAAGTCAGAAGAATATCATGAGCTATAATTACCAGTAGCCTAAGAGTATAATGTCTCTTCTAGGTTGTGTATGTGCTCTGCTCCGTAGGTAAGAGCCCTCCACCTCCTTTTTCTCTCCATCCAGATCGGCGCCCACGAACGTCTCTTCTCCTCCACCACCACCACCACTCCTCGCCCCTCCGCCCTTATCTCTGCGGCTGTCCTATCCTTCTTGTCTCGTTCTTATTTTTACTCTTCTCTCCTTACAATATCTCGTCCTGCCTTGCAGACTTTCAGCCACCAGCCGCCAGCCCGACTGCGCGATCCCGTCGCAAATCCCACACTTATGCTAGTCCTGTCCGTTCTTTTTCGCCCCTGATCGCTGAATTTCCTCGCGAACCTCTCTCCGCTCTGTCGTTGCCGAGCCGCTCGAGTCGTCTACTGATTGATCTCCGACTCAATGTTGTGACGAAGCCCACGACTTTCCTTGAACGATTCATGATCTCAACCCCGCAGAACCGAGCCGACTCAACTCAACATGCCCTTTTCCACTTCCTCCTCCACTACCGAGACGTCCACCACCCCGCTCGCAGACTACTTCTGGATTGCCGGTGTCGACGGCTCGGAGATTCTTGAAACCTTTCGCAAGCTAGGCGATGAGTACCGGATCGCCAGTAACACCGCGCCCGGCCCTGCGGTCACCGATATCATCGAAGAAGATGCCGACGCCGAAGCTGCCCACGATCGCTTCGACGGGTTGCTTTCTCGAAGCTCCTCCGTTATTGGCCCTCGTAGCTCCTTCCAGCGCCTCTCTTTTCGCTCCGAAGACTCAGATCCCAATGCCAATGGTAATGCAAACGGCACGCACAGCAACCGCAGCAGCATGACAATCAAGGGTGGTAATAGTGGTGGTGTTGGTAGTGGTGCACCGTCACCGCGGGCCTCCCAATTCTTAGGTCTGGAGGAATTCGACTTTGACAAAGCATTGGTCAAGTTTGCCTCGGAAAGGGAGACGTTTCTGACGGACCTAAGCCTCAGCGCGGGCGCGATCACGCCGGCCTCTCGACCGCGGTCCAGATTACGCACTCAGAAGATTGTGTCCGAGGAGCCGCCCCAGTCGGGATTGCTTCGATCGAGCATTGGAAGTGTGCGACGGCACATGTCGTTTCGCGACATGAACAGTATGAAGAGGCAGCCGTCCGTTGCTCGTCAAGGTACTTTTACAAATTGTGCAGTATATGTAACATTGCTAATGATGCGCAGCATCTATTCGAACCTCGCGACGCCTAAGTAACTACAATTCCGTAATCCCAGCGCCCCAGCCGTTGGAGATTTCCCCTACCATGCATCCTCTGAAGCGAAGATTTGAACCCGTCCTCCTCGATCGCTACCCTCCGAAGGGCATGCCCGAAGACCTGAAACAGCGTGCCAACTTTCCAGACTATGTGCCGATGTTCGCATTCCCAAACGACGTCAATATCGTTTCGTCCGACCAGAGACCGCGGTCAACATGGCATGGTTTCGTGATGACGAGCGACAACGGCTCGCGTCTGCATGCCATCTGCGCCATTGTCTGGATTCCCCTGAACCATGAAGCGGCGGACCAACTAGAAAAGTGCTGTGAGGAATGGCGAAAAGATAATATGACAGATGAAGAACGTGAACTGGCAGCAAGCCTAGGAGAACGGTTGGCGCAGGAGCGAGCTAAGCTTTCCCGACTCCTGGCTCAGCTTCCCACCGTACCCTCCGGATCTGAGTCGAGAGAACAATTGGAAGACGAAATCAGTGCAGTCGAAGAGAAGATTGGATTGATGACTGATCTCTTGCGTCCGGTGCGTCACGGAGCGGCATCCAAGATCGAGGGACTGACTGATGGAGATACTGGCTTCTGGATTCCTCGTGCTTACGGCATTCTGGGACGGGAGGAGAACATGACTAGCTTCTGGAAAGAATGGCTGAAGGCAGTCATCGTCCCCATGACCGACAACAGCATCCAACGTATTCCTCCGGCCTCTCCTCGAATGGGTTCCTGGCAGCCCTTGGAGCGATACGTGATGAACCTGTGCACGGAGGCGTTCGCTCCCAACACCTCTAAAACCCAAGTGGAGCTGGCCGTGCGTGACTTGCGGCTATTTGCTCGTAAGGAAGCCACCAATGAGCTGCCCGGGTCTCGAAACACGGATCTATACGCCCTATTCCGGACACTGTCACTGTCGAACATTATGATACTGTTTGAGTATGCTCTGACCGAATCCCGCATTATTTTTCTGTCCTCGCACACGTCCATGTTATACCTTGCTACCAGGGCTCTGGTGGACCTTTTGTTCCCTATCCCGTGGTCCGGCGTGCTGATTCCCATCCTCCCTGCGCGACTGATCCAAGCTTTGGAGGCGCCCTGCCCGTACATCGTCGGCATCGAACGGCGCTATGAAAAGGTAGAGCTTCCTTCAGATGATTTCGTTCTGGTGGACCTCGATCAAGATATCATAGAGAGCACGGTCAAGCCGACTCCGCTCCCCCGTCACCAGCGAAGAAAGCTTCACTCTCTGCTGCAACTTGCCGCTCCTCATCACAGTCGATACGGAGTGCCTACTGGCCCCCCTGCCTACGCGATCGAGACCTTCCCGTACGACGCGTTCATGTCCGAGAACGCCTCCATCTACTCTTCCAAAGCACAGTCAACACAATTATCCAAGTACGTCAGTCTCAACTCGAACGCATTTGGTCAGACTGCTGTTTCCCCAAACTCGCATTTGCCTCTTATTTTCAACGCCTTCCTGCATGCCCGTAATGAACAAGCACCATCACGAGGATATTCATCCAAAAGCTCGGACCGACCGGGAACCGGATCGACCTTCAAGCCCGGATCTCCACCATCGCCAAGGGATAGTTCACCCATCTCTGGTCACTTCCCGCCGCCGCCAGCGACTCCACGCAACGACTCGGGAATGGCGCTTCAAGCTTCCCTTCGTGAAAAGCGATCTGGTCACTTTGACGCCGCGTCTCGGCGCAGCTCGTCCTTTGGAATGGACATGCGCCAGGTTCCTAGGCGGCCCAGTGCACCTTTCCTTGGTCATGCACCGAACCTGTCTGTCAGCACGCTGAACACCGATTTCCAGTCTACATATGCCCCCTCGGTTTACGCGCAGTCTACCGTCGCTGCCTCCACCATTGTTCCCCAGCCTACAGTCCAGCCAATCCATAACAACGATGGAACGTCTTGGGTGGAGGGCCATTGCTTGCAGCTTCAACCTTGGGATGACAAGGCGGTATGCACGATCTGCGACGAACGGGCAGACGAGAACATGTACAAGTGTGTATCCTGCAAGACACAGGTGCACAACCGATGCGCTCACCAGATCTGCATTGTTTGTCCCGTCGCATTCTACCCCGAGCAGGTGCGGGCAGCGTTCGTCCGATGCTTTGCCAGCTTGTTCTACACATACAAAAAGTATCTCAAGCCAGCGAGTGGCGACAAGAAGAAGGCAGGCCTTACGTACAGTTTTGACATGGATGCATTCTGCAAGAGCTTGCCAAGTGAGCATGCTGAATACATCGGTGTCCTATCACAAACCCAAGGTAAACTTTCCGTTTGACTCTGGATGAAATTGTGCTAACATGGATAGGCTTCAACGAGTTCATTAGTGACAGGGAACGCGTGAATCCCAAGGCGAGGGACCCGAGAATAACGCTCTTTGACGAGATTGTCTTATCGAAGCGGAACAGAGGCCGGTCGTCCATCTTCTCCGGCCGGTCCACGACAGACTTTTTGTCTGATACCTCGAACCATCTTTGGAGGACGGCAAGTGCTGCCTCATTTGCCGCGGGCAGGCCGCAGCAGAGTATCTCCGGGGACTATACCCGAGTGGTCACACGAGGTCTGCAACTACCTAGAGCTCCAATACTGATGTAATGGCACTGACGCTGAATAGCCCCCGCGAAACTCGACGCCAGTCTCATGAAAGAGCCCCGCATGATTCACGGGGCGCCCCGGGTATCGAAGACGGCTAACAATGCCCGGCGGAAGCCCCTTCCCAAGCTCATGAATGGCCTTGCGATTTCGCCTCCATAAGAGTGTCGGATGATGGTTGGTGGAGTGTGTCGTCCCGACAGTATCGTATTGGGATCTTATCACGCCGCCACGTTTCTTCCTATCTGGCATATCCAGACCAATTGCGGGTCGGCTGCTCCGCGCTCCGCGCTACGGGGGACACATCTTGTGCCTCTTGAGTGGTGGCTCGGTCGATCTGAAACACTCGGTACCCTGTCTTCGCCTACAGCGGCATATTCTGCATTGACTGCAGAACATCTGGCGTCAATACCACATAAAAGTTCTTAAACTCGCGGGCGGGATACTTCTCATTTTGAGTACGTTTACGTACTGGTACTTGGGCCTCTCAGCGAAGACCTGCCGCTCTGCAGGAAATGCCGAGGCAGCTTCAAGCTCAGTGATCGACATCTGCAGCTTATGGTCTCATGAGCTTTCGCTATGACTTGCTTTCCTTGGTCCATCCACACCTACAGCTCCGATCCCTGTACAGTTATTGGCACATACATGCATTATAGACATACTAATCGCCCGTTGTGGCACGGGAACGGGATTTGAGGTTCATTGCAGGATAGGCTGTGTATCATGTTATTTGGCTGTTGGATCTGTTTGCTTTTTCCCTTTTATACCCTTGATACATCTCTTGTTGCTGAGACGTCAATTCAGATTAAGACTTTCTGTTTACGAAAGGCATGTATACTCCGGGGTAGAGGTCGGAAGACGGAAGTAGACGCCTCGTCTAAGCCAGCTCAGCCACAGGGCTACTCCAGTGTGGTAGTGTGTAACCTAGTCAGCACGGTTCCTGATCGCTTGCGGACGAAGCCGACGGACAATTAGAACGAACGTGGTAGGTGGATATCGATGGATTTTTCCTCGTATCATGGCTCCTTCTACTTCTTCAAAGCAGCAGTGCCTTGTCTTGTAGTATCATGTTGATTGTGATGCTTATTCTGGGACATTGTCAGAAAAGGGTGACCGACCTTGACACATCCAACTGCAGGCTTCCGTGTTTCAACTCTTTAGTATCAGTGAAATACCTCTTATCGTGACATTTAGCCAATTTATCCTGATCTGGCCCTGGCCCTGGCTCTCTCTTGACTCTCTGTCCTGTATCAGAGTACAGAGCATCTGCCGTGTGATTGGCGGAATAACTGCCTCCCGTCCAGGCCGGGGAAATTTAGCCGTCGGCCCCGGAAAAGTCCCTCCATTTGGCCCCAAGCCTGCCGCCAACTGCACCTCCCCGGATCCATCGATCTCCATCCAGACCTCATCCGCATCACTGACTGAGAGCCGACTCGCGGGAACTGAGAAATGCCCCTCCCCGTGCCTCCCTGGTGTTCTGCTGCCAGTCGCCTCTCGCCATCGCCATCGTCTCGGACTAGCCCCGGTCGGCGCGCCTGATCCGGCCACCCCATTCCTCAGGTTGGATTATTATTACTTGACGGATTACTGCTGTAAGTCTGCCTGGCCCTCTTTATATCCTCTTCGAGGCTGGCCGGTTTGGTTGCTTTTCGTACTGATTCTGGAAGGAAATCGGGTTCCGCTGATCATCGATGCAACTCGCTTCGGTCTCCAAATTATCCGTCCTTTTAGACCGCTGCCTTGCTCCCCGTATCTGACATTGACGTCTCGGTGGCCGCTCGCGACCTCTTATACCCCTTGATCCTGCGACCCAAGCATGCCGTGAAAGATGATGCAAACCGCCCTCCACCATCAACCTGTGGCCACCACCCTCAGAGCCGACTCACCGGTCACCGCCGCCTCGACGACTCTGAAAGGGTCATCGGCCTCTACTGTCCTTCCCTTTCCCCTAGTGCAAGCGCTTCCGCAAGAGCCTTCTGGCACAGTCGTCGCGATATACGGACCGGGGCAGGATGCCATCGTGCAGGTAGTTGCGGATATACTGGGAAAGCCATGGACAACAGAGACGTCGCTCTCGACCTTAGGGCGAGGAAGTAGCGCGGTTATCGTTGGGATCCGGGCGGCGGACCTCTCCGGAAACTTGGAAGGGTGCGATAAGTCGGCGTGCATTCTGGTTAACCTCCACTGCGTGGACGACGGGTCGTTTCCCGAGGAGGGGCTCACAGATTTATGCGACTACGAGTTCTTATATTCGTTGCGGAGTCCGTTCTTTCGGCGGGACCTTACGCGATTTCTCTCGTTGATTCTCGGGCAGACCCGGCCACATGAAGATCTGAAGACGAAAAACAGGACGAATTTCATATCTACAACTTTCCCCGATGTGCATGCGGCGTTGCCGAATTTAGATATTCTATCGGTGGGCTCTGACGCTGTTGAGATCCGCGTTGATCTGCTGGTGGACCCGGAACCGGTGCCTCAAGATAAGGGACAGCCGAGGGTGCCGAGTCTGCGATATGTCGGGCAGCAGTTGATGCTACTGCGGCAGCATACGGAAATGCCGATTATCTTTACGACGCGATGCACGAAAGAGAATGGAAAGTTCCCCATGGACGACCCTGCATTGTTCTACCGGTATCTCCGACGCGCAATCCAGTGGGGCGTGGAGTATATCGATGTGGAGCTATGGCTCCCAGAAGATATCCGGCGCAAGCTGGCCGAGGTCAAAGGAAACAGCGTGATCATGTCTGCCTTCCATGACTTTTCTGGCGAGTGGAAGTGGACGTCGCCTGAGGCGCCGCGCATCTTTGAGGAGAGTGCCAAGTACGCAGACATTGTAAAGATGATTGCGATGGTGGATAGCGTCGAAGCAAACTATGAGCTCGAGTATTTTCGCTCGACGGTCAAGCAAACACACGGGACGTATCCGTTATTATCAGCAGTCAACATGGGACAGCTGGGGCAGTTATCGCGTGCCCTGAATACAGTGTTTTCACCTATTACGCACCCGCTACTTCCTATGATTGCGGCGCCTGGTCAGTTGACCGCTGCCGAGATTAACGAGGCGCTACATATCATGGGACAGCTGCCGAAGCGCGATCTGTACGCGATAGGCTCGTTTCGAGCGACGCCCCAGTCCATGTTCATGGAGAAGTGCTTCAATGAGCTTAGCCTACCGCACACTTTGGCCTCCGTGGATCGAGGGCCAGCGGGCTCGCTCGAGCGAGTACTTGCGCAGCCCAGTTTTGGCGGCGCGGCACTGCACCCTCCACTCAGCGGCACATTACACCTACCAGCAATCAGCGACGCAGCACGGGCGATAGGCCTCGTAGATACAATCGTGGCAACAAGCCCAGGATCCCTGGTCGGCGAGAATGCCACGTGGAAAGGCATCCGCGCAACCCTAACTCGCGACTACGTCCCGTCGGCATACCGCGGCCGGGCAGCCATTATCCTGGCCGGTTCCGAAAGCGAAGCATCAGCCAGCATTTTCGCTCTCCGCAGCCTCGGCGTGGGCGCCATCTACACTGTCGGCTTCCGAGCGACAGGCCCCTTGGCAGAGGGGCTGGAGCCGTTTACATCTATCCAGTCTGTCAAATTAGTAGAACAGCCGTTTGTGATTGTTTCGGCTCTGCCACCAGAAAAATCGCTCCTTGTGCAGCCGTTGCTGCGTCACTATCGCAGTACCGGCCGGGCGTCGCCACCGTCGACCAGGGGTAAGGTGTACCTCGATCTTACGAGGGGCGAGCGCACGGGGGACCCTGTGGGCGTTGCAGAGAGATCGGGATGGACGGCGTATGGGATTGAGGACGTGAATGCGTGGACGACGGTCGAGATGCTGCGGCTGCTGGTGGGCCAGAACGTGCCGTTTGATTTTGTGCGCATGGCGTCGTATAGTCTAGTTTAGCTGAAGCATTCAATCTCTCTCCAGAGTACACTCGGACAGTGGTCCGTTCTGCCTTTGGGAAAATCCCGACGAATTAACCGACCGTGCTAGAGCTGAACGTGCAGAGACCCCGGATGTGACCATCCCCGCATCGGTTGCAAGTCCGTTGCTAGCGCCCCTTCTAGTCTTGTTCTGCTTAGCCCGCTGTCGTTTGATCATTTGATGCCGTGTGTCGTTGATGCTGGGGTCCGGGGCTCCACGTTTCCAATATAACCCTCCACTTCCTTCTCAACAAATCTCCGCTCTGGATCTTGTCTGTCTATCTCCTTGTATCTCTGTCTGTGTTATGTCGCGCCCAACGGTCAGCATCGACCGGCTGACGCCCCGCCGAGTCACGGCTGAACCCCGCGAGTCCATGAACTGCAAGTCCTGCAGGAAACGAAAGGTTTTCTTTTCTTTTTCCTTCTTATCGGGTTCTTCGTATTATAGGTACGGCGGCGGCTAATCCTCGGCTTCTCCAGATCAAATGCAACCGCCTCCGTCCCAGCTGCGAAGCATGCAAGGTTTTTCAGTGTCCCTGCATTTATGGTGCTGCCTATCTCACTTCTTCTATTCTATTCAAAATCGGCTAATTGATGAAATGCAGACGCCGTTCCCAAAAAGCGAGGCCCCAAAACGGATGTCCTGGAGGCCCTGCTCAAACGAGTCGACGGGCTTGAGAAACGCCTTCAGGACGATGGCACGCATCCGCTTTCCCCTGCTTCGCCCGTGAAGCCTGATATCCCGCTTCCGTCGAATAACTCAATATCTCATTCTCATGCTTCGCATTCGCATTCGCAGTCGCATCCAGCTGCGTTTCCGCTAGCGCCTCCTCCTGCTCCGTACTCGCATGGGCATACGCAGGGCCACGGTCACGCACATCCTCAATCCGGTCGCGTACCGGATGGGATGCTGGATGCGTACTTTGCGCGATTGCATGGGAAGCCGTTCTTTATTCTAGACGAGGCGTCTACGAGGCAGAGGCATGCGAGTGCGCAGTTGCCGGCGGCTTTGTCTATGGCTGTTTATGCTTTGATGTTGCGGTGCGTGTTTCAATTTAAAATCGGGATATGTTGGCTGATGGCTTACAGGTACACGACTATAAATCCACCCCCAGGGAGCCTGGAGTATGCTCGGCAGGCCCGGCGCATGGTCGATATTGACCAACCCTCGATTGAGAATCTCCAGACCCTTTTGCTTTTGTCCCAGACGTTCTACGCGTATGGCTGTGGTAAGAAGGCATACATGACATTAGGTATACCGCCCTTCTCCCTGGTGTTGCTACCCTCAGCTAATTGGTCATGTCCTCAGGCAATGCAGTCTCCATGGTCCTAGCCCTGGATCTCTACCGCGAACCACCAACCACTCACGCCCACACCCATCCTCTTCTTCCCCCAGAGCGAGAAACCCGACGTCGCCTCTTCTGGTCCGTCTACATAATGGACCGGTTTCTCACCTGCGGGTCGAAGCGACCATGCCTGATCGCCGATCACTCCATTCTCGTCCGTCTCCCGGCATCTAACCCATCCGGCCAGGATCCGGGGGATATTTTCAACCCCGTCGGTCCAAACATCCCCTACTCTTCGGACCGCCGCAAAACCGCCAGCTCAGGCGCAGGCTCAGGAGCCTGCTCGTCTCTCCTTGTTGATATTTCGCGCATTCTAGGCGTAACGCATCGCTACCTCGCTGCTGGCGGCGTAAAAGGCGACTCCCATTTCCCTTGGCACGCACTAAGCAATCTCTCGAAGATCCGTCAGGAGCTCGATCTCTGGGCCGCGGGGACCCATGATCTCTTTGCAAGCATTGAGGCCCTCTTCGGACACCCCGAAAGTACACTTCTCCTCCTCTCAAAACTCATCTACCACCTCGTTCATTGTCTCCTCTACCGCCCCTTCCTGCCAATCGACCTCGCTGAGCTGCGCGGCTCAGGACAACACCAAAGTTGGCAAATCGAAGCAACAACCCTTTGCTTCAGCCATGCAAATGCAATTGCTGAACTCGTCGAGCTCGCCCGCCATGCACCGCGCATAGAATGGCCTGATCTAGTAGCTTACTGTCTAACCGTTGCGGGAACAGTGCACATTCATGGCGTACATTACAACGGCCGCCGCGAGGGCGAGGTCTTCGCATCGTCTCCCGATTTTCTGAACCGCGAGATGGCGCAGCTTGAATGGCTGGGTGGGTTTTGGTCGGGCGTGCAGCATCATCGCGATCTGTTGCAGACGCTCTCGGTTTGTCATGCTGAGCTTGTGAGAACGTTAGCGGCGAGACCGGTGCGGTTTGCACCGGTGTTCCATCTCGAGGACTTTTTGGATCGGTATCCTGGGCTGTCTATTGGGGGTGGAGTTGGGGTTGATGGGAGTCATGTTAGGCTTGTGGATGATGAGCAGTAAGTGCCTCCTAACCTTTCATTCTCTTTTCCTTCCCGTCAAGACCTGAATTGCAGGGAACATGTGCTAAGGATTATGGCTATAGAATCGAACTCGACCCGCAACTTCTCTACGGACCGGCCTCGGTACAAGCAGCAGCGCCAACACCGATACTCCCCTCCCAACCAAACGGCGTTCATACGCACGCCCGCCACCACTCCACCTCTTCAGCCTCCGTCTCGCACTCCCTTCCTTTCTCACCCTCCTCCACATGGCCCGAAATTCCCACAGACCCCGAACTCCTCAACCACTCCCCGGGCACGAACCCCATGCCCAACGCAGGCCCATCCACCATATTCTCCCCCACCCTCGGCACATCAACACACTTCAACCCGCACTCGCAAACCCAGACCCCCTCACAAACCCATTCATACCTCCACTCCCAAATCCAATACGCGACATTCCCCTTCGAGTCCACGCCCGTTCCTGTCCCCGTCGAATCACCCGAGTCAACCGCCCAGTCACAGCCGTCTTCCGCTACGGCGGGACCGGGGACAGGTGCGAATGAAGAAAAGGATCCCTTCCTTAGCCTCCTAGAGCAGATTGCTGAGAACGAGCATAACCCCGGTGGACCCAGTGAGCTGGATTTCTTCCTTGAGGGGTTGGAGCAGGATGCCGTTGATGGAGATGGGAAAGGGCAGGCAGCCTAGGTTTATGCGCGTGACTAGGTGATTAATTGGGCTATCTGGGGTTATTGGGTCTGAGAAAATAAGTTGTTTGGATGATCGTGTATTTGGTGCGGATTTAGCGGGGGTTTGGTTGGTTATTTATAAGTAGCGAGCGGGATTGAGATGGACTAGGCGAAACCATGGGATGTTCTGATACACACCGTACATACTAGACGCGCCTGTGATGGCGCCGGATTATATCATAGGCATACTCCTGGGCATGATTGCTCGAGTTGTGTTTCTACCTACGCCAATACTATACATGCCCTGACGTCATGACAGCTTGAGAGTATATACTTCCCCGGCCTCCGGGCTATCCGAATCAAAGTCTTTAGCATGCTACAATGGTTTAGAAACAAAACCATAGAGGTACCCTTGAAAATGGCTACTCCCACACCCACAAGACTCGAAGACATAATACCCCTCTACCTCGCCGACAAAATCCCCCTCGATTCAGCCCTTGAATCAGGTAAATACAGACAGCACCGACTCCCCCCTCCCCTTCCGCATTGTGACAACCAAAAAGAAAAACCCAAATAACAGCTTCTAGCCGCTCATGCAAGCCCCCGAACTACTCTCTCGGCCGTCCTAAAAGAAAGCAGATCCCTGCCGCGCCAAATAGACACCGATCCGACGACGCCAACGCCCGATCTGCCGAGCCCGGCGCAAGAGAGATTATTGCAGTTTGTTCGAGAGGTGCAAGCGCATGTTGAACCTGAGCGCGTGGGGTATAATGGGTTGAGGAGGGCACTGGATGTCGGCTCGCTGTTGTTTGGGCTGGACGGGAACAGTGCCGGTGGATACGAGGTTGAGCAGCGAGGGACACTCGTCGACACCGACACTGACGCAAATACAAACGATGAAGATGTATTCGCCTCATCCTCAGAGCCAGCATCAGGCTCAGGCTCAGGCTCAGGCTCAGGATCCGGATCCGGATCAGGAGCAGAATCCAACACAAACACCAATCCCGCCTCGAGCCAGAGCCCAAGAAGAAGACGACGACGAAGCAGCGGCGCCCAGAAACACCTTTTCAACACCATCTCCTTCCTCTCCTTCCTCACAAAAGAGAACCTACTGCTACAGCCCGGCGTCGGCGAGCGCGTTGCCGTAGAAATGATTGCCGAGACATTGGAGCACCCGGATATCGCGCCGACGGGGCACGAGCTTTGGTTTGGTGGGACTTCAGGCAAGGAGCGCGGGGATGAAGTACCCATCACGGCGATCTCGCTCTGGTTGATTATTATGGGTGAGGAGATATATGCGCGTGCGCGGGCACAGAGCAAAATACAGCGAAGCCAAACCTCGTATCGAAGCGCGAAAGGTAAGGAGAGGTCTATGTCGCTGCTAGATGACGACGATGAGCCTCCGTACGGTGGGGGGAGTGTCGATGGTGCAGATGCAGGTCCATGGACGCAGCTTGGCGCGATAGCAATCCAGGAGTGGGAGACCTGGACGACGAGGCTGCAGTTTCTTTCTCTAAGGCAGGATCTGGAGATAAATGCTAGGGAGCAGGCGGCTGAGGCGGCGGCTGTTATGAGGAGGGTTCACTGAGGGCTGGATAGACTGGACTATGTGGATAAGTAGATAGCCTTGTATATGTTTGCGGCAGTTGGACGGCCTAATCATTAATGCGAGGCTGTGCCGCATTTCGATACAACTTGGATAGTGGATCTATACATGGGTGCTATGTGAATAGGAAGCGAAGTCTTGTATGTACATGTCTAATGGCAATAAGCTAAATCAAGATTGTATAACTGGAGCAAACCCGAGGAAGAAAGTGAGCAGATGTATCATGAGAACTTCATCCCCTTGGACGGATCCCAAGTTCGCTGCGACTGCGCCGACGACGTACTGCCTGGTCCGAACCGTATACCCATTTCGGGAGACCACATCCCGGGCGTCATCTGCGGGACGCTGCGAGTTGGCTGGGGTGCCGTGAGCGGCTCTCGAGGAGGCTGCAGTTGTTGAGGTGGAGGAATGGCTTGAGGTTGGGGCTGGACTGGTTGGAAGTGTGTCGGTGCTGGAGCTGGTGCAGGAGCAGACACCGGCGCGGGTGGTGGTGCTGGTTGCGGTGGGGGTTGGCGGATAGGCGAGATATTTAGGGATGCCATCGCTGCGACGCTGGAAATATCCCTGTTCCAAGTTAGTACGCATTCAAAACAGGTATTGCAGAACAAGAATGAGAGGGCACGCACTGCTCAAGCTGACTAGCCTCCATGCGCCTCTTATGCACGAAGGCCTTGACATCATCCCTGAACCGCCCCACGATTTTCGCAAGATCATTGTAGAATTTGCGGCCCACTTCAATGTTCGAGATAATCTCCTTGTACTTCAGGTACCCGTTCTCCAGCTCCTGGAGGGCCTTCTCGCGCTCCTTGGTGGAAGCGTCCCCCGTATGAGCCCTTGTAAACGCACGGTTCGCCTCACGCACCTGCGCGGAGATCTGGTCCTGGTCGTGCATCTCCTGCGCAACCATATCCAGATCGATGTCATAATCGCGCAGCCGCGAGTCAAACAGGTCCTCGAATTGGCTAGCCTGAATGGCCTGCATTGGGAACTCGCGCTCTAACCGTGCTGCTTCACGAACAAGTGCAGAGCTGATGTCATCTGCACGCGCTTTATCCTTGACGGCTTGAGCCTTGCGCTTGCGTCGGCTTTCGAGGCGGTTGACTTCGCTGATGCAGCTGCGGAGCCTGCTAACCTCACGCTCAACTTCGGGCGGTATCGTCGCGCGCCGGCTGCTGGGAACGAAAGCCTCGAGATCACGATTCGTACCGGTCAGAACGCGAAAGACAGCTTCGGAGTCATGCAGTTTCTGCTCGACGAGCTTATCGCTACTATCGGCGGAGGTGAAGTAGCCGTTGATTTCCTGCGAGGTGGTGTATAGCTTTGGAGCGGCGACTTCCGAGGGCTGGCGCGACCAGCGGTCTGTGCCGAACTTGCGACGCGATGCATCGTCTTCTGCCTTTTCGGCGGCCAGGAGTTCCACGCCTTCGATGTAGACAGCGTAGTCGTTAGATTTTACTTTGGCGGTGTCCAGGAGGGACTTGCGGAGACGGTTGAGACCGTCTTGTTGACGCATTTCTTCGGCATGAGAGACAAGGCTCGGTGGGAGGCCAAGCGGTTTTTCGAGGGCTTGTAATGAGCCTGGAAGGTTGAGAGACGATAGGAGACTGGACAGTTAGCAGTGATATAAGGAAAGTAGAGATAGACATACTCGCGTAGCTTGTCGGTCATGTTCTCCAACTCGCCGATGATCCGCTCGTTGACCAGACGATCTCTCCGATCTGAGTAGATGCTAGCTGCAATATGCACAGCATACGGCACTAGCTTCGAAAACAACGGCTGCCCCAACGGCCCCTTGTCTCCCAGCATAGAGATCGCATCCGTCACCTGCGATGGTGCCTTAGCGGCAACCATGCTGGCGCGGTCGATAAGCCTCAGCTCCGACTTGGGCGGTACAGGGTTGAGATAAATCATATCGTTGTCCTTTTCAGCGCGCTTCAAATCCTCAGATACCCGATTCTTCAACCCCTGCAAATCACCCAGTACCGTACGATTAATCCACCGACTCTCCTTCAGCGCCTCGTCCACACAAGCCACGGCATCCCGTAGTCGTGCCACTTCCTCGCCATACTTGCGCTTCTCTAAACAATCCAGCGATTGCCTGTACTGTGCTGCAGCCGCAAAGTGGTGCTGCTTCGCCGTCATATGGTGGATCCATTCCGGACTAATCGCATTCGATTTGACGGCGTGGTCGCACGCATCTCCGTAGAAATCCGACACTTTGCCCGCGAGTCGCGCGATCGACGCATCCTTCAGCCCGTCCTTGACAGCCTTCTGCCAGAAACATTCTTGTGCCTGTGCAAGGAGCAGCTCCTCTAGGCTTTGTAGCGTCATCTCGTCCATGTCTTCCGGCGGGGCCGAGCGCATGTCCGGGATGATGTCGGTTCGTAGGTGTGTAAGGATACCAGCTGCCTGGCAGAAGTAGTTGCATGCTTGTTTGAGGCCGTCAGATGTTGTGCGGTTCACGGCAAATGCGAGCTGCGAGTACAATGCGGCGAGGTTGAAGATGACGTTTGCGAGCTCGAACCGGATGTTATCCTGCGAGACTGCCCGTTACTTAGCCCATGCTTTCCCCAATGAAGTCAATCGAGGTACTGGAAGAGAACATACCTGGCCGGCTGGTATTAAAACCGAAAGCGGGATACCAAGGGAACTCGACCCCAACCTATAACTGTCAATTCCCCGCCATTTCTAGTATCACTGACTGTACGTACATCAACCGGGAACTTCCCCCCAAGCCATTTCAGTTGCGCCGCATATATGACCAGCCGACTAATTCCGCTCACGTGCGGTTCCTGAACGTTTATAGCTTCGCTTCGTAACCGGTCGATAATGAGCAGATCATCTGCGAACATATCCGGGCGCTGGTCATATTTGGAGGAGATGTATTGGGTCAGGGCGGCTGAAAGGGAGACGGTATGCGAGCGGCGGAAGGGAACCTGGAGGATGTTTCTACTGGAGTTAGCATCAGATTTTATATGAAGAGATCGGACAAACGTACGAGGCCATTTTGGCGATGCGCGGCGTTGCGCTCGAGGAGAGGATTGTTGTTGATAGGATTGAAAGGTGTCCCGCCGACCCCACGGCAACCAAGGCCAGCCAGATGACGTGGTGGTGCCTTAGGCCGCCACTGGGTACTACTAAATCGGAGATATTTCCAAGGCGTTAAAAAAGTGCATTGGACAGGTTGTTATTTATGGCTATATTCAGATAATACAATACTCCTGGACTCCTAAGCATTGGCATCAAGGTTCATCCGTCCAGCTCGTTGATGCGCATCTTGATGTATTCAAAGATGCTGAGTAGGATCATGTTGTTTACTCCAGTGCGGATCAGGATAATCGACAGTCCCTTATACATGCTGGACCGTGCGACCGCGGCGGAAGCTTCGCCAACTTCCTTCGTCTTTCCTAGAAGCACGCTTTGCGCGCGTGTCTTGCGAGTATCAAGAGGGTATGTCTGCAACAGTTAGTATTTCCTCCGTGAGTGTAGAAGCGAGTACGTACGCAAAACCACGGCACTGTGCTACAGATTGCTCCAGCAATCATAGGAGCACCGAACGGAGACTTGTCCGGTCCGAGCTCTCTAGCTGCAACTTGCTTGACCGTTTCGTAGACTGCAAAATATAGGCCAGACCCGACGGTATCACGCATAGCATGTAGCCCGAATCCCGTGTATAGACCTCTAAATCCATATCGTTGCACAATCTGCCGGATCGCTTCGATGGTTCCGATGCGCGGCTTGTGGCGCAACGAGGGATCTCTTACGGCATCAGGGGAAGCTTGGGCGCGATTCGAGACGAGTACAGACGTCTGAACGACGTTCTTAGCCAGTTCAAACGGACCTATTCAATTAGTCTTGATCTCGAGGCCAAAGAGACGCGCATACAGGCAAGCGGGGAGGTAATCACTCCGGCGAAACATCCCGCGGTGATGAATGTAAAAATAGTCGAAACGGTGGGGGCGCTTCCCGGTTGGTTGTAAAGTTCCAGAGGGGACGACCCCGTCATACGCTCGATAAAATCAGAGATGCGGTGTTTTGCAGAATTGTAGGTAGTAAAGTTCACAACCCGGACTGCCGTGACGCTGGCAAGCGGGGGCAGAGCACCTATTCGGTCAGTCTTGCGCAGAGAATGATGCGAAGAAACATACCAGCAACAAAGCCACGGGGTCCTTCGGTTCGCCAGAGGTATCGGACACACTGGAAGACATTTTGGAAGTTGTGCCTAGACAGGTCAGCGGCGCTTCAAAGGAAGTCCAGGTGAACGCACGTTTGCATACGAGTTTTGACATTCTCAAGAGGAGTCTATAACATTAGCAGTGTTCCATGTTCTCTTACTCTGCGCGGGACATACCACAGCTAGAGTAGCGCAGACCGTGGAAGTCCCGGAGGCCACCTGAGTTTTGTACTTCTTGAGCAGTCTGTTGCGAGTGGATTCATCCATAGTCCAGTTATTTCCCGACGGCATTACTGCAGGTGATGGTTGTGAAGGAGGAGCAAAGGGCGCATGTTCAGAGTGTTTGTTATCAGTCATCCCTGTAGACTTCCCATTGAGGGCAGATGTGTTTCTTCAGTGCTTAGTCGTTCAATTTCAAAGTGAGTCAATTCACTCTCGGCGTGTAGGCTGGGGAACCCTATGGAACGCAAACCGGTCTCTCAAGGTGTGAGCAGACCGTTCAGCGTCCCACAATTGTCCATGAAGTATGCTTTGTCCAATGTACAGCTCTTCCACTCTTATATGAGAGAAGATAAAGGAAGTTGGTCGGGTTGGGGAGGGTGCGCTTTAAAAGGGCGATGGGTATGTACAGATCGAACTCGGACGGTAGAGGGAGGGAGCTAGACAAACCATGGTCAGTTTGAAGCAGGTATGTCCAAATCAGAGAATACATACAAGCAGGTTACCGCGCCAGTACAGTCCAAGTTCCATGAAGAGAGAGAACGGGGAGGAGGAGCGAACTCTTGAGCTCGTGGTTAGAATTGGGCGAATTGGGCGACCCACCGACAGCAGCGAGAGCCACTCAGGAATGTACAGTCTAAGCTCGATTGGGCTTAGAAGCCCAGTGACGTCTTGGTGAAGCAGTCGTCCAACTCTACGGACTTTGAAATATGACTTGATCTCAGAACGGGTGCGATAGCTTTGAGTAGTAGACTGGCCTGTAACTTACAAGCGAAGTAGCTTCTTCTTTTTTCTCGTTTCTTTCTCCAGATACAAGCCTACAGGGGCGGAGTATTTATCTGAGAGACGCGATCTATCAAAGAGCGCTAACTAAAACAGGACTAGGTGGCGAGACGGACCAAACCAGTCCGCAAGCTTGAGCGTTCTACCCCGCCAAATCCTTCCGTGCTGAAGAGCCGATGCTTGTCAAGCTAGCCATAGAGATTCGTTGCAATTGCTCAAGTATAAATTATCCCTGACTGATATAGACTTGTGAGTCCACGGGGTGCTACCTCCAGGCCCAAGACAGGGCTCTGCCTCGATAGCCGAGCCGCTGGCAGAGAGGTCGTGCAGGTAATTGCCTGTTTAGGAGCTGAGCTGGTCCCGCCCCGCATGTGAACGTCTGGGCTGCATGCTGGGTAGGCCAAACTGCAATCCAAGCGAGGAACGATAATCCATGGATACTACACTTGAGCTACGGTGGTCGCAGATGGCGTACCATATCTCGCGAGGACAAAGATAAGGCTGACTTGGGCATCGAATGGCATCCACATCCATATCATGCTCGAATCTGGATTGCGGGGATGCCCTGTTGACCAGTGCCAGGGGACACACTCAACGGCGAGTAATCACCTCTTTTCGGTCCGTGTGCTCTTCTTCAATCCCCCTTCGAATCCGACGGCTGAGATATGGCGAGGACGGCCCTTGACTTTCAGTGCCGATAACATGGCAGCGATCACCGTTAGTCCTCGGACCGTCAACCAGCTCACTTTATGAATTGCGCTTTGCTTCAACTTCACATGGCTTAGGATGAAATCATCCCGAGCGGGACGGATATGCTCTATCCCAGGCCGCTGTCAGCTGCCAGCCCGCATTATTATCCACGGCCCTGACTTCATGGATGGTGCTTGTCATATGATCGCGCTAACCGTATTTGTCAGAGCAATGATATCCTCGGGACCTCGGCCACGGCATCCCCGCAAGTTGGCCTCCGCAACAAGCCACGGCCGCTTTACCCACATGCCCTCCTCAACCACATTTAAAGGCTGGCCCTGAATCTTTCTTGCCCGCTGCCCATTGCGTTTGAAATTTTCCCAGACATTACCACACACCAACACAATGGGCAAGAAAGCAGCTTCTCCCGCCTACGTCCTCGGCGTGGGCATGACCAAGTTCATCAAGCCGCGAGGCAAAGTCGACTACAACGAGCTCGGCTTCGAGGCGGGCGTTAAGGCCATGTTGGATGCCAAGATCAACTACGACGATGTCGAGCAGGGCGTAGCCTGCTATGTCTACGGCGACAGCACCTGCGGGCAGCGTGTCTTTTACCAATTCGGCCTCACCCAGATCCCTATCTACAACGTGAACAATAACTGCTCAACCGGATCGACTGGTCTTGCTATGGCGCGCACGCTCGTCTCCCACGGCGCTGCCGACTGCGTTATGGTCGTTGGCTTTGAAAAGATGAGCCCAGGATCTCTGCAGTCGGTTTACAACGACCGAACCAACCCCACCGGTCTTTTCGGTATGATGATGGCCGAGACTCGCGGTGTCACCAACGCTCCCGGTGCCGCACAGATGTTTGGTAACGCTGGTCGCGAGTACATGGAGAAGTGAGCTCTGTATCTTTGATGCTTGCCGAAGTTAGCTAACCGACTGGTCTAGGTACGGCGCCAAAGCCGAACACTTTGCCGAAATCGCGCGAGTCAACCACGAACACTCAAAGCGGAACCCCTACTCCCAGTTCCAGGATGAATACACGCTTGAGCAGATCTTGAAGGCCCCGATGATTCACGAGCCGCTTACCAAGCTGCAGTGCTGCCCTACTTCCGACGGAGCCGCCGCCGCTGTCATCGTCTCCCAGGCTTTCTTGGACGCCCGCCCTCACCTCAAGGACCAGGCTGTCCTCATTGCTGGTCAGCAGCTCGCCACGGATAACAGTACGCTGTACAACAAGAGCTCCATCGATCTCATGGGATTCGGCATGTCTCGGGCCGCTTGCCGCGCTGCCGTCGCCGAGGCGGGTGTGAACATCAAGGACATCAAGGTGTGCGAACTACACGACTGCTTCTCCGCAAATGAAATGATCACGATCGATGCTCTTGAGCTCTCCGAGCCAGGGAAAGCCCACGAGATGGTTGCCAAGGGAGACATCACATACGGCGGCAAGATGGTCATCAATCCATCAGGTGGCCTTATCTCCAAGGGTCATCCGCTCGGCGCAACCGGTCTGGCGCAATGTACCGAGCTGGTTTGGCACCTGCGTGGCTGGGCCAACAACCGCTTGATCGACGGAACCGATGCCTGCCTGCAACACAACTTGGGACTGGGCGGTGCGGTCGTCGTGACGGTTTATAAGCGCGCTGACGGTAGGGCTGCCAAGCCCGTGCCATCGGCGGAGGTCGCAAAGATCACCGGTCTCGGCTACAACCCTGCCGTGGAGGCCAAAGGCTTCACAGCCGAGCAGGCCAAGAAGGTCCTTAGCAAGACAGCGTCAGACCCGTTTGCCTTGGGCGATGCACAAGACAGGGTTCTTGCTCGTTTCTGATTCATGTTGTTCCCTCTTTGTATATACCTCATGACTGTACAATTCAGCGATTGTTAGACGTCAGAGTGCCTGTAGCCTTTACTTCAGAGTACGGAGTAGTTACAGCGGAGAAGCTTTTGCACCGCCTCGGCTCGGCAAAATATCATGCCGAGCAGAGGACCATGACTAATCATCCTACCACAACAAAATCTCGCTGGCAAAATTCTTTCTCTTCCTTTTTCTTCCTCATACATATCCAGGTCCCCAACATACCCTTGTCGTGGAAATATTCTATTCTATGGACAAATTATAGAACGGGACCGAGAGCAAGCTGCTCATTCTAATCCCGACGCCTGCCACCAACACGAGGTTGTTGGGTTCGCTTTTGAGCATACACTTCACAATCGTTTCAAGCCATGATTTGCATGCCAATGCATATCCTGTTTCAAGGCTTGTTCCGCGGGCCCAACGACCCCTGGAATGAACAACCTTCCACCTTAGCAAATGGCAAAGAGAGAATGGATTGATGTGTCCCTTCCCTTGTCAACAACTTTTCGATCACCGACTCGACTCAACTAACCACAACCGCCTTCTACTAACCTCCCCGACAGCTTTATGGCACCTTCGAAGTCTCGTCTGTCAAACCCATGATATTTGAGGTCAAATGTCGTGCCGATAGTAAGCGGAAGTCGAATCATTTCTTCTCTCCACACCCTCCCTCGTGTTGCGGCCGCTGTCAATATCGAATGGCGCGGTTCGTGTCAATCAGAAGGAGCTACATTCTTCTCTCTTAGTTCCTTAGTGCTAGGTATGTAGGTCTAGTTGCGCGATTAAAGTTCGGAATGTTGTCATCTATGGCTTGAATTTTCGTAGGCTCCTTGTATCCCTTGCTAGGGCGCTATGCCACCCGCACGCCATACTTCCCTTGCCAACGCCTGGAGCCAGAGGCAGGCACACCAGGGCAGGACTGACAGGACCCTGGATGTCCATTCTGCGGCGGATAAGATTCCCAAACAGGGCACAGAGCAACCTGGCATACGCGGCAGGAATGTCCATCCATAGCGGTCGAAGCTTGCTTGCTTATTGACGAGTATAAATCGCCGTTGTCCTGCCGGCGCCGTTGCACTTTGCCCTCTTCACCTCGTCCATCCGCTCCTCACTACCTACCTATCTCTAGCCAGCCCCAATCGCCCACCATCCATTAAAATGAAGCTCTCCCTCGCCGTCGCCCTGCACCTCTCCCTCCTCGCCGCCGCGGCGCCCACATCCCTCAACCTCAAGCGCGATAATGGCGCTTCCCCGTCGGCGGGCTTGACAGACATAATCGGCGGTAACTCCCTCAAGGTAACTCCACGAGTCCCTATCCCATAAGTCCAAAGCCACCCCACCAAAGCAACATGCTAACTAGCATCCCCAGTCCGCCGCCGAAATGTTGAACCTGTACAGCACAGAGAACGACGAAACCAAGGCAAACGACTCGGGCGTCAGCAGCAACATGCCCGTCAACACGACGCCCAACAGCATGGCGAACGTCCCCAGCGCCGACGGCACACAGGACTCAATCAGGCCTAGGCCTTCTGAGGACGCCGAGGCTGCGACGTCTCCTGTTACTGGGGATGAAGAAGAAGAGGAGGAGGGGGAGGAGGAGGAGGCGGCCGTTACTGGAGGTGAAGAGGAAGAGGAGGAGGCTGCTACTGGGGAAGAAGAGGAGGAGGAGGCGGCTGTTACCGGGGATGAAGAGGAAGAGGAGGAGGAGGCTGTTACTGGGGATGAAGACGAGGAGGAGGAGGAGGAGGAGGAGACCTCCGCTGCTTCGCCCTCGTCGGATGCTAGTGAGCCTGCGGCGCAGCAGAATATGCTTGGGGGCTTGCCTGTTCTCGGTTCGCTCACTAGTATGCTGGGTATGTGATTGGGCTGGTTGGATTCGCGTTTGATATCGTTTGATTGGAATGAGCTTAGATTGGAGCTGATCTTTCTGCTTTTTTTTTTTTCTCTCAATTCTCTCTGTGATGGGACGATGAATCTGCGTACACTTTGTTGATTAGGTTAGGTGTCTACTCAGGAATACTCATGAATTGTTATCACTGCTATATCCGGCGGAAGGAGCGACTCGCCCCTCAACAGCTATCTCGTCATCTCGCCCTTCGAGATCCTCTGAATGTCAACATCTTTTGCTTCATTTGAAATTGCAGTTTAGAAAGAACAGGCGATGCCTCTTGTTGGCCCTCAGTCAGGTTATTCGTCTCTTCAAACAGGCAGGATTGTTCCACAGAGGTGGGCCCGGATGGTGGAGCCATTTAAGGTTGCATGTTTGTGAACAATCTTCCCCAAATCCAAGCTAGCATCACAAGCCAACAGATATGCAAACCTGTATGCTGATGGCAGGAAGCCACAAGACGCGCTTCTTTGTTGCAACGGAGGCGCAGCAATGGCAGCCCAGCGGACATTGAATCTGACATTAGGGCACAACCACTGTACTGCCCTGACCACTGATGGCCTAGGTGGTGAGTGTAGCATGCATCTGTGGGGTGGTGGGGAGAACTGCAATGCAGCAACTGACCCCCCGCAACAGGATCCTCGCGCGATCACTTCAAACAGGACCAATTCCGGATGATTTGCTAGAACAGGGTTGGCAAGCCCTTGCAGTCACGGGCGAGATGACAAGCGGCCTTGACGGCAAACATTCCAATCCGTACATTAGGCGTCAGAGACTATCAAACTTGTCCAAATCCACGGATTTCCCAATATCCCATGCAACTTGTTGTGCATTGTGCCGTCTCTACCAACGATTGAAATATAGCTGACAAGGAGATACGCAGTGCTGCTCGACGGATGGCGTAGGATTGACAATCCATGCTCAAGCAGAAACGCTTCCGGCCTACTTTGATCGAACCGTATGGGGGCTCTGGAGCAAAGACCTTTTTCATGTAGGCTGGTAGCCAGTAGTAGAACATATGTGATACAACCGCTGGTTGGCCTTCAGGGTGCAAGTTGTGGAGTTAGATTGATTGTTTTTCTGCAGGCTGAGGGTGCAGTAAATCAACGACAGCCTGTAGCTCGCTCCGCCGTAAACAATCTGGCCAGAACAACGGATTGCAGATAACTACCTTGCACACCAGTAGCTTGGTAAAAGAAAGCCTGCTGTAAAAGCTTGCTCCCTATAGTAAGCAGAAGTAATGTTTGAGCAACTTGGCGTGGAGAGTAGAAAGGTATAAGAGACATGCTCCACACTCAGCACCAGGCCTTCCACCAGATCGTTGGCAGCCTATCCATTATTTCGTTGAACATCAGTACTCCTCAATCTAGCATCCATCTTGCCAGCGCTTTTCTACCGGCTTGCCCATCCTCTGTGATCAGCATTCGCCATCTCAGTGCCGTTTTCATCGCTGCCCGCTCCGGGGCATCGTTCCTTACCAGCTGCATCCTAGGTTTGGCTCGATCAGTGTCCCTCCAGGCGTGAGTTGCTTTATATTAACGTTCAGACACTTACTATTCACCTCCCGGAGCCAATTTCAACAAAAGTTCGCCAAGCCACCTTTGATACAATGCTAGAGCCTATTACCATCTGTGGTGCTGTTGTTGGCATTCTCAGTGGGCTTTATACCCATTGCGAGACGCTGATTAAATACAGTAAAGACTGCAAAAACCTTGACAACGATATCGAAAATTTGAGAGCGCAGATGGAGAATCTGAACACCCGAAGAAAGCTACTCAACAGGTTGTTGATCAACAACGAGGAGCTCGGAGACCCACTTGGGCAAGCCCAGACGTATGTGCAGTCACGAATGGAAGACTGTGAGAGGGCGGCCAAACGCGTCGACGATATGCTTTCGCAGTTTGTGCACAAGCATGGGACCGCTACTTCGCGCCAGGGAGAGGAACCAAGCTGTAAGGGTAAGGGTAAGGTCAAAGGGGCCAAGTTGCATATGCATTGTCCCTACAAGAGTGCCTCCTCGACTCAAGGAGGCGGCAGCGGCACTCGCAGATCTCTGTGGGACTCTCGATTCAGCGCTTCATTATCTCAACCTGTATGTATCATCGTAGTTCTGACATCGAGAGCAATTGGTACTAATTCGGGCGCAATATAGAGCCATTGTCCAGTGCACAATGATGAATGTGAAGGGGCTTACGTTACATATGCAGCACGTCGTGGACAGGACTCGAGACATTCAGCACGCAGTGGACTGGGTGGTGCGCGGCATTCGCCAGAACGAGATAGACCTTATGGTGGGTTCCTGCTGAAGAGGATCTTGATTGCAACTCGATGCTGACGGCCATACTCCTAGATCGCGTCCGATGGCTTTTATACCGCCTCCAACCCCGAACATCTTACCAACAGCCAATTGGACATGTCTGTCGCGGGCTTTCTCTATCTGACCCAGTTTGAGGCCATGAATGAGCAGGACGAGAAGGGCCTCACGCCGATCATGCAGATTGCTTGCCGAGTCCCTCGCGATAATGGGGCAGATCTATGGGGCTTGGTGGGCGCGTCGATTTGGATGATCAGAAATGGAGCTTCCCTGGGAAGGAGGTCTGCAACCAACGCCACCGCTGCCCACTATCTGGCCGGGGCCATTGGCCAAAACTTGGCGCTCTGGGAGCAGTCGAATGGCCGGAATGACCGAGAATCTCTGCTCGCCGACTATGAGTTTGTCCGAGACGGAGGGCGCGATCTCCTTTGCGCCCTCATTCTTGACAACGCCCGCGACATATGCAGTTGCGCCTGTTCAACATTGGGATGCACGCCACTGAGTAAAATGCTCCACCGATTCCTGGCCGTGTACCCGCCAGGGAAAAGAGGGACAGCCCTTCAATTCTTTGTAGCGCTGATGGCCAAGTTTGTTCCCAAAGCGAGCTACAAACGTATCATAGTGGGAAGGTTCATTCAGTACGCCACGTTTGACGCGCTGGGATGTGTACATTCGTGCCAAGATTGCACACTTGAGCATGGTGAGGATGGCAACCCAAATGAGGCCCAGCCAGGGGAGCCGACTGGGCAGCTGGGTGGGCTGCTGTCGCGTCTTCTTCGCGAATACTACGACGGTGAGCATGACCTTGTTGGCTTTTTCGAAGGTCCCTGGCGGGATGAAATTGACCAAATTGCGGCGAATCGGGGTCAGCGCTAGGTAGAAGGTCGAAGAATCCGGGAGTTGGTCGTCACTTGACAGGAGCGGCCCGGGTCCATGTACGCGCCCTTTTTCCGTTTTGGACTGGCTGGTTGCTTGGAACCTTTACCTATTTTTTCCTTATCGATGTCTTCCTAGATCCATAGAACGTTACTTTCCAGTTTCTACCTCCAATTAAACTTGTTCGTTTCCTATTTCCCACGGGATGGTTCTATTGATAGTATTGACAATATCCCGGTTCTCTATTGAAGCCGCTGCCTACAATCGGGCGCCTGACTTCCCTTCTATGGTATCCTATTGTACTATTCAATAGTTTAAAGAGGGGGAACGGACTGATCCATGTGAAGTATGTGGATTGAATGACTAGCTAGAAGATGAAGCTATTCAGAGATCTCTGTGGGCGAGCTAGCCGAAGGCGGTGCCGCAGGGCAGTATGCTTCGACATAGTTCACGGCCTCAATGGTGGCCATGGCCATGGCCAGCGCTAATTTCCAACGGGGTGGTTCTATTGATAGTATTTGATAATATCCCGGTTCTCTATTGAAGCCGCTGCCTACAATCGGGCGCCTGACTTTCCTTCTATGGTATCCTATTGTACTATTCAATAGTTCACGGCCTCAATGGTGGCCATGGCCACGGCCATCGCTAGAATCCACATTACCTGCCTTGGAGCTACCAGTCTCCAAGTATATGTATTTGACGGCTCCGCCGTTCGTGCTACTGGCCACCATCATCACGAACATCTTCACTGTTAGGACCGAGAGTCTACATCTGCCCCCCACCTGGCCAACAAAATGATCAAGCCATGTTGTCCGGGCTTCAAGGAAGTCTACGACAAGACCCGCATCGAGGAGATAGAGAGCGAGATGAGCCTTGTTATGCCCCGGCGTCTGTTTGCTCGTCCGAGCGGCAGCAATCCCGCTATGCTGCGATACGAAAGCGAGCTCGAACGAGTCAAAGCCGACGAGGAGATCGAAAAGCACGATAACAAAATCCACCAGATCTTGCGCGGGCTTGACAAGAACGGCGTTCACTACATGTACAAGACAGCTGTCAAGCCCAGAGAGAACGAAAAATGCGATGACAAGCAAGTCAATGAAAAGCACCCTTACCGGCTTATCACTATCCTGGTCGACATCCCGTCCCGCATCGAGGTCAACGGTAAACTAATGCGCGAGATTGTCGCCGATCTACCGGACATCTCCAACTACGCGTCTTCGGGCGCCTGGTGCTGGGAGTTGCCGGGCGACAACGATAACCCTTCGCTCTGGCGCCTGGACTGGTTTCAGAGGGAGCTCCTACATCATAACTGGGGGTTTACTCTTGTTGCGTACAATCTTGGCAATGTGGATTTGAACGAAGACGGACAGTTTCGTGGGGGCACTGGTAATCCCGAGGGGAAAAGAGCATATCTTGACCTCCATTTTGATGTCTCGTTTCCGGAGAACTATGATGTCAACTTTATCCCGCCCGGCTCCTTCTACGGCCCTTGACTTGACTGGGTTTTGGGCGAAGTGTAGCATAGATAGGAGTGCTGGAAGAGGAGGAAGTACTCGATGGACATTTAGTTGCCAGTGCGGACGATCATGGAGAGTTACGCTGAGGATACTGATAAGCTACCTGAATTTGACTGCACATGTGTTTATCGCATATCGCTTTCGTAGAGAGGCTGTAATACGCAGGATATTTAGATTGCCAAATTGTTGGGCTAGAGCGTTGCGTGTCCCGGGTACCTGGTTGTACACCAAGCCGGCTAAAAGCAGCCTGCAATATCGATGCGTACTCCATACCGTTGCATGAAGCTCGCCCCTCTGGGACTCGTCCAATGTCCATCCTGTATTTAACTCGGCAAAAGGATAACCTTGCTTCTCCACAGGTTCATGTGACATTACTGCGTGGTTTCTTTGTGCAGATACGCCGCAACCCCAGTTTCACCAAAAGGAAGGGGACTCGAGATTCTTTGTGGAAAGCTAGCGAGCTTAGGCCATCTAGTGTCATTTCACTGTCAAAGGTAAACTCCTGGAATTACCACAGAACCTCACAAGCTAGTTGCGGTTCAACAAAGAAAATCAAGTCAACATGCACCTAATCAGTAGTGAGTAGAAAACAAAGATTCTTGTTGACAGTCGAGATCCAAAACAGTACCACCGAGACCTCAGGCTAGGAAGCACTTTTGCCACTTTCAGACCTGTCTGACTGTATGGTATCACTCGGCAATATCATGGTTGAGTTGCCTAGGTGCTGAGACCACAACAATTCAGCTCCAAGACCCGCCGCCCCTCGAGGAATATCAGCCCAGTGACCTCACCTATGCCCATGTCTTCTTGAGTTTGCCCAACATCCAACCCATCTGAACCACGCACATCGAGTCCCGTCAGAGCCGCGAAACACCCAACAACGTCCCCGATCCGTGCTGTTCAAGCTTCGAGGCGACCTATGCTAAGCGCAGAATCCACGACGCCGAGGACGAAATCAAACCCAGCAGCCAACCGATACCAAGACGGACAAGGAAGTCCCGAGAAGGTTTATTACCATCTTGGTCGATCTTCCAAACAACAAAGCCGTCAGGCGCCATTTCGAAGTAATTCTCGCTCTCACTGTGGCGAGTTCACAAACAACCGGGAAGTTGCCAGCATTCCAATCTGATCACCCAGAGGAGACAATTATGTATCAAAGTTTACATTCCGCAGAGGCGTAACTGAAACAGGAGAACGTGAGGTTGAGAAACTAGTGGGGCAATAAACACTGCTGCTGGGGTCTGCGAGTGCTCTCAGGGACTTTCGCTTCTTTTCGTGGTAGCAGCACATTACCACTGTGCAGCATGATGCCGGGGCCATAATGGTTCCAGTCATCCAAGGTAGCTTGCTTTTTAGGATATCAAGAATATTCCCGACACCAAGCTCCGTCCGTTCACTCCCACAAAGTCCAGTGGTAGAGTCTCGCCGTGGCCGATACTCATTGCCTCATTGCCAGAGTGCGCATCCTTCCGCCTTAGTTACTGTTTACTGCAGGGACCAGACTAGTCGATCAATCTCTTTCCCTGGGGATGGCGAACAAAGAGTATTATTGCGTGAAGACAGGAGAAGGCGGACAATGTCCGAGTGGAGGTCAACCACATTATTCTTCTTTCATATGGTGTTGGTCTACTGTTGGTCGCAGGTCTGACAAGAAACCTACTCCTCACTATCAGCTATGCAAGGTGATCTTCTCAGCTGGCCAAGCATTTCCACAACAAGGCACATACTCATATGGCGCCTGGTGGCCTCGGACTCCTGAGACACTTTGAAATTGAGGCTGAGTGAAAAGCGTGATGAGGGAAAGATGATGCAATTGAGTCACCGCCACAAGTTTGACGCTGAACGAATGTGCGTGTCAAATTCTGCGGCTTGGAAGCTGAAGCAAGAGCGCAAAACGGACATATCTTGTAAATGGCCCCGGGGTGGTACTGCAAGCACCCGTGCATGTTTTTCTCTGCCACACAAGAACATGGGTGTTGTTTATGACTGTGTAATGATGCAAGAAAGGAGTTTTAAATCAAGACCGTGAGAAACGGCCTTTGCACATTTCAAAGGGTAGCAGTGTATGATGACGAACCCTCGGTGAGGTGCAGGTAGACTATTTGAAAATCCCAGCACCAAACCTGCTACATAACAGATTCAATATCCAGGGTTTGTGCAAAGTCTCCATCCAAGTAGCATGCTAGCCTAAGCTGCTGACAATCAAGACAATCGCTCTGGCGGAGCAAATGTGCGATTGCGCCTAAAACGCACCATTTCTCGGCGAGATTCATCCTTGTTCTGATCATCCTTGTCATTGTTTGTTAGACCCAAGTCCAAGAGGTCTGGGTGTTTTTCCAACGAGTCTCTAGACAGAAGGAGACTCGGCATACGTTTGTAGATAAACCAGACAGTCGATTCGCAGAGTGACATCCAAGAATTAAGGAAATTGATTATATTCCCAGTTTCCATACGCCCTTCGAGCCAGTCGTTTCCCTTCTGCAGATAGAGCTTTGCGGAAAGAGCCATCGTTCAGGGCAGACTCGGTCTCCCATCTAACTTTCTGAGAGCCTTCATGGTCTTCTTTGTCCTACACATGGCGGAAGATGGAGACAGCAGACAAATGGAAGTTGGTATTGATGGGAATAAGTAACTCCAGTTCGATGAGAATATCCTAATAAGCGTGGGCTGGAGGATATATTCTTCCCGCTCGCCGGCCAACATCACGTTTGTCCATGTGTTGAGCGTCTCGTCGGAGTTGGCGCCCTTTGGGACGATCGTCGAGAGGCAAAGCGCAGGGTGTCCGACTCTTTCGATCAAACTGAGGTTTCTGTGACCAGTCAGTACGGGCAGAACAAAGTATTCGGTAAGAAGCACTTACGGATCATTAATAAAGCTACGAGTCATATGTTACGCGCCCCTGGAATTGTAAAATAGCATGAGTGAAGCAGAATGTGCTACAGCCCCTCCACCAACCAGGCTAATCAGCTCAAGGGAATCGCTAGATTGCAGCTGGGCAGCCACTTGATTCGATGACCGTTTCTCGCTCGGAACTTTGTTCTCATATACATGGCGTAAAGCCGCAGCCTCAGATAGTGCGGATGTTTGTTGGCAAACTCCTGGATCAGCTGGAGGCGCTGTCCGAAGATGGGAAACTCGCCACGCGCCGAGTGCGTACTCCACGAACATATCATTTCTCCAGAGCCTGGCTCTGGTGTTCAAGCACGGGATTGCAGCTTAGATAGTGCGGATGCTTATTGGCAAGCTGCTGCAGCTGCTGGAGCCGCCATCCAAAGACGGGGAGGTTGTCACGCGCAGAATAGGTGTCCCAGTCTCGTTCATGATAAGCGTCTTTCCCATCAATGTGATGATGCTATGCCGAAAGATAATCATGCTCATTACCCGCAAGCGTGGCGAGCAGATACATACGTCTTTTGCGTCCATGTCGTTTTCTCGGGACTCTGTCATGTGGTGTAGCATGCTCTTGAAGAGAGCCAGGCCTCTTGGTCCGTCACAGGGACGAACAGCCCCAATAGCATTGATCCCCACGGTTCTTGAACGTGGGAAGACAACGCTCAAGAAAGATTTGCCACAACCTAGTAGCAGTGTAACAAGTCTCAGTCAAATTCGATGCTGCGAAACGATGAGAGAAGCTGACATGAGATTGACGTGCAACGTTCTTCGTCATCGTAAGGCCGAAAACTTTGTTCGACAGGGAGACACGGAGACAGAGAACCTCCCCTTGATCAGTGTTCTGACCAAGCACCATGGCTGGAAGCTCGTGTAAGGGCAGCCCTGTCGCTTCAGGATTCGCTTCCCTGTATCTTGATTACTTTGGCGACAGACAAGCTCAGAGGGCCGAAGCTTGCATGGTGGCTGATGAGCACGCATACTGTACCGCGGCGTGGCCAGCGAGCCATCCTGCAGCTACCTTCGCATTGTCATATATCCTGGGATGTCTCCGGCATCGTTGAATCATGTGTGCCTGAGAATAAAGGATGACATTGAACTGTTATTGTTACTTCGTGGTCAGAATTCTGCTCGGGCTCCAAGAGAAACTATTCCGAGGTATCTGTGAAGGTCACTTACAGGTTCAGCATGCCTTCCTTACACAATTTGCGATATTTCTGGGCTTGCACTGCTTGGATTGCCTCCAAGAGAAATGGAATGTAGCTCGGGTCTAATGCTGGACCTCATACTGGACGGGGTAGTGAGTGACTTGAGGCTGAGAGATGCTTGATTAGAAAGTGGACGGCCTGTTAAGGGGAATCAATTAGGAACTTTCTGCGAGTACGGCATTGGAGAAGGGGTATAACATACCACGGGGAACCTTCTAGCGAGTAGTTTGCCACCGATACCACGACCATAGCAACATCCTGCATCGGTTCTGCAGAATATGATTACCATTAGGCAGTATGTGTTCGGCGTCAACAGGAATAAATACCACGATGTCGCCACGGCGAGATAAAAACTGGGATTCGCGCGCCATGCTCTAGTCGTCCCGTTTGGGCTGGCGGGACATCAACAGTTTTAGCGCTTGGATTCCAATCGGGGATAAAACCGGCAGGCGGATATGGAGATGTAATCAGATACAAGGGACTCTGGGGCTCGGGCAGCAATGGTATCGAGCAACACAATGAGCGCTTATTGTATTGTCCCAGGCCTGGATCAGATCAGCATTGGTCCAAAGTAGCTCCATATCATATTACCAATGCTGGGTCAATGGAAGAAGTAATTCACAAGAGCACATACCCTAAAAGAAGATTCAAATCACTGTACGCCACCATTTGACTTAATTAGCCATTGTAGTCGGTCGTCGCGAAAGAGCTACCCAAAGGCCCAAGGCGATGCAGATGGAGACTGCAAGTTGCAACGTTCCTTCACTCGGCATTCTCGGCTCTGGCTCGCTTGGCCGGACGCGGCAATGGGGGACTTGCATGGAGTAATACAACACAACTTGTGCTGCTGGCGTGGGCATGCTGCGGGAATATTCATCCGTTAGTGATATCCGAACTTGGGGTGATGTCTCGGGGGAATTGAAGAGGTAGCTACCTGGAACAATACATAGTATACTACATCTGCCAATGCGCCCAAAGTGAGCTGGGATGCCGTCGGCAATACGGAGTACCTTGATAGCATCCGAGAGTAGTGCAAGGCCAGGAATGCTTTGCAAGGGCTTGGTTTGAGATCAAAAACGAGGTCCGGTCTATCGTGATTTCCGTAGTGCTGAATTTGGACTCAGGCTTGCTATCTTTGGTTGTGTTTGCATTGAACACTGGCTGAGTAGTAGTGTGTGTCTTCGATCAAAGTTGAGTAACAGAACAAAGGAAAGCGCATGTCGGTGCTCAGAAAAAAATCCTCTGGGAGAAGAGCGAGAAGTGTAGAAGAAATCTGGGCATGCCTCGAGTTAAGACGCAAGTAATTATTATAGGCCACATTATATATAGAAACGGGGTTGTGTGAAAGAGAAGGGGAGAGCAGTATATAGCAGAAGACAAGGATACTTTGAAGATGACAATTTAAACGAGGATTGGGTTCGAGATAGCAAATCCTCTTTTATCAATGCCTGAAAAAGAGACGCGATCTCCAACCACGACGGTTGATGATCTGCCGACAAGGATATCCTGATCGAAGTGCAGTGACCCCGTTTGTCTGAGGAGAGGTTGGGTCTGACCTGCATGGATGGAAACATGATACAAGGACCATCGCTCGAGCGCAGATCGAGTCGTTGGAAGTCGGCTTCGATTAATACTAGGCTCGAATTAGATACAGACAAGGACTGCTGCTAGTGGCTCCAAAATAAATCTCACGAATAGCCTAACCCACCTCCTTCCCGAATATCAGTAAGCCTTTCTCAAACGCAGGTAAAGCGTTGGAACGGAATCGCCGCCGAGTGCTCTCCCTAGACTAATCTTTTGGGTCACCGTTTGGTCGCGCGGTCTGGCTGGCTTGGGCAAACGGCTGACGACAGGTGGCAATGTAGGACATTGTCGGACACCAAAATTGGGAGTATGCGAATTCACCCAAGCATCAAGACTCTGATGCGTTTGATATGACGAGTTCTCCAAGCCTCATGAGCTTGTACTATTCCCACTGGCCCGTTGCTGTTCCTGGTACAGAGCAGTGTAGTACCCAGCATAGTACCACGCCATCATGAGGTTCTTCAGCCCCTCGTCTTGAGCTGAGATAGCCATTAGCCCTCATTACAGTATATTCAAATCCAAGCCTCGACTTACTTTGGGGGAGAAGGGGATACGGCATGGTCGGTGCTTGTGTTTGAGCAGTCCCAGCCGCGGCGTCTTGAGGTTGTTTCACCTCCGCAGCCACATCCGGTGCCTGTGCCTGTAGCCGTCAGATCAGCCATCATTAATTCACCATCGAAAAGTACCATGCACAAAAGAGTCATACCTGCGAGACGTGCGTCTCAACTGCAGCGGCAGCTGGCTCATAAGCATCCGCGTCCACGTCAGCCATGTCATCGTCCTTCTCGACTTGGGCCCAAGACATCGATGGACCCGCCTCGGCCTCAGCAGCCGCTTCTGCCTCCCTCAGGACATCTTCAACATTCTCGCCTTTGGCGGCGATGCTGTGATAGAGCTGTAGCGCAATTAGCAGACTGTAGTCACGTGCTAATGAGGTAGGGTACCTTGTATTCTTCGACAGCTTCATCCCAACTCTGGACGAGCGCAGAGTCATCCCAAATCTCCTCCTGCGTCAGGGCCCGACCGGTGCCCTTGTTCTTCCCCATGACATCTACAGTTGGCGACCTTGAGGTGTAGGAAGCTGGCGTGTTAATGGGTGGAGATGGCAGGGAAGGCGGAGCACTTTCCACCCTCACCGCCTGGCTTTCTGCAACCCAAAAATAATTTTCAGCAAAAAGTTTCCGCTCGGTCAAATCAACAACCATTCATCTAGTGTCTAATAATGGCTCCCGATAAGAAGGACAAGAAGCGCAAGGGTATGTTGTCTCCGAATGCCTAATTGCTGTTCGTTTGCTCATTGAGTCTAGCTGTGGCCGCCACCACCGTCGACTCTCCCGCGAAGAAGACGAAAAAGGTCGAAGCCAAAGCCGCTGAGCCCGCCGAGAACCCCAAGTCCATCCTGAAAAAGAACAAGACCAAGGGAGCTAAGGAGAACAAGGCTTCGAAGCCCAAGACCGATGGCGATGCTCCCCGATCGATCAAGCCTCGCAAGCGTGCTGCGGACTACATGAGCGACGAGGAGAGCGAGGAGGAAGTTCCTGTGAAGAAGGCCGACAAGGAGACCAAGGCCAAGCCAAGCGCTAAGAAGTCCAAGAAGGAGGATGGCACCGCTGCGCCTGTGAAAGAGAAGTCTGGAAAGAAGGCCAAGAAGCTTGAGATTGTGCCTAGCGATTCCGAGGATGAGGAGGTTGCACCAGCTGTGGAGGAGAGCGAAGAAGAGGATGACCAGACTACCGCTTTGATCCGAGGCTTCGAGAGCAGCGGCGACGAGGACGAGTCCGGAGACGAGGCCATTGACCCCGACGCTCCGGTTCCCAAGATTCCCGACTCGAAGAAGGCCAAGCGCAAGATTCTCAAGCTGCAGAAACAGAACAAGGCCGAGTCTTCAGGAAACCCCGGTGTTGTCTACGTTGGGTAGGTTTTCTTCCTAATCCTACCCTCCGCCGTTGCTAATCACAATTCAGACGCATCCCCCACGGTTTCTACGAACACCAGATGCGCGCCTACTTCACCCAGTTCGGCGAGATCACCAAGCTCCGCCTTTCCCGTAACCGCCACACCGGTAAATCCAAGCACTACGCCTTCATTGAATTCGCCTCCGAGTCCGTCGCCAAGATTGTCGCCGCCACAATGGACAACTACCTCATGTACGGTCACATTCTGAAATGCAAGTACGTCCCCAGCGAGCAGCTGCACCCTGAGCTGTGGAAGGGCGCCAACCGCCGCTTCAAAGCCACGCCATGGAACCGGATTGAGCAGAAGCGTCTGAATAAGGGACGGACCCGTGAGAAGTGGACGAAGAACATCGAGCAGGAGCAGAAGAGGCGTCTTGCCAAGGCGGAGAAGCTGAAGGAGCTTGGATATGAGATGCCGCTGCCGGAGCTCAAGAGCATTGATGAGGTTCCTTTCCAGGAGCCCGAGGAGGAGGTTAAAGCTGTTGAGGGTGAGCAGGAGGCTGAGGCTAAGGCTATCGAGGCCCCCGCTGAGCCCGCAAAGGCCGACGCTGAGAAGACCGATGATACCCCGAAGAAGTCGAAGAAGGAAAAGAAGGAGAAGAAGAAGGCCATCGCCGAGGCTCCCGTCGAGTCCCCTAAGCCCAAGGCGGCTGCGGCTGCCTCGCCTGCTACAAAGTCGAAGAAGAAGTCCAAGTCCAAGTCCAAGGCTTAGACTCTCATTTCCGTCATTGTATATCGCAAAATGGCTACTCGTTAGGGTTCATAGGAGTAACGGTTCTTTTCCTCACACCTGGCATTTTCACTAAAGTCATCCTGTTTTCATAAACGCACTCTATAGTCCGGGATTTCAAGATTGCCTACTTCAAGCTTTTCCATTTAATTACCTTAGACCTCCTAGATGCCGCTTGCGCTTTGTATTATCCGGAAATCAGTCAGCTTAGCCCCAGCCTCAACTTGAGACCAACCATATTCTACAACTGGGATCGTCCACCTCCAGACCGATGGTGGCTGAACCAGGCACAAGCGAATCGGCAATCGGGACTCGGACACAAAAGCAAAACAACATTAAACACAAATGACCGACGCTGAAGTATTCTGGTTGCAACTGTGATTACGTCCTGGAAGCCATATTCGCGGCTACACATATCCACTCAATTTATGCACCCCGTGGCCTGGAATAAACCAAGGCTTTGAGAATCATGCACGCTACATCTCCTTATGCCGTTCACCAATTTGAAATGATTATCGGACAAATGCCGTACAAGTGCGCGTCTTACTCCGCAACCTCCGTCACTGGGATATTTACTCCGTATCCCGCGAATATATGACGTCTCCTACCTGAGCGGAGTTATGCAAGGACACAGCCGAGGGCCGATGAACCCGGATGAGGAGGCAGATAACCCCTCAGATATACGGCCTGTAAGACCCCCGACTTCAATGCCATCTATTCCAGTCAAGACACATTATACAGAATGCGCGCCGCACAATTCTACGCCGCCGGCGACGTCCGCGTCGAAGACGTCCCAGCTCCCCAGGAAAGCACCGACAAAGTCCTAATTGAAATTGAATGGTGCGGGATCTGCGGTAGCGATCTGAACGAATACATCTTTGGTACCTAGAACTATTCCTATCAACGTGATGGTCAGCTAACAAGGACAACAGGCCCCTTCGCAATCCCCTCCCCGCAATCCGGACCACACCCACTGACAAACGCCCTTCTCCCCGTGACAATGGGCCACGAGTTCACAGGCCGAATCAGCTACGTCCCAGACTCGATATCGCACCTAAAGAAAGGCCAAGCGGTCGTCGTGGACCCGCGCTACTACTGCTCCTCCTGCACGCCCTGCTCGCAAACCGCCACGAACAGCTGCGAGAAGATCGGGTTTGTGGGCCTGTCTGGGGGCGGAGGTGGTCTTTCCGAGGTTGTTGCCGTTAAGCCGGAGGCTGTGCATGTTCTTCCTGAGGATGGGTCTGCGAAGGTCGATCTTGCGGCTGCGGCGCTGATCGAGCCGTTGGCTGTTGCGTGGCATGCGCTTAGTCTTTACCTTTCTATTGCGCCGTACCAGAGTGGTCTGGCTGATGGTGAGAATGAGGATCTGAGCAGTATTCCCGTGCTGATCATTGGCGCTGGGCCGGTTGGTGTAGCGATGAGCTATGTCTTGCGCGCTCGGGGAGCAAATATAGTCTATGTTTCTGAGATGTCCAAAGCGAGGCGGGAGACACTGCGTGATGCGGGGATCGTCACGGAGATTTTTGACCCCGCCGAGGTCGATGTCCCGCAGATGGTCAAGGCATTGACGGGGGATGGCGTCAGCGTGGTCTTTGACTGTGCTGGTGCTCAGCCTGGCTTCGATTCTGGCTGTCAGAGTTTGAGGTTTAGGGGTGTCTATGTCAATCTGGCGGTGCCGAAGGCGCCTGTATGCCTCTTTTCCTCGAGTTGAATTTGATGATGGCTCGCTGATTTTCATTAACAGATGACGCTCCCGCTCGCTCCGTTCCTGTGGAAGGAGATCATGTACAAGTGCTCGCTGGCTTACAACCAGGACGACTTCAAGAGTGTGGTCGAGGCATTTGTGCTTGGTTAGTTTTGGCCTACCCTATGTTTCCAACCCAAATATTGATAACAGACAGGCCGCTTCCAAGGCGTCGAGAAGATGATAACCAGACGCCTGTCACTAGAGGACATTGTCGAGCAGGGCTTCAAAGAACTCATCAAACCAAACGACCACATCAAGATCCTTGCCACGCCGAAGCGCGCGAACATCAACGGCAGTATATAAAATCACTTACCTATGTACCTACACCTTATAATACGCCCTAGGAATGTTATCGTAATAAGGCACAACCACCAAGTCCGGATCATCCGTCTTCCCAACCATGGCCTCTGTGACAGGATGGACGGGCTTAGAGTCGACGATCAGCTCAATGCAACCCGGTCCTTGCCCTTCTAAAACCTTTTGAACAGCCCCTTCCATCTCCTCAACCTTCTCAATCCTAACCCCTCTATTTCCCAACCCCCCAGAGACAGCCGCGTACCCCGTAACAGCCGACAGCGAGCTAACGGGCCTCGCCGGGTTCAAGTCACCATAAACGAGCTCCTGTCCGTTACTGCTCATGCCCCAGCAGTAGTTGTTCACAACGATCGTGACGACATCAAGACCTAGCCGTGCGTACGTGTCCAGCTCCATGAAGTGGAATCCAGCGGACCCGTCGCCCTGCACATTGATCACTTTCGTGCCAGGACATGCGACGGCAGCGCCGAGCGCGTATCCGAACCCGTTCCCTAGGAATCCAAGTGCGCCCGTAGACTTTAAGATCACGCTGGGGTTTAAGATCTGGGCGACACCGTGCGCCCAAATGGCGCATTCGCCGCCATCCATGACGAGGATGGGGCTCTTGATTTGCGTGGATAGTGTGGTAAAGAGGATTCTGAGGGCATGGTGCGGGTGCATGCGACCAGATGATTGGGTTAAGGGGTCAGCGTCGAATGGGGAGGGTAGGCTCTGGATAGATACTGCCTTTTTCACCCAATTTGTGTCAACAAGACCACAATCTCCAGCAGGTCCAGTGTCAAGTTGCGCGTTGACGGCCGCAACAAACTGTCCAACGTCCGAGATGATACCCAAGTCAACAGGCAGAGTCCGGCCGATCTCGCCGCCGTCAACATCGACTTGAATGAGCTTGCATTTCTCATGTGGCGGAATAATTGCTCCGCTGCGACCGGCCAGGAACATACCCGTTCGTGCGCCGAGCAGGAGAACCAGGTCCGGTTGGAGCGCTTCAACCGCAGAAAGCAGAGCGAGAGTGTCGGCACGACCGCCGTAGAATTTACCCTTTGTAACTAGATCCGAGGAAAGCATGCATTTTTGGGTGTCGAAGATGGGGATGTTGGTTTGGTTCGAAAATCGGAGTAACTGCGTTGTTGTCTGGTTAAGTTAGGGTTGGTTAGCTTGGTTTGCCCTAACTGGATTCAACGCGTATCGTACCTCCTCGCTTTGCGCTCCACTCCCAATGATTACAACCGGTCTTGTCGCAAACTTGAATAGATGCACTGCCTTCTTTACTGCCTCGACGTGCGGGCCAGGTGCATAGGAACGGGGAGACGTAATTGAACCCCAGGAGATCAGCTTTTCATGGACTGGAGTGAACAGCACGTCAATCGGAAAATCGAGTAGTACCGGTCCTAATCCAGTCAGCACCCATGCTGTAAAGCAGATTCCCATGACATTAGATGTGTGGATATGGGCTACCAACCTGGCGCGCCAGCCAACGCCGTCCGGACAGCTAGACTAACCAACCGCGGCGCATCCTCTGGATTCGTAACGCGATGCGCAAACTTGGTCAATGGCCTGCTCACAACCACCTGATCGATAATTCCCTGTAGCGAATTATTTTCGCTATCCCGGAGCGGCGGCGACGAGGTTATCACTAGGATGGGGGAGCGATCTGCCAACGCCGAGGCGAGACCGGGAATGCCATTCGAGAACCTAGCGACCTATTAGTTCCCACACTGAGGATAATAAACTAAAGGTGAGTACGAACCCGCTGTTAGCTGTAACAAACGCAACCCCCAGTCCCCGGGAGACCTTCGCATACCCCTCTGCAGCCTGTACCGCTGCTGTCTCGTGCCGCGTATCGACGAGTTTGATCCCAACGCTCTCGCAGCCCATGAGAAAGGCATCGAGGTGCCCGCCATGCAGTCCAAACGCGACTCCTATGCCGAGGTGCTTGAGCGACTGGGCGAGGAGGTCACCGCCTGTTAAGGGGCGCGTGGTAGGGTGGGTGAGAGAGAAGGGCATTGTATTTTCTTGTTGGTTTCTGGTATAGTTTGGTAATGGTTCGAGCTTTGTGGGGAGACTTGGATGGGATGGGTTGATATAGATCAAGGTAGTAAAGGTGCTTGGCTTCTTGAGGGGAGCCGAGGATACGGTACGGGCACTGCCATGCGTGAGGGGTGCGGGGTTGGTCAACCCTCCCATCTCTTTGACTAGATGCACCTAGGAAGCAACGACAGTATACATGCAGAGAACATCGGGGCTCCTGCGTCATGCCTGGGATGACGTAGGTAACTTGCTAGATTACCAGTTGCGTCGGGGATTTTCTTCTTCCACGTAATATGGGATGAACATTCTGATATGTCTATAACAAGAAAAGGCGTATCTATCACGAAAGCTAAAAGGCCTACACAGTCAAACTAGATAAGAAAGTGACCACACTTCCAACATCCTCCAGCGCTGCAGCATGAGCAAGTATCCCGTCAGGTCGCAGTACCATCACTGCGCCCCTTCCAGGCGAGATGGTATAGGCAGCATGAGCCGACTGGTCTTGGTCAAAGCAGAGGTAGCCAAGCCTGGGAATGCTGAAGAGTCTGTCGCCCTGGGTAACGTTTTGTGAGACGATAGTCAAGAACCGAATCATGCCATCGGGTAGGGCAGCTGCAGAAGCACTCAGCTCTTCCACTGCTCTCGCCAGAACTGCTTGTGTCTCAAAAGGCATTCCAGCAAAGATCACGACGGACCATTGGCCGGAATTCTTAGTCAGGCTAAACAGACGAACCGGCAGATGCGAGCCAGGGGGGTATACCAGGGCATCTGGAGCTCTCCAGCCTGCGGTAACCATACCGGTAGTAGAAGCCCTATTGATCACGTTCTTTTCGTAGTGGATGCCAAGTCCGATAGAGAACTGGATCGTCTCGTCAAGGAGCTTGGTGAAGAGCTCGTTAGCATCGGTGTACCGTCCTTTATGGGAGTCTGGAATTTGACCGGATATCACGGCAGAGAAGGCCTTGTCGAGCTCGATGAGGCGATGCGCCGCCGGGCGGCGTTCGGTATCGTAAGTTTCGAGGACAGTCTTGTTATACCAGCCTTTGATCGCACCGCCAAGCTTCCAGGCGAGATTGACTGCGTCGTGGACGCCAGTGTTCATGCCTTGTGCCGCTCCTGAAGAGTGCGTGTGACACGCATCGCCGGCCAAAACGAGTCTATCATTGCTAATGTAGGTATCGGCGACACGTTGATTGATACTGTCTACAGGTCAGCCAGGCTTATATGATTTTGAAGGGGAAGGACTAACGTGTAAAGCGTCCACCAGTCCACACGCTCGAACTCCAACGTAAATGGTTCCATAGACTTGACGGCCTCTCGTTTGGCATCCTCTTCTGTGAGTCGTCCCCCATACTTAGCGAGCATCTCCTCCGTCATGGCAAATCCAATGCGCTTCACGCCGTGGTCTAATTGCACCCAGAGCACGTTGCCGTGGTGCTTGGACTCAATAGATGCAAATCCTATATCCGCATCGGGCATGTCTGTCTTGAAGCGGCCATCGATCCGCACCCATCTGTGGGAAGTATGTTCGCCTTCAAATGGAATATTTGCCAGACGTCGTACCAAAGAGTGGCCGCCATCAGCGCCAACAATATATTTGCTGCGAACTCAAATTAGCTTTGTAGCCCAAAGTCAGTGGTTTCTGAAGATTTACCTTTTTATGACTGCAGTCTCATCTGTTCTCACATTGCGGATTTGCGACGTCACTTTGTAGTCGTTCTGGCTCTCATGATCAATCGAGAACGACTCCAGCTTCCAGCCAATGTAGGGGTTGCCACCCAATTTTCGGTAAGCCGCACGGATAACCTCCTCCGAGTATTTTTGCCGGATGTTGAGGCAGTAGTCAAGGTAGGTTCCATGCATTGCTTCAAACATCCTGTGCCATCCGCGAGAAGTCACACGTTGGCCGTCCTTGAAGGTTACGCTGTTCCGACCAACGTAGCCAATCTGGTTCAGATCATCCAGCAAGTCGAGCTGATCAAGCATCTCGAGGGTTCGAGGGTACAGCGTTGTTGCACGGCCGTACATGGCTTGCTGATCCTTATCGTGCTGCTCTTGAGGATTATCAGCGTAGATTCAAGCGATAGCATAGTCCACCACCTACCAACCAGAAGAGATGTCACTCCTTGCCTTGCAAGACTGTACGCAACAATCAAGCCGACTGGACCACCTCCAGTGACAAGAACATCGGTAGTGATAGGTTGAGACATTGTAGTGAGGGAAGAAATGAATATTCAACAGAGCATGAATTGTAGACAGGAAGGAATATGCCGTTCGTTGGAGGCCGTTTTATACTAGTTTCCCCCGGAACCATCGGGTACACATTGCAGAGAGAATCAATAAGCTCTTTCATTCATTGGATCAATTTGCCGCTCAGGAGGGCCGATTATCCATTGAAGGTGTTGTCAACTGCTGAAGGATACTATATGGTATTGTCACATCAAGTATCGGATACAGCTCTGTGGCCCATCCGGGTGGTAAGGCTGCGTATCGGAATGTAACGGCAGGTGGGTCAAACAACGGCATGGCTCTGCCGGATCAGCAGCTCGTTAATAGCTGATGTCGAACCAGGACCAGTCAAGAGCGACGTTGTCGAGGTTAAGATCAGCAAAGAGACTGTCAGGAAAAGTCCCATTCGCCGTCTCATCCATATTGAGCTCCGGTGCGTAGTTCCCGCTAGTCTGAGCTGCATTTTCGTTCCAGCGGTATGGCTCTACTCATTAGTCCAGGCAGCCCACGCAAAGATGATATCTTACCAAGCATTTTCAAGCACTTGGATCTAGTGTCGCTCAAGCTGTGCGAGCATCGCTCGGCCACAATGCTATAAGCCTTCAGATAGTTCAGAGTCCGTTGACATTGTTCCCAGGCGGCATCCAAGCCATTTCGTGTGACGGCCTCTACGGCCGCGCTATTGGTTTCGGCAAGGATGAGTACTATCCCTGCGGTAAAAGTGTCTGTGGTATATTAGCACTGAGACCCAGAAAGCGACGTGTAGAATCGCACAAAAAACGTTGTAGAACCAAACGCTTGCCAAATTAGTGCTACATGTTTCGTGTACTAATCCTATTAGCTCAATGGCAGTCCGAATGCATAGTACTGAGCAGTTGAGGACTAGATTGGCGTATATTCCAGATTCAGATGTTCCCGACTGATGTTCATAGTATGTCCTTTGCTCTCGCCTTCGATCAAGCGAGTGAGAGAAAGCAGGCCTATATGCTAAAAGCTTGAGATACAAGAACCTTCCCATGAGATCAGCGGGCCTCTTCAAGCAAATCACGTACTATGTTTCACTCACCTAGCTTTAAGTAAACATCTTTCTCTCAACAACGGATCTGGCTTATCCCCTTCCACTACCTCCCAGCTCAGCGGCTTTGGGATATTGGCTCGAAAATCATCTAGTTCCAGGTCAATTTGTGTGATGGATTGGAGCTGTCGTATAATGCGCATTTTCTTCCGAGCAGCCGGGTCTAGCGTAGATGGATCCGTCTGATCCTCGTAGACTGTATTGTGCATCTTTTGCAGAAGTTCATGGAGCTTCAAGGTAGCGATAAACCACTCAACACGGGAAAATATACCCGGAGGCTGTTCACAGGACGCGACATCCCCAACCAAATAGCAATCGTCCACTGCCGCGGGCAGTGGAACAAGTGAGTGCTGAGATGTCATTGCCGGACGACCGAGCATAGAACTAGCCGCTCTATGGGTTCGTCAGCTTGGCGTACACGTGTGTATACCTGCTACTCACAGGTCTAACATCCGGCATCCATGCCAAATTCGCCTTCTCATCTGGTTTGAGGCGAATGACCGATAATCATCGCCAGTGTTTGTATGCAAACCAAGCCCCTGAGCCAGTCGATATGCGGTTCCGATGGCATGCCAGCACCGATTGGGAGTCTGCGAGCCCTGGAGGTAATGGGAGTTAAGGAGGAGGACCTGAACCAGGGCCAGATCACCACGCTCGAGGTAGTCCACGTCAAGCGCCGGTTTGGAACGACGGAAGAAAGCTTCAGACGTTGTTTGCCGATCAGCACCCATTATCTCTGAAAACTGGCATCCATGGGCGAAGATGATATTCAATCCGTAATAAAATGTCGTCCCACTGACTGCAGAGTCTCCCAGCCCTAGTCCAGTGTTCATCGGAGTGCTCGTGTTGTCTCCAGGCATCCAGATACGCTGGTACAATGAGAGAAAAGCCACTTTGTGAACAAAGGGATACAAAATATGAATCTTCGAAAAGTAGCAGTCTACAAGATGATCGGCCAGCGCTCGAGGGGGAAGCATGTCCAACGAGATTTTCGTATACCCATTGGTCCTTTTGTCAGACGGTGTCTTGGCCGTATTATAGACCTGAGGTGGCTCTGGTGCGAGCCCTTCAGGTCTTAGCGTCTCCTGCAGCCGCTGGATGAATGCTACTGCCGAAGAGTCACCAAAAAATGCTTCTCCTGATCTATGACCATCATTCAGCGGACGGGCAGTGAGGCCCATCGCAGTGACTTCGGGCTCGAATACGTCTTCGGCTGTTGTTGACTCTCGTATCCTGGGACTGGATGGATTTACATCTTGCCCATCGCCGGCGCCTAGGCTATGTAATCTAACCTCGCGTCAGACATAGTAGCCTCAAGTCTCCATCCGCCACTCACTCGGAACTCTGACCATGATCATCATCGCTATAGCCGCACTTCTCTCGGCGGCGGAGACAGGTACCACAGTCCGGCCGAACTCCGTCACAGCGAATCTTGTGAGCTCGACACGGGTTACAGGCAACACCTACCCTTCTTCGTTTCGCACTGTGACCGAGTGGATATGGGCTATTTGAAAGCATTGTGGTCGAACACTTCCTATACAAAAGATGCTAGGGGCCAAGGCCAACTCAATAAGGGAAAGCCGTGCACTATCCCGGGTGGGTCCGCCCTAACCCAAAGCCAGTCTAGCCTCATCACATGACAGATATCTCCACCGTCTTCCATAAAATTTCCAACGCGCACTCTTTTCCTTCCTCTTCCCAACTCCTCGCTCAAAGAATCGCATTCAAAGCTCACACACAGAGAGCTTCTCAGCTCTTTCCTCTTCACCCATGAAGAGAATTGCTTTGGGAGAAAGTCCCCGGACACCCTGTCTCTCGCCCTAGGCGTCAGACAGGCAATGCGGAAACGCGCCGCCATAAAAGCAATTTGATAGCGGCTTACTGCCCTATTCCCTACCGGTTGAGTTCTATGCCCGACGCACTCGTGCGGAAACAATGGTGGTGTAGGTCGCTGCCGGAGAGGGGTTCATTGGGTTGCCTTTCGTCGTGTTTGGATAGTCATGCGATTGCTCGGCTCACTTCGGTGGCTGGGTAACTCAATGGGGCTCATTCTTGAGGCGAGGAGTTCATTTCATTTCTTATCTTTTGGGTCTGTAGCTTATTGAAAGCGGTGGCTGCGCGAGAGTGCGGTTGCAGATGCTCTGTCGAAGGAGCCGGACTCGCTCCTCCCCTCATTATCCCCCTTTTATTTTCCCCATACCTTTCGTGTGGTTCATATGATGATATACCAATCATAGAGTCAAGCCCTGAAATCCCTACTACGGTAGAGGGTTGTTGACGATAAACGATTGTTTCTTATCTGACGAACATCCCATTGCATGTCATGTTACCTATAAAATTTCTACCTATCCAATGCAAGAAGAAACATTTCATACATCAATCATCGCATCTTACTAGCCGTAGCCGGAACAGCTTGCGCTCTTCCCTTGACCTGTAAAGCCATCCCAGTGATAATCTCAGCCATAACCGAGACAGCCGTCGCGCACACACTGTTCCAGACCTGGACGCTCACGGAGCCCTGCGGAGCGCGAGGGAAGGCCAAAACCCATTCGACGGGGTAAGGGAACCAGCCACCGGGGAGTTCGAAAACAGGCGTCTTAGAGTATCTGAATTGGATGAAGAGCTTGAGGCCGGTCGTGCTGAGCCATCGGGCAATTTTGACGAACCAGTCGAAGGACGATTTCTGGGAGGAAAGCTTCTGGTCTATAAACAAGTGAACCAATTAGTTCCGCTGAATCTCTTGTATGTAATATAGAAAGTTTGTGAAGGACACTTACTCAGAGCCTCATAGTCACTTAGCGCCTTGTCATGTCGGCGCCGCAGCTTCGCCCACTTTGCAAATTCATCCTGCGAGCTGGTGTTGTTCATATCCCGCTTCAGCTGGACGACCTCGCGCTTCAGCTTGCTTTGTTCCTGGGCGGTGCTGTAGAGCGACGTTGGGAGTTTGAGGTAGAGGTGCCATAGCTGGGGGTTGTGTTAACTGTGTGCACGTCTCAAGAGGGGTGAAAACCAGGACGGGCGTACCAGGTTATCAATGGTCGTTGCGCCAATCGTGTTGACAAGGAAGATGGCGATATGGAGGATAAATATCGTCCAAATGAGGGGAATCATGGTTGCAGCCGTCAAGTTGTAGAGGGTCGAATTCGACTGGGTTTATTTGTGGAAGCACGAAATGAAAACGAGAGAGCAGAAGATATAACCGCGGGGCCAACGAATAAGTCGCTGTAGGCAAAACGCAGCGGACTGAGGATGAAGCCACTGGTTCAACACGCAGTCACAGCTTGCAGCAGAATTGCTGGTTGTTGATGGAGGAGCTTGAGTAACGCAAATGACGTTGTCACGTTGCCAAAACTGATCTTCGGCGGGCGGCTTTTCTGATCTCCGGCGCGAGCAGCGGGGAACAATCACCTCCAGCCATGGTCCTATCCCAATGACAGTCCAATGTCCGCCTCAAACCGACGCTTTTCGAGACCTCTTCCGGATCTTTGCAAACAGAGAAGATCGCGTCCTTGAATTCGAGATTCTCCCGCCGGCCTTTGGCCCGATACTCGAAGATGGCAGCTCTATTGGAATTACGAAGAAATACCTAGTGCAGGCGTTTGTGGTCGCGCGGAGAGTTTTCTTTGACAATCTGGCAGATTTTAAGAGTACGGGTGGTGCCACATTGCTAGATACATCGGCATCGAACTCTGGGGGCGATGTGTTGGATAAGAAGCTTGCGATCGCATCTGAAATCATCCTCCTCTTCGATTGCGAACACCTGACAGCATGCAACTGGAGGAAGCGGAGGCTAAGCGCTTTGTTCAGACTGAACCTAGAGGCACTTCTCCGGGCGCTGGACGTCGAACTCTCTCTCATGACTACGTACCTCTGCTCCCCGCTCCACCGGCACACCAAGTCCCCAACCCTCTGGCAGCACCGTCAATGGGTTCAATCGCACCTCGTCCGACTGCGCAAACCTAGCTTCAATAAAATCGAGGGACTCTTTCAGACCGAACTATCCGTTGTCCTTCGAGCCGGGGAACTACATCCTAGGAACTACTACGCCTTTACACACTTGCGACAGATCCACCGCATGCTCTCAGAGTCTGGGGAAGTGGAAGGCGAGAAGTGGAGGTTACAACTAGGGCGGAGCATCCTAAACTCTGCGTTGGATTGGTGTCTCGCCCACCCAGCCGATATCTCTGGACTGATGTTCCTGCTTTATCTGCTAGATGTAGTGCCTGATACGACGCTTCGCTCTGATACTGTGGGCAAATTAATCCGGTTCGCGCTCGACATCGGCTGGGAGGGCGAGAGCATCTGGACGTTTATCGATCTCGCTATCCGCAAGTTCCAGCTGCTCAAATTGGTAGACGATTCACAATCATACCCATGGAGTGTTTTGGGCATCGCCTCGTCAGCCGGGTCGCAGGGCGATAGTAAGCCTATCGTTTCGTGGCGGATATGGCTCGATAGGGCCCGCGTCCACTGGGCGACTGAGCCCATCCAAAACCACGCATAACCATTTCCGGGGAAGTGACTCGTGAGGAGCTCGCTCAGATGTAAACGCGACCCCTTATATACCCATAGTCTTAAGTCTAATAAAAAAGACCCTCAATAATCAAACCAAACGCTTCAGATCTTCATTAAAACGCCTCGCTAACAAATCAAGCGTAGCTATCGTCAAAAGCGACATTTCCATGCCCCAGCGTGGAAACCCCTAGTTATCCCCGGCAATTATATACCAGCGCATCGACCAACGTTATCCCAAGCAGAACCTCAATCTCAGAAGCGTCATACCAAATACCCGTATCCCTGATTTCTAAAATGTGTGTGATCCAACTCGTGGCAAAGCAACCAAGGACCAGAATTGAAATGTACTTTGCGCACTCGTAAAGACCATCGTAAAAGAATAGACGGCAGAGGCATCCGAGTACGGACCCGTGAGATTGCAGGTTCGGCAAAAGGTATATAGCGTGCGTCGTCACAGCGCAAAGCAGGTGTCACTTTTTCTTCCCCCCGGCAAGGCCCTCCGCGGATTTCTTCGCATCGGCTAGAAGCGAAAAAGCAAAGCAGTCAGCAACAAAACTCAAAACTTTCATGGGAACACAGCAGCAAATAACAAAGCCTCAATAACGAATCAATCGCCCGAGTTGTTCAGCCGTCCAGGGATGCGCAGGAGAGAAAAACAACGAAACAACAACAAGCACCAAATGTCAGAACTTGACTCACCCGCTGCCTGCTTCGCGCGCATCTTTGCAGCGTCATCTTCCTTCTTGCGCGCAAAGGCCGTCCCGGAGAGTTTATTGCCGGACCTCTATACGGCCATCCGTTAGAGATCGAGCGTTGGGAGGGCGTGGAGAGACTCGGTGGTGGGATTCTTACCTCTGACTCGGCCTTCTTGCGCTGCTTCTCGCGGTCTCGATCTCGTTGGTTTCCGCGGGTCATTTTGCCTGAATTCGATGCGGCTGCTGCTCGAAGAATCGGGGTGTATAGCCTTCGCTGGGGTTCGCTTCAAGGGACGGAGATAGGAGGATAGGTGAGATTGGGGCGCTGAAAACCGTGTCAGGGTTTGCTTGCTTTTGATTGGCGCGCTATTCTGTACGGCTGAATATATATCCTTGGCTAGACTGGCTAGAACCTGAGAAAGGAATGCACTAGTCTATATTCTGTCCAGCGGACGTGGCTCACTGGTCTAGATTGAAATCACAAGAATTAGCTTCGGCGTTTTATTCAACCCCTGGCACATAAACAATCAGCCTTGCTTGACAAATGTATTATAGTTAACGCGCAAACATCATTATCATCCTGGTACCTTATACCTTTGATAGCAGCATTGATGTTACATCACGCGCTATCATTACTTTCCTGGCCGTTCAATCATAGTCCATTCTTCCCAGCTGGCTGGGTTTTCTGCCCCTTCTGCCTCTATATCCAGGAGGTTCTGTATAGCCCCATCATCGCCACACCATTCCCTCAGCATATGAAATGAGTCAAGTGTACTGTTATGGTAAGGTCCCAGCACTTTCTCCTCTTTATGAGTTGTAAGGGTCATTATCCGGATCGCTTCAGCATCCCTCCCATATTGTTTGTGTGTGACTGCAATGAAATATAAGCATCGCATCGTGAACGGGTGGTCAGGCCCTAGCGCTTCCATGCTTCCAGCTAGGGCTTTGCCTTCAAGTTTCACAACTTCCCTTTCGTTGCCCTTTGCTCGGTAGACGTCCGCCAGACGCAATATCCTTTCCAGGATATCGTAGCGAGGTGCCTTTCCCTTCTCCATGTCTTCAATCAGCTGCGCAAACAGCTTTTCGGCCACGTCTAGCTTCCTCCGTTCCAAGTAGATATCACCTAGAACCGTCTTTCTGATCCATGTTTCAGGATGTTGTAGGCCCAGGACAGCTTCTGATATCGTCAAGGTTTGTGAGGCCAGTTCTTCGGCTTCCTGCAATTTGCCCTGGGCTTTATAGACCTTAGCAAGAGTATTGGAACATACTAAGGTGTCTTTATGCTCGGGTCCTTGCTTCTTCTTCCTCCAAGTTAGGGCCCGCTGGATTAACACAGCTGCTTCCTCAACTTTCCCTATGTCGATATACAGCGTTCCCAGACTGGTCATTGCGATAATCGTGTCCTCGTCGTCTTCGCCGAATTCTGATTTTGAGGTCTCATATACCTCTACTCTAAGGCTCTCGGCTTCTTCCATTCGATCTTGAGACACATATGTCGTTGCCAGATTCGCCATAGTAGTGAGCGTCAGGCGATCACGGGAGCCAATTGTTTTTCTTCTCGCTTCAAGTACAAATGAGTCCAGTTCCTCTGCTTCTGCCCACCTTGCCTGATCATGGTATGTTGCAGCCAAACCGGTCATGCTTTTCAGGGTCTCGGGATGTTCAGGACCAAACTCCCGCTTTTTCTCCTCGACTATCAAACTGTCCAAGTTTTCGGCTTCTTTGTAGTGGCCTTGTGACCACAGATAGTAGGCAATTCCCTCCTGCATATGTATGCGCTTTTTCCTGCTTTCCCCCTGTACCTCAGGTATCAAGGCTAGAACAGATTGAGCGTGAGGCAGGTAGGCCGCACAGATACCCCAGTTCTCAAACGTAGCATCAGGATATACCTCATCCAGGAGCTCCATAGCTTGTATCGATTTGTCTTCATAGACACTCTCAAGGATGAGCCATTTCCGTAAGACCAATTGCACGAGTCGATGGAAAGAGAAGTTCCCCTTTCCGTCGGTTGGGACAATTAATGAAAATGCCTTTAGGGTTCCGAGCGCCTTCGTCAGATCCAACGCGCGTTTGATCCTGTGCTGGACCAAGCTCTTGGGGACTTCGTTTCTATCCAGGAATGCAATGAGCTGCAGTATCTCCACAGCCTTAGGGTCTCGCTCCTTGATCTGGTCGATCGAGACAATTAGCGTTGTAGCGACGGCGTTGGGGACTCCAGTATCTCGTCCCAGAGTCTCGAATGGCTCGCAGAGGAGATCCATGCTTGTCTCTTCACTATCGTTGTATAGCTCGATGTACTCCCCGATGCTCATCGTGTTCTCTTGCATAAAAGCCGCGGCTTGGACGATAGCCAGGGGTAAATAGCCCAGTAGTTCAGAGAGCTTGTCCATTTCGGACTCCTCTAGAACGTGGTCTATCATATTATTCTTGACAAGGAGTTTTGATTCCTCGGCAGTCATGGGGGTGACTTCGATCATGGTGTTCGCTGCCCCCTTTGTGAATTTCACGCCGGCTGCTCGATTTCGTGTCGTAACAAGAACCGTTCCACGTTGTGAGTTCGGAATGAGGTCTAGAGTTGAATGGTTCTCGCCCTGCTTTCCCTGCTGGGATGGCTCGAACAAAGATGTTTCATCGGCGTTGTCAATGATCAACACCCATTCATCATGTTCTTTCTCGAGCCATTCTTTGACACGAACGGCTTTGTCGCATTTCGTATCCGAGTCCGAGTCCGAAGCAATGTGCTCGTCGAAGATCGCATTGTACCCTTCACGAAAGCGATCAATACTGCTGGCGCTAACCCAGAACACCGACGCTTGGAACTCCGTCGAGATTCGGTGGGCAAATTCAATAGCCACATGGGATTTTCTAATCGTTTAGTACATATCTAGAAGGAAGTTGTAAGGAGACTCACCCTACACCACCTAGACCAAAAAGCGCGACTCGAGAGTTCGTCCCAATAGGCAGGACCAGACTCTTGAGTTGATCGAATACAACCTCTCGGCCGACGAACTTTGTGTTCCGCCCAAATGGAATCATATCTATCACGCTCAGCAATTTGGATTGTCTTGGGGAGAGATCGATGCAGCCTACATATCTTTGATTCGACGTGCTCGACCAGAGTCAGCCCGGCGAGGGTCGATTCTGCGCTGGAATCTCCAAAGAGAGACGCCTCTTCGCACTCCTTCATCGCTATAGCAGCAAACCTGGTAATGAGACCGGAAACGTGCTTGTAGTTGTCGTCGTCTTCACTGATGTATCGGCAGATACTTTCGTGGTCCCCAAGTAAAGCTACCGTGAGCTCGCGAGAATCAGGGAGGCCGAGTGTTGCTGACTTTTTCTCTACAATCTAAGCCAGATGATAGATTTATCAGCGAAATGGCGACAAAGAGAGTAATAAAGGACGCTTGCGCCCGACGTACGATTCCAAGACTTCTCAGAGGCAGAGTCTCGTAGAAGTTTATATACTTGTAGTCTTCCAACAGTTGCCCAAAATTTGCTGAAAGTTCATTGGCATACAAATCGTTCTCTTTCAAGGAATTGATAAAAGTGTTGCTTGGGGTTCTGAGGAAAGCCCTGACGGCCTTTGCCAGGGTCTCTCCCATCTTCGCCAAATGGCTGCCTCGGTGAGGGGTGCCAAAGAACGCTATGCCATAGGTTGCGGTTCGAATGGATTCGAAGGTGTGTCCAAGCTTGGCTTGTACAAGTGCCTGAAAAGTTAGGGCTGGGTTTGAGAGAGAATAATAATGCATACCTCCTTGACCACTATACCACCAAGGCTATGAGCGATAAAGATAATAGGTCGAGACTCGCAGCCCTAATTGATCAAGATCTGTACTTGTATAAAAGTAGAGATCGCTTACTTGTCTTTCAAGCCATAGCCTACTGAGCAAGTTCTGTGCTTGCTCCCGTACGCCAGCGGCGGAAGATTGGATGCTGACATTGGAGTTATATCCAAAGAGCATCACCCTGGCTTGAGGTAGCTGATTGGGAAGAAAGTCCCTCAGCCACATCTTCCCATTCAGCTCCCATGTCCGCTCGGCATGGCGCTCTTTGTTCTTGGGATTAAGGCCATGGATGGCAATGATACTAACCAACTATTAGCACGCCAATCCGCCGTAGTCGGAGCAGAGTCTCACTCGATTTTAGGGCTTTTGCCTGGCACAAGCGTGCGTAAGAAAGTGTCAGACCGCGGGCAGCCAGTCTCAAGCACGTTAGTCTGGCCCAATCTACTATAGGAGAGCTTACCATGGCATTTGATAGTACAGAGCCTCGAAAGGGCCGTCTCTGAGGTTTCGTCCATGGTCGTAAAAGGGCACCTATGCATATTTAAGCAATTACCTTCCCACTGCACCTTTAGACACCCAATTGCAGCAAATCTCGGACGGCTGCCTTGATAGGCGGACACCCGAAGCGCCTTGCCGCGGTCATTGGCAGCTGTTTGGCGCTGCGCCCTCTACGGGCGCATAACGAGAACAACATTGTTTCCTTTTCTCCTCCTTGTCGACAAAGAGACAGCAACTGTAATTCAATAACAGGTCACCAACCATGGGTCGCATGATGACTTCATGCTAGCAAGGTGCAAGGTGCTGGGCTGGCTTTGAAGACTCGACGAAGAAAGAGTCCAAGAATCAAAGACCCTTCAATGCCAGGGAGCTAAGCGCCCAAGCTAGGCTTTGAGATCGTTTCAAAATCAAGCAACAAATGAAAGGGCAATTCACAATGCGCCCGAAGATCTTCAAAGGGACGGAGGGCAGTGATCGAGGGCCAATCGTTTGGCGCTGGGTTTCATCGCGCAAGCAACCGCGTCCTCCCCTCCACTCCATCCTCTCTCCAACTTCGATCCTGCAACAAATCCATCCGTACCCGAACTGACGGTTTGATTATCAATATGATTTGGAAGATGCGATACCCCGGCACTGCGAGGCTCTTGCTAGAAGTTAAACATTCAAGGCCCTGATCCTTGCAGCGCATACTCCGGCGTCAGACCCGGTCCAAGAAAGAAACACAAGGAACCCTTTCGGCGCCAAAGTCAATGGAGCTCAGCTCTCAATGGATCTTTTGAAGTGTTTCAGACCCTTTTCAGCCCATTGTGTCTGTTCCTTTGCCGATTCATCCAATAGCCTCACAATGGGCGTTGGGTTGGATTAATAGCGCCCACCTGCCCGGGCAGAGCGGCCGTTAGTTCCTCTCCAGTTGTCCTTCCTCTCTTGACGCCCAACAACCTTTGTGGTTCTTTCTCTCCTTAACTTTCGTTTCCTTTCATTTCGTCAGGTTGCTGCTGGTCGGCCTTTGATTCCTTTCTTCCACTCACTGGACTACGCAGATATATCCGGAGCACAAGCCCAAGTGCTGATAGAGCCCGCATACTACCTCTGCTCGCTGCATCCTTTTCATATTTTCAACACCCACCGCGATCATGATGGCTTCGCTGAAAGAGTCCCTGGCTGGTCCGGGATATGTGATCCTTAACGCCGTGCGGGCCATGAACATCATCGTCTTCCTCGACATCATCGCTGCCCATGTGGTCATGTTGATCAAGATCGACCTTCTGACCAGCTTCTTCTTCTTCGAAGCTGTTGTGCATGCTATAGCTATTGGCATCTCCAGTGAGTATCCATGTTCATTCCAGTTCTCTAATATAGATATGCTAACAGACACAGTTTTCCTTCTAGTCTCTGAACTTCCTTTCTTCCGCGCCTACTTCGACCGGCACTGGCCATCCCTTGGCGAGAACTCCGGATTCCTCTCGCTAGCAGGTGCAATGCTGATACTCGGAATTGGAGCATTGGGGGACCTCAACAAACCGGCTACAAGCCAAGAAAAGCTGGGTCTTACATTCTGGCGAATTATCATTTCGGCGGGAATTTTAGCCATTGTCGTCAGCGTCCTCAATGTCGCGGCAGTAAGTCTAACCTTTCCAATCTCCTGGCATGTACCCGTTGCTAATTACATACAGAACTTCGCCTTCGCAGACCGCGATGTGGGTATCAGCGCACGTCATGTCCGCGTATACGGAGCCGTCGCGCCGCAAAAGGTCGCCTCGCGAACAGGCAGCCAGCGCTCATTTCAGCTGAGCTACAAGCGAGAAGAGACTCTGCCCTCATACAACTCGCCGAGCCCTGTTCGACGCATATCGACAGCCAGCTTATCTCGATTCCCTGTCAAGTTTTCTCCGCCAAGGAATGCAGCATCCACAATGCCCATGCCTAGCCATGTGGATTATGCGCCTTCTTCGAAGTATTCGCGGGATTCGTCGGGGGTCACTATCCCAGATCTCGCTCATCATCCGGCTTTGCAAGAATCCTCTCGTATTTAAGTGAGGGTCCGGTAAAGATGAGTCGTGTCTTGTAAAATCGACCATTGATGCTTGAGGCATCAGAAATTGGCGTTGGCTTGTTCACCATATTAGCGATTGACTTGGTATACGATTCTTATTTGTTTTATCCTTGCATGTTATTGTCTCCAGATATCCCTCTTTATGCAGATTTCCTTTTCTTTATCATAATGCATGCTGTAAAAGTGCAGCCATATAATCACTGCTCATAGGTATTCGTCAAATACATCAAGAACTTGAAGTTCTGCAGCGCCGAGATAGCTATTCTTTTTGCAATAGAAAACCAGCATCGACTTGTAAATGTTCATCAGTTGTAGTGCTCCACAGAAGCTCCATCGGACTTGGTTGCAAAACCTTGAGCATCCTTGGCTCTCTTCCGGACCTCCTCATCCTCACGCTGAACATACTTAAGCGGACGTTTTGCCGAAATTGCGTCCGGATCTTTGGTCACAATGAGCGGTGGGTTGGAACGGTAGTACAAGTCGATATCCTCAAGGGTGCGGTTCGCTGAAATCGGTTAGTTTGCACGCCGTGTGTATCCTGGTACGTAAAGAACAAACCTGTTTCTGGGTAGAGGAAATATATGATCGGTAAGAAGACTGCATTCAGTACGGTCCAGACGATCCAGAAGCGCCAGCCGATGTTCTGGATTCCGATAGGGGTGATCTCGACGATGGCGAAGTTTGTCATCCTTCTAAAAGTCAGAGCCAGTTTTGCCATCCGGAATAAGGGCTAAAGTGTAGACAACGTACCAATTCGTCGCCGTCGCCACGGCCGCACCCTTTGTCCTCATGGGCAGCGAGTTGATCTCTGTCGGATACAACCATGGCACGCCGAGCATGCCAATTCCAAAGGCAACGTGGTACAGGAAGAAGAACGCAACGGATGCAGTACCGTAGACTTTATCTGTCTCCGCGAAGCGGAGAAGGATGGTTATCACTAGGAATGACAGGAACTGACCGGATCCGGAGAGCAGCATGAGGCCGCGGCGGCCGAAACGTTCTATCATGGTCACGGCGACGCAGGAGAAGATGAAGTAGGAGGTTGCGTTGCAAGCTGTTAAGAGGCGAGCCATGGAATTGTCGAGTCCGACGGAACTGATTAGGACGGTTGGGAGATAGTAGCTCATTATGTTGATTCCTGGACGCGGATGTGATGTTAGTGGGTAGGAGGTAGGCAGGGGGTATATACAAGGGTTGACTGAGGGCGGACCTTGGAATTGCTGGATGGCTTGTGTGCTTGCTCCGAGGAGGAGTCGACGGAGGGTCTTTGTGCTGTCAGATTTGTTGCGGATGAGGTCTCTCCATGGGATGGCGTTCTCTCGTTCGTACGCAATGCTGTATTTGATTTCGTCGTACTGGGTTCTGATGTAGGGGTCCTCGGGGGACATGGCATCGATGCATGCGAGGACTTCGATGGCTTCGTCGTCGCGATCGTGGGATAGGAGCCACCTAGTTTTTGTTGATACGTCAGACTTTGTGCTTCGAGGCAGTGTGTGGTTTGGACTGTGTCCAAAGTTTAACGTATGGGCCAAACTCACCTTGGAGACTCTGGTAACCACGGAATTGTAGTGAACAGAATCATAATAAAGCAGAGTTGAAGCGCAATAGGCAGTCGCCATACAATGCCACCCTCGTGTAAGGATAAGCCGTAGTTGATCCAGTTAACAAGGCAGTAGCCTCCAACATTGAGCCCTAGTTCCAGGATGACCAGCTTTCCTCTCCACTTTGCCTGTGCAGTTTCCGTTTGCCAGACCGGTGCTGTGGCCGTACTCAGACCATTGCCGACACTGCATCTCTTGTTAGTTGCTACATGTCGAGAAATCTGCTGATTTAACTTGCCCGAGAACAATTCGACCAACGAACATCTGAGCCAGACTGTAGGATGATGCTTTAAGGATAGTCCCGATAGCCATGATTGTACACCCAAGCAGAATTGTCTTTTTGCGTCCTAGTCTTTCACCTGCAGTGAAGGCAAGCATTGCCCCGAAGAAGCAGCCGACATCGTAGATGGCGGTAACGGTTGAGAGGATTTTGGTCTTTGAAGGTCCAGCCAGATCATGGACTTGGAGGAAGTCCGGTGTAACAACGACACCACCTGTGAGTACGTTAGTTTTCTGGGATCACGAAAAAGCCCGTCTGTCCCATACTAAAGACACCTTGGTCGTATCCGAACAGCGTCATATCAGTGGCGCAGGCGAGCTGTATTCGTAACTAAATTAGCACCAAGTCATCAAGATAAACAGTATAGCCAAGGGAGCATAACTCACGGAGACCCAGAAGGTGAGCCATCCCCCTGTGAAGCCAAAGTAGGGCTTCTTCGTCAAGGCCATGAGTGAAAGGGGTATCAAATGAAATCAACAGCTCAGAACCTTAGAAAGTGTGAGATGCTGCGCTGGACGAGCCAAACCCCCGTCTGGAGAAGGCCTTATATAGAGCTACCATGATAATAGTGCACTTGATTCCGTACAACCCCAGATCACGCTGGCTCCACTTTGCTAAGCCCCGGACGGGGTAGTGTTATAGCCCTAATCCGGAGCATGGGCGAGAGTCATCATCACTTGTGATGTCGTATTCTTCGTTTTCTTTCCACGGGCGTCACAGAGTCTCCGGGTGAAGCGAGGCATCATAATATCAAGGCTGTAGAAGGATATGATTGGAGTACTGAATGTCTCCATAGGGGTTAATGTTGACCTGTCCGTCTTGTAGTCGCTGCCCCTGACCCAGTTGTAGCCACCTCCGAGGCTCCGAACCAATCACGGAGAAACAGCCGTCGCCGGTCCATGGCTGCCCCGTCGTAGTCGTACACTCGGCGGGCCGACGGCGCTTCTTTGTAAACGCATTTACCGGTTTTTCATCACTGCTGAAAGATGAGGAGAGAATATCAAGATGGTCTGTGTATCTAGACCAGTAATGTGGGAGAGTACGAGTCCTCGGAAATAGTCACTGAAAGTTCCTGGGATCGGACCGGGAAAACACGCGGCAGCTGGTCTCGGCTTCGGTAGGTATAGTGTGGCACATGATCTCGCCTAGCCTGCGCATGTTTTGACGACAGCGTACTCCGTAGTCCAAACAGTAATGTCACTACTATGTAGCTGAGCATAGTGTCTACAGCAATACGAGGTGAATCATGAACTCTAATGACTTGTTTTTTTTTCACTCTATCATTAACCTCTATTCATCCACAATTTGCACCTTAATGGCCCTCGCAGCTGGATTGCTGGCAGTAGCGAAGGCTTCGAGTCCTTCCTCCAGCTTGTATCGATGAGACACCAAAGGCTTCAGGTCGATGAGCCCAGCATTGACCAGACTGATTGCCTTGGGATAGATATCATGATACCGGTACTGGAATCGCAGATCTATCTCCTTGGCCGACATGTGCATGAAGGGGATGTTTTGGAAGTCCTTGCCAACACCAATGACGAACACCATTCCGCCGAATCGGGTTGCCTGCCATGACGCGGGTTAGGGTCAGGTTTTTCGGGGGTACATCCGTCGCAACAGCCTAACTTACGTAGATTCCCGCGTGAACACTGCTCTCCACACCCGTGCATTCGAGAACCAGCTTTGCCTCTTGTCCAAGCTCCTTCACAATGCGCTCTCCCAGCTCTTGCGATGTCTCCTGTTTCTGGACTAGCAGCGGTTGCACTCGGGGCACTAGCTCTTTGGCCTTGGCAAGACGGTTCTCATCAATATCGGTAATGACAATCGGAGCCGCGCCAGCGGCGTTGGCCGCCAATAAGGTGACGAGGCCAATGGGTCCGGCACCACAAATGACCAGAGGATCAGCCAGACGCAATCCGGAGCGGTCAATACCAGCTAGTGCAACGGTGAGAGGCTCGAGGAGAGCACCTTCCTCAAAGGTGACGTGATCGGGGAGGCGATGAAGCCAGGCCTCCGGGTGGGCATGGTATCTTCGCAGAGTTCCATGATGAGGAGGCGTAGAGAAGAATACCACATCCGGGCAAGCGTGATACTTACCGGTGCGGCAGAAGTCACAGGTTGGCTTCGAGCAGGGAACACCGCATTCCATAGCAACCCGATCGCCTTTCCCCGTTCAGCAAAAGACCACGAAGAAAATAGGGCTGGGGGATGGCCTTACCGGGCTTGAATCGAGTTACCGCGTTGCCAACCTGCAGGACAATTCCGGCACTTTCATGCCCAAGTCCATTATCTCCCGTCACGATCATGGGGCCAATACGGCCATGTTTCCAGAAATGAACATCAGATCCGCAGATGCCTGTTGCACGCACATGGACCAGGCACTCATCCGAAGCAAGCTTGGGGACTTCGCAGTCAACCACTCGCAAGTCATGAGACGGACTTGTGTGAATGGCAATGTTCTGGGGCTTCTTCTGAAGGATGTCCATGGTGACGGTGATGTAATGTGCTTTGTGTCTGTGTCAGTACAGAAGCTTGGAATGGCCTCTAACTATATAGGCGAGGCATGGCCCTGATTACGTGTTTAATGTAGAAAGGATAACCCCACGGGTCGTCCCCGAGATGGTCATCTGGCTAGCGACTGAGGAGAATGTGCTGACCCAGCCGAAGAAACTTTGGGGTCAGCTTGAATACACCGAAGTTCCATGCGGATGTGGATTTCGGAGGATTTCCGCAGTGCAGCAGAACGAGGTCCCGAGGCGCCGAGTTGAACAACTGGACAACCGAGAGGAAGATCACAGCCATGAAATTACCCCACATTTCTCCAATGTTACAAATAGCTACATCACGAGACCCGCCTTCTGGTGGATTCTCTGGGGTGGCAGGATGTCCGTGCTAGGGGTCCGGAGATAGCCCCGAGTGTGGCGCGGCGGCATGCCGAGTCGTTCCAGGCCAAGAGGATCCCGGTGGACACAGATGACCTCGGAAGTCACCTCCAAGTCAATGGATGGTTCTCCGCGGCCACTGCTGATATTCTCGTTTCTGTTTAAATATACCGAATTTGAAAGCCACAGGTGCGGACGATAGCTTCACCACGGTCAGGTAATCAGCATGTCTCTAGAAGGGAAGATCGCTATTGTCACTGGGGGTGCGAGAGGAATAGGAGCAGGCATCGTCCGCAGCTTAAGCAAAGAAGGCGCAAAAGTGAGATGCTTGTTGTCATTCTACGGTTTGCCGAATGGGCACTAATCTGCGCAGGTCGCCTTCAACTATGTCTCGTCATCGTCAAATGCCGCTGCAGATAGCCTAGTCGACGAACTCCGCCGAGCCAACAGGGAAGTCGTTTCAATCCAGGCCAATGTGACAGACGCATCGCGCCCGAATGCTATTATCCAAGCTACCCTAGCCGCATTCAAAACAGATCATATCGACATCCTAGTCAACAACGCCGGACTCGGCGACAACAGACCGCTCGAAGAAGTAACGTTAGAAGTCTATACGAGACTGATGGATGTGAACGTCAAGGCGGTCATCTTCATGACCCAAGCCGTGCTGCCATTCACTCGTCGAGGAGGGCGTATCATCAACCTATCGTCCATCTCAGCCCGGGGCGGCTATCCTACGCAATCTGTATACGCAGCCAGTAAAGCCGCCGTCGAGGCCTGACGCGAGTCTGGGCAACTGAGCTCGGCCATAAGTATGGTATCACGGTCAACGCCGTGAATCCGGGTCCTGTTGATACGGACATGTATCAAGCTGCAGGGCCGGTGCACTTGGCGAGGATGGAGGAGGAGAACAAGAAAGTTCCGGCGGGACAGCGATGTGGCACTGTGGAGGATATTGGCGATATAGTCACGTTTCTTTCCGAAGAGCGCTCAAGATGGGTTACTGGGGATGTTATCTGTGCGAACGGTGGCATCCTGTATACCTAGATTCGATTGGATGACTTGGAATGATATACAAATTCACAAACCTTGTTGTATAACCGCATACGGGTCTACCATACTCACTGCGTACTCCTGAAGAAAGCTTCCGTGGAAGAGCCAGGCTTGCACTGAGAGCCCTTTGCATCCCCAAGGTTACAGCCTACATCTGTCGGTCGTCACGCCTGCATTGGTCCTGAGTCCACCTCAACTTCGGACCTCACCCGCGGTCTTCCCCCGAGTTGTGGATCAGCACCTCTACAGCGGACTCGGCGATAGTTCCGCTCACTACATTCGCATTTCATCATTTTCCGATAGCTCCAGCGCCTCGCTTTCTCCCGACCTGGAATCGCCAACACTTGCTTTCCATTCATCTGCATCATACCAGTAAGTGCTCGGCATCCAGTGACTTGCTCATGCCCAGGCAGGTTGCAAGTAGGGGCTCGGTCTAACAAAATGCATCTGCACAGGTCATTCGTTATGCGGCCTCTACTATCTCTCTCCAGCCTACCTCTCTGCTGATTGCCTCGCCTTTTCCTTCTACGTTCAAGCATCCTACCCAACATGGGCAAGCCAGAAACAGACCCTTCACAGCAACCAGACTCGCTTCCATCCACACTGGAAAAGGCGAAACGACACACACGGAGCCGAATAGCCTGTGATTGGTGCCATGCCAATCATGTCCGATGCGATCGGGCGTTCCCCTGCTCAAGGTGCCTTGATAAAGGAACTCGGTGCGAGGCCACTCGAGTGCGTCGCAAGCGAGGGCGCCTTCCGAAAATCGACGCTTCAGGGACAACAAGGGTTCATTGTATCAAAAGCCCTTCAAACACAGTCCCATCTTCGTCTGATACACAGTCCACAGTGTCGACAGTGGCGCCAAGTGTGCAGACACCTGAAAATTCTCGAAATTCATCTAATGCACCCGATGTGACTGTTTTGAGCCCTGGTATTGAGGATGCGTTGTCGCTTGAGAGCATGCCGTGGCTCGCACGGGGACCAGAGTCAAAGTCTCATGCCATAGCGGATACATTGTTGACTCAAGACGTGTCGCCATCTTTTACTGAGTATTTAACCACTGGATTCGTCCACGGCCCATCTCCTTTAGACCTGCTAGATATTGCAGACATCGCCGATCACGAAACCTCCATCCTCACCAATCTCGCAGTCGGGCCTCCTATCGGACCTCATGCTCCTATAGCAACCTTGCGATACCCCGTCTTAGAACCCTTGATGCCATTTATTATGGCGAAGCTCTCTTCGGAACTAGCCTGTCGCCTTCTCGAGCTCTTCTTTACCAGCGCGTTTCCCACGCAAATGCAGCCTGTCTACCACAACATACACTGCTACGTTCTGAGGAAAGCCAAGTTCCTGACCAGAGCAGGTTACCGCACAAGTAGCCCAGCACTTTTAGCCAGCATGCTATGGGCGGCTTCGTCGGATGATCACGCGCTCTCATTACCAATACCGGCCCATGACCTAAAGAGGATTTCTCAGTTTCTAGGCTTGACTACCATGAAGCTGATAAGGTCTTCAGCTTACGGGTCTTCTGATTGGAGAGGCCACATGGCTAGTGGGACTTTCTGCTCTACTACTGGTTCTGGAGGCTTTCCTGAATTTACATTATATCCTGCATCAAGTGACAGCATCCAGGGCCTTGAGTGCCCTACACGGTCCTTGGACGACGTAATCACCTATGCTCACATTGCCTCCATACTTTCTTTGAACGATCAAAAAGCACACAGTCTGAAATGGTTCGTTCTTATACATATGCATAGGAGGCTCTACCGACTAAGGATTGTACAGGTGGCATACAGCTTTTACACTCGCACGGGAACTCGAGCTGAATCGAGAGATAGAAACGATACTGGTCCTAGACAGCAAAGCAGTTTGCTTCCCAGGCGACCCTCCACCCTCTACACGAATGCCCCTAAATTGCGTCTGCGCTCGGAGCTACGAGTCGACTATCCTAATAACAGAAGAACAACGTGAGGAACGTCGCAGGGCTTGGTGGTTGCTGTACATAATGGATCGCCACCTCTCGCTATGCCATAATCGACCTCTTATGCTCTTGGATTCCGACAGCAAAGACCTACTCCTCCCACTCGACGAAGAAGCCTGGCAGGCTGGGAAAATACATAGCAACAGTCCGAACCTCAAAGGACCTCACTGTGTGTTATCAGAATCAAGAAATGTGCGGCGTATCTTTCCGGACTTTACATGTCATGGACCTTCACTGTTCGGATTCTTCTTGCCCCTTATGACCATTGCCGGTCAGATGCTCGACATTAATCAGGCCAGAACACACCCTATGCTTGGTTCGGAGATCCTCGGAGAGGGAGCATGGGAGACTCAGCATCATGAAGTGCTTGGGCAGCTGGATCAGTACGAAGCCAGCCTTCACAGCTTTACAACCAGCCGCAATGGACTCAAAGCTTCATCCTCTGCGCCTCCAGCCCAGGACACGGTACCACACTCGCAAGCCCAGACGCGCTCCTGGCTTACGCAGACAATCGCCTCGTACGCATCATTCTACATCGACGTACTGCACATCCTTCAAAATGGTAAATGGGGTCCGGACTCGCTCACAGAAGCTCAAGATTCCTTGGGTTTGTCTTCGAGTCTTGCCTCTAGTATACCGCATGCGCTCAAAGCGGCCGAGTCTATGCGACAGATATTGAAATTTGACTCCGAATTCAACTTAATGCCTGAGCTCTTCGGTGCTCAACTACTTCAAGCCGGCTTCTACTTCCTCTTTATACTCGAGCATCTACAAGATCAAGCAGGGGCGCCGTTCTTGACTGCTTGCGAGGTTATGATTAGGGCTACCGAATCCTGCATCGTTACTCTAGATAATAGATGCCTACGAGACTTCTGTCAGGCTATGCGAAGCACCTTGGCACAAGCCCGTGGCCGTCCCGTCACCCATCACGAAATTCGTCAAAGACGAAGAGCAATGGTAGAAGGACACAGGTGGGCAAGGACAGACATCGGTTTGGCCATCTAAGCCTCACCGTATGGCGCAAAGGTATGGAACTTGCGTGACGGAATTATCCACTAGGGACAACCCGTATGTGCATTGCCGAACTGAGATGTGCAAATAGAGGGTCCCTGACCATGGCCACAGGTGGGGTGGCGCTCTATACTTCGGGCTCATGCCGAGCAGCGGTCCACTCTTCGGTGGAAGCACCGTGATTGGAGAACCAGGCCTCCTCTTCGAACAACCTGCCACTTTTCCAAAGACCAACATGCCCACCGCTTGAAAAGAAACCGAATCCAAAAACATCAGCAGTGGCTATACAAAGCTCAAAGTCAAGGCTGGTGTAGTGGGCTGTCAAACTTTTGGCGTCCTTGGTACTTGGAAGCGAGGCTCGTGATGTATTATGGATAGCGAAGTTCTCGCAGATTCGCAACCTCACTCTTATTGGTATACATGAGTTGCGCAACATGGAGTCTGTATCTCGATCACGACATATCCTTCGCAAAACTTATTCATGTGATGAATGCCGTCGCAGGAAAATCCGCTGCTCTGGTGATGAGAACTGCTTGAATTGCACGAGGGATGCAAAGCCATGCCGATACTCGTCGCCATCCCACCAGCTCTCAAAACTGCAAAGGTACTTGGCCCTAAATGTTCACCCGGGATATACCGCTCACTAGCGCTGCAGGCGTATCCAGGATTGCGAACGTTTGATACGTGACATGGAGAAAGCCTGGGCAGCTTACCTCCCATCTGTTGACCTCCAGGAAGCTCTTCGTACCGTTCGTCAACATGACGACTCGACTTCGGCAATGCCGAAGAAGGCCAAGCATCACCACGACCTAACGCACTCCACTGAACAACCGCCCACTAGTGTTGCCGAGCACAGCAATGCAGAAGATTACGAGTTTGACGAGTCACAAGACTTCGACAACTCGACGGATGGCATGGGCTTTTTGACTATAGACCCTCATAAAGCCGGCTATACAGGCCCACAATCTGGCGTAGCTGCAATGAAGTTCCTGCAGTCGCTCCCTCTTTATATCCCCTTGGGTAGCTTCGTCCCGGCTTCGTCTCTGGATGATGACGATATCTCTGAATCTGGACCACCGAAAAAGCAATCGGAGATTGCCCGCTACCTCGATGACTATTTCACGTTCTACCACCCTGCATATCCGATTTTACACGAGGGCACATTTCGCGCACGGGTATCCGGTGAGTCTCCAGGCATAGTCACGATGATGTGACGGTTCTAATGCCGTCAGGTGCATTGGCCAAACCTCACGACGGATCATGGCCGTTGCTGTATAACATTGTTCTCGCGATAGGTGCATTTGCCGGTGACTCTAATGGGACGAAGATGGACATAATTTTCTTCAAGGAGGCGCGAAAGCACCTGTCAATGGATGTATTGGAGAAAGGGTCCCTTAGCTACGTTCAGGCAATCGTTCTGATGGCCAATTATCTGCAGAAGCGAAACAAGCCTAACGCAGCCTTCATCTTAGTCGGTATCGGCTTCAGTATGGCTCTGGCAATTGGCTTGCATCGCGAGTTCGGGATGCCCAGCACATCGCCCTTCACAATGGAAGTTCGGCGGCGAGTGTGGTGGACGCTCTTCATCTTCGTCTCAGGCGTTCAGTTGATACTAGGGCGCCCGGCAGTTTCCCTTGTCGGTGTCAATGTTCGACTTCCAGCTAACGTGGACGATCACGATCTAGCTGTTGATATGGAGGAGCTACCTGAAAGCTCGACAGGTCCAACCATAACGTCCTGTCTGATTGCACAAGTCAAACTAGCCAAGATCGCAAATGCCATACAAGTCGAGCTATTAACGCACCATCTCCCGACCCCGGCCAAAGCCCAGGACTTGGAGCAGCGCATTTCCTCCTGGCACAACGACCTCCCCTCTCATTTCAATACGGACGTCTATCTTGATCCGAAATTCGATATTCCGAGGCAAGTCGTTCTCTGGAGGTCATATCATCTTCGAATCGTCATAAACCGGCCGTTCCTCTTCCAGAATATCACGTCTAAATCCGAGCTCGATACCTCCGCCGGTCCAATTGCCTCATGTCTCGCAGCTGCGGATATGTGCGTAACTTCGATATGTGGCTTCCTTGAATCAACCGATAACCGCCAACGAGGTCTAACCTGGTATGCGACCTGCTGGCTCCTAACTGCAAGCTTTGTCCAGGCCACATGCTATGTATACGGGCCCACCCATCCTCTTGCCGATTCTTGGAGGAACCATATACAGCGTGCGGTCGATTGCTTGGGGAGTCTTGGGTCTTCCCACGACATGGCTCTTCGAGCTAGGGCCGTTCTCCAGAAGGTCCTCGGTAGGTTATTTCCTCCCTTGTTACCAAATAACCGCATAGCTAACTCATGCACTCTACCACAGAGCATGGCCATGAACGAACCTCTCAGGGAGGTTTCGATCCCTTCTCCTTGTCGCAAACCGGACCCTTTTGTCTGCCTTGGTCACCATCTGCCTGGGGCGAGAACTCGGCGTTGTATAATCCGTTTGGGCAGGGCTTTGGGGACAATTTCCGGTACACCCAAGGATCGTTCGGGGCGGAGTTCTTAGATGCGGCTGGTGGGTTAATGATTCAGAATCTGTTTGGTAGCTCGGGGGGGCCTCAGAATAGCTCTTGGACGCCGGGTTAGATTAGTGAATGACCTGAAAGATGTTGTCTTTAGTGCTGGTTCTAGGAAGCTGAATGGAATAGATGGGTGGTGTTAGTAACAGATGTATATATTTGGTTGGTTTCATGGGACAATGAATGATCTTGCCTTGTTTGAGCATTTTCACGCTTATTCACGCATTATACAACACTTCAAGTGAGCATCAAGAATATCAGTTTCAAATCAAAGTCACCTTTTGGTTATTATTTAGGGCTATTATACTATTCCATCTGGGAGCTACTCCGAGCAGTGGCCGAACAAGACCCGCTAAGCGTGCCTCTTGGCGCATCAAGATCCCAGCCAGTACAAGCCAACTTACCTTTCCCAACTATTGAACGCCCTGGATCACACTCCACAGCCAGGAAGATGGGAGAAATCAACATTCCCTGGAGCGCGTAAGTCTACTCGATTTCCTCTACTCCCTACACCCCATCACCATCCATCAGGGGCAAGACAATCAATACTAACTCACCGTCCCAGCATCCAGAGCTTCGCGTTCATCCTGGCCCCGATCATCCTCCCCCGAATCATAAACTTTATTCGCTATATGCGAGTCCAACTATCGACGCGGCCAAATCCCCGACCTCTTCCGCCCGCCGCTTCCAGGGCTCTAAACGTCCTATTCTGTTCGATCCTCGTCTTCCTGACCCTGAGCTTCCCTTCGAACCCGTTCGCCCCGAGCCCGAGTATATTCGCCCTTACGCGGTCGCGGCTCACCACATCGCTGGAAACAGTATTTTCGCGGCTCGCGCGTCTCCGGGATGGCGGGGTCCTCACGGAAGCGGATACGCTGCTCCGGTCGAAGCTCGTGTCGAAGGAGGCGCGCAAGATCTATCTACGGTTCGGAGAGCGCGCGCTGACGGAGTGTCGGTTCTGCAAGATTGACAACCCGAATACCTACGCGCTGTTCTATTACCCTGCCAACGCTATGATTCCTCATCTTCTGCATATGGCCGTGGTGGGTATTGCGACGTCGGCCTCGTTTGCGGGACGAGAAGCGGGCAGGTGGCGGAATAAGTTTACAATTGCGGGGTTGATCCTGGCCGCTGTGGACACTTATGTCGTGTTCATGTATGACCCTATCAAGTCTGGCTCTGAGGCTGTGCGCGATGGGATTGAGGTGCCGTCTGCTTTGTTCCAGAGGATGGCTGTCCTGCGGCCGCTGCTTCTGGCGTGCTTTGATGTTGTCCTTGCCGGATTCATCTACGTTTCTGCTACGAATAGGTGGTTCTTTACGCCGCCGAGTCAGGCGGAGGAGGTGGATAAGGTTGTAGCGGCATCGCTGGCGTCGCTCACCGGGGCGAGCTCGAAGTTGCACGCTGCGAGTGTGACGAGGAATGCGGTCGTGCGAGATCGGGTGCTGAAGGACCGGGATGACGCATATTGGCAGACGGTCGTTGCTATGGATGGGGGAGGGGCTGTGGGAGGGCCGCCGGGTGTGTGGGAAGAGGAGGAGGTCGTCCGGGCGATGTCGCGGGCGATGGCGGGACAAGGAGGAGTCGACCTGGCAAAGCTGGGAGTCAGTGCGGCGGAATATGTCAACGGGGTGACGGCCGGTTTGGAGCGGGAGAGCTCATAGATCCTAGATAGCACTGTAGTTAGACATATATTCCAATATTAAGTTTTGGGTCTTGTCCAGAGGTCAAATGATGAAGCTCGGATTGCAGCAACTCGCAACCCGCGGGGCCGGAAGACCACAGCCTCTAGCGAGGGCCTGTGAAGCGGGCAGCGCTTGTCATTGGCCCGGCCACAAAGCGTGAGGGGAGGGATAAAGGCGGTGAGGAAGTGCCAGTACCTGTGAGAGCCAAGTAGTGTGTTAAGTGTAGAGTTGGTGTGGTACCAGGAACACAACCAGAAAGCTGGCTCCCTTCCTGAACTCTGCTTGATTTGTTTTGCTTTCACTGGATTCACCGTCGCCACCTCCTCTCTCCTGTTAGGGCTTTGTCTGTGCTATCAATTTCCTCCCCACGAGGCTCCAGCAGACAGCGCCCTTGAATCAAATCTCCCGTGTTTCGTCTCGTCGACTCCGCCAAACCTGAAACAGAAGGAAGGACGTTGCTTTCTCCCTCAACAACCACTGCCGCTCCTAGACAGTTAGCTACCTTTTCCTCCAGCAAATTCAACACCAGAGGCATTGGGATCTAGCTCGTGCACAGTGGTCTGGTACCACGTCTACGCTCGTTTTCTACATCTTCCCCTCACAGAATTGCAGTTTCGCACTCTGGATGTCTTGGTTGCTTGGTTGATCCGCACCGGTTACATCCCCTTGCACGACGACACGATTCATCTTCTCTACACTCACAGTGTCTGGAGCCTTTTTTCTTAATCTTACATCATGGCTAAAGACGCAACTTCGCCTGCGCAGTCAGTCACGGAGCTCAATGCCTGTGTTACCACGACCTCTTCGCACCGTCCTGTGAAGGACACCACCTTCCGCCAATGGGTGGTCTCTAATCAGATCGGTATGCTTGAATTTTGAGCCCTCTGAACTCTATACTTCTTAGTTTCAACGCTGGCTTGCCTGCAGTGCGCTAATTGGGGCTTTACTTGTTTAGGAATATCTTTGACAACCCTCTCCATGCTATTGGCCGTCCACCATCTGTACCCTTCTCTTTCGCCCTATACCACGCCTTTTTTCCAGCTGTCGTACTACCAACCCTCGCAGGGGGTCTACATCCAAGGCTGGGATGATATTTACTTCGTCATCAGCTCCGTCTTTGCGTTTACCGCGATTCGTGCCATTGTGATGGAATGGGTGTTTCAGCCGTGGGCGCAATCGCATGGATTGAGAAAGAAAGCGTCGATCCGGCTCGCGGAGCAGGGCTGGATGTGCTTGTATTATGCCGCCTTTTGGACCGTCGGAATGGTTTGTGATGCTCACGCCAGCTCGTAATGGCCTAGCTAACTGTGGGCAGTACATTTGGTCGCAGTCTAATTACTGGATGGACTTTAAGGCTATCTGGGCTGAGTGGCCTGCGCGTGGTGTCTCTGGCTTGATGAAGTGGTACCTGCTTGCGCAGCTTGCGTTCTGGGTCCAGCAGATCTTCGTTATCAACATCGAGGAGCGGAGAAAGGATCACTACCAGATGTTGACCCACCATTTCATCACCAGCTGTCTCCTCACTTCCGCGTACGTCTACGGTTTCTATAACGTCTCCAATGTGGTGCTGAGTTTGATGGACATCGTGGACCTGCTACTGCCGGTAAGTCACCGTCCTTTCATAAAAATAAACAGGGCACTAACTCTATAGATTGCCAAAATCCTCAAGTATCTCGGATGCGAGATGCCATGCAACATCGCGTTCGGAGTTTTCATGGTTGTTTGGGCAATCTCTCGCCACATAATGTACCCGCTACTCTGCTGGTCTATTTACAAGGATGTGCCCAACGTTATGTCGTGGGGCTGCTACTCCGGTGCCACAGGGGAGTTGATCTCAACCGATGGATACCCTGACCGATACATGCACCTTATCTCCCCCTTCCTGGACATCGACGGCCCCATATGCATGAATCGCATGATTAAATGGATTTTCCTGTCGTCCCTACTAGCACTCCAGTTGCTATCCATCATCTGGTTTAGCATGGTCATTCGCGTGGCCGTAGGTGTCCTCCGCACCGGCAACGCAGAAGACACTCGCAGCGATGATGAAGGAGAGGAGGAGGAGTCCGACGAAGTGGATTCGCTACCCAAGAGCCCCGCCAACGGCAGCGTCGTCGCAGCGGAAGTCTCGAGTGCCGAATGGCGTCGGTCCAGCGGGTCTTCCGCCCGACCTCGCCGAAGCGACCACAAGGCACTGCTTGGCCGTATCGGATGCGAAACGCGTACCTAGCCACACCACCTGGTTTCGTACATCTCATCTAGTTAACGCCATCACGCTGTGGATGCTCATATCGCACATCTGATGAATCAAAATATGAATACATGAAGCATACCCGTATGTAACCTTTGTGTTTTGCGAAACTATTTCGTCACGTTTGATACCATTCATTTCGTCTCGTCTCTTCGTCTAGTCTTGTCTTGTTTTGATTTGGCCATATGAGCCCGGTTATGTTTTTTTTCTTTTCGTCGCTTTCATGTCCCTTGTTGCATCTTTTGTACTTTTCTTCTAGAGAGGTCAACTGATTTCGATACCCACTTTGTTCTGGCATGGGATGGGCTTGTGTACCTACTACCGAGCAGGATTCCTGCGGTAATCGAGCGGCTTCCAAAAATCTCATTGTGATGAAAAACTCGCCCTGGCATGTTGCCTAACTGCCATGAGCCTACGTAGCATGCACATTTGATCAGTAGCCTTGCCAGATTTTAGCGCGGCTCTTCTGCATAGAATTAGTATCATCTTAGTATGGTAGATTTACAGGCCATTTGACAGTACTCTTGCTGGGTAGCCTAGATATGATGGCACTAACAGAACAGTTCAAGAGAGTCTATAGTCATTCGCAATATAACAACAACGCAATCTTAGTACCCGTTCGAAGCTTTCCATCCCGTAGTTTTTTTGGAAGTAAGGTGCTCTGCTATAGGTATCGTAGACAAGCTCTCCTAATTAACGGTGGACGATCGCCAAGGGTTTGCTTCTTGATGCCGAGCTGCTGTACTCATCAGCTTCCGATTCTTAACTATCTTGGAGCTAGCTGAAGATTGGGGTCGATTGAGTCAGGGCATATCCACTCCAGCGAAGTCATGATTGGCTGTTGCGTATAGCAATTAGGGGCACAGATCGGCTTATCTCCGACCGTCGATTAGCTTTCTTGGCAAAGACGATCTGCCAATCAGAGGACTGGCTCTATGCTTAGCTTTTCCTAGCTTCACTAGGACAAGGCATCTTTGTCCTCTTAAGGCACTATTAACAGACTAACAGTAATGTGTGTATCTCTTCCTGGTGCTTCTTCCCACAGAGTCACAGCTGGTGGACTGGGTAATGGCCCCTTGGACTGGCGTTCAGGCTACTCCACATGGCGCCAACAGGAACAAATAGAGTATGCGGATGCACTGGGTCACTGATCACAGTATAGTGTATACAAAGACATCAAGAAGTCCACATGTCTGCCTAGTGCCTAGTGGCTAGCTGCCTGCCAGTCTGTCTATTTAAACCTTGTCTTACCTACTTTTGACTGATCGCACTCGTGTCTCCAGTTGCTCTCGCACTTTGCACTCTCTTGCACCCTTCCTGCTATCTACCTATATTGAAGTACTTCCTATTCTATCTTAGAGACAGCAATCTGTGAACTATCTACACTTTCAATCTCCCACTACACATACTACACCCAGATCATAGAGTCAACGAGAGCCAACAGTGGAACCATGGCAGCGCCAGCACCATCTTACACCAAGGTCACTCACTCCGCCACATATGCCGCCATCAACCCGACTCAGCCTGGCCTCTCCACAGCAGGCAAGGTTGTGCTAATTACTGGAGCATCCGGCGGCATCGGCCGGGCCACAGCCTTGTCCTTTGCAGCATCAGGCCCCCAAACCCTTATCCTCCTGGGCCGACGCGCCGACGCCCTAGCCAAAACCGCCACAATTGTCCGCGCCAACTACGCAGATGTTCCGGTTCAAACCTACGAGGCCGAGCTCTGCAATGCATCGAGCGTCCGCAACTCTATGAATAACGCGGCCGCCGAATTCGGCGGCATCGACGTCCTTGTCCACTGCGCCGGCGTCCTTGCCCCCGTCGTTCCCCTTCTGGAAGCCAACCCGGATACTTTCCTGGATGGCTACAAGACTACCGTCGTCGGGACGCTGGTAACAGCGCAGGCTGTTGTCCTGGCAAACAAAACTGTTAGCCCCGACGAGAACAAGCCAGTCACGTTTATCAACCTCACCACGGCCGGGATCCTGTTTCCGCCTTTCACTGGAATGGGCGCCTACGTGAGCAGCAAGATGGCTGCCATTAAGCTTCTGCAGGCCTTTGCGGCTGAGAACCCACAGGTCCGTCTTCATAATGTGCATCCTGGACTCCTGGAGACAGCCATGTCTGCCAAGCTGGCCGAGACGATCAAGTTACCATATGCCTATGATGACAGTACGTATCGAACCATCCCTTCTTTGTATCTGTATCTAGTGACTAATGATGACCTTTCCGCAGTCTCACTCCCCGCCGACTTTCTTGTCTGGATCGCCTCCCCGGAAGCAGAGTTTCTTAAGGACAAGATCGTCTTCGCCGCCTGGGACGTCGATGAGCTTAAGATGCGCGAGAAGGAGATTCTTGGTGGCCCACCGGGCACCGGTGAGCTCTGGCTTGGCTATCAAGGTTTCCCTCGATATATGGATGGCCAGCTTTTGTCGGGTACACCGTAAGTACGCCGCTGGTGTTTCGTATGAGAAGTCGCTATTACGAACTGCGCGGGCTGTGTGTGCGCGCGTTTCGGTTGATACATATTTATATAGTGACGTTCTACAAGCGAGGTATCAATGAACGAGATTTTACACAGCGTCGGTAGTAGTCCTGATCTTGTATGACACTGGGCCGGGCCGCTACGAAGGCCTCCCAAAGGAGACGAGAACAGTCAATAGATGCCGTTCTTAATACAACACAAGATTTTTTGCCCTCAGCGCAGTGCCCTTTCTACCAAATACTCCGACTCGAATCGGTTATGGCACCGGGACTTACAGTAGTGTCGAGATCTTGGCATAAAAGTGGGGCAAATTCAGGGCTTTGCTATCCAGCCAATGCTAAGGGGGGCTCCAGAGCCCACGCATGCCCTAGAATGTACTGTAGATCTAGCCAGTGTGGTTATTTGATGTCATGGCCAGGCCCCGGTAGTCAGGGCTAGGCTAGGCTAGGCAGGCCGAATTTCGAGCGCTGGGAACCCGACACGGAGTCAGAACAGAGTTAGATTTAACAGTGTACTCCTATCCTCGGTCTTAAATCACTTGACATAGCATGACTGGGTATTTTGGCGAGGGGAGAGTGCCTGAGATACTTACTGCGTAGCCCTAATTCTGATGAAGATAGGGCTTGAATGCAAATGGCAGCTGCACGATGCACGAAGCTAGCTAGCCCTAGCTACGGAGTCGATCATCCAACCGCCCGAAGACCTTGTTTAACTAGTTTAGCCTTCAAATTCATTCTCGGCGTTTGTTATTTACTTTCCCGCGTAGTAATACAAATGTGTCAAGATTGTCTGGGCAGTATGATCCCTATTGTAGCGCTTCGGCGGTGCGCTGAATCTACCGTGTGGTGTCAAATGGATGCCTAAGGTGTACTTTGTAGGTAGTTGAATCTAAGCATTTGAGCTGTAGACATTTTCCGGTCTCAACTATACTGTATGGTCGGTCATCAGAATCCTCGTGAATATCACCGCGTGCGAGCAGGACCTCTCGAACCAACCAATTCTTCGCAAATGTGTCACCGGCACGTGACTAAATATGTCCAGATCATACTATAATCGATGTGCTTCCTACACCAAAGATACTGGAGACGTCCGGTAGATTCAGAATCCAGCAGCGAGGCGAGGTTGTAACTCGGCCGGCCACCACAGCCCGCGTCGCAGAGTCCAGGCCATGTCTCGCGTTGACAGCGACTGGACCGAGACCGGGACTGGGTTTTGGGAACGTAGTAGCCCGATAAATGAGGGCAAACCTTTGATAGCCATGTCTTGTTCTCCGCGTCTGACGACTGGTCAACCGCCATTTTCTCGAAGCCTGGCCAGTGCTGCCGCGATGCCTTCATCCATCTCTTCATCCCGACTGACCCGCGGTCTCGACGGCTCATCCTGCTCCACAAAAAGGCTTTCACTCTCGGGTTCGCGAGACGGACCCGTTGAAGTAGAGATGACGGCATCATCATCATTCGTACTCAAGGCAGCCAGGTCCCGAACAGTCCGTTTAGGAGCGGTTGCTCTCTTGGCCTTTTCGACGCGAAAATCCTCGCCCACGGCATTGCACCATGCCTTGACCTTCTTCTCACCCCATCCGGGCACCGCGCTGATCTGCTCCGGCTGGGCATTGATTGCATTTTGCAAGCTTCCAAAAGTGGATATAAGACTGGCGGCGTCGGACTTGTTGATGCTCCGGGGCGCGGTGACAAACTCCACCAGCGAGTCCTTGTAAGACTGGGCCTGCTGCGTGCGGATAGCGGTGGGCTGCGAATGTTCGCACGACTTGAAGAGTTCAAGGTAGTGCGCCGCTTCTGGGGCGGACCAACACAGGACGAGAGTAAGGTTGTTGATGATTGATGACTTAGATAGCTCTTTGAGGGGATCTTCGTGGTTGGGTATGTCGACAATGATCAACAGCACACGTAGGAGATATTTCCCCGCTAGGAGCTTTATCCGCGAATAGATGTACTCCGGATGGAGTCGGTGGTATTTGAGTGAAAGGAAGAGCGCACAGGTTGTGGCCCCGACGACATAGTCGGCTGGAATGTCGGCATACTCCCACTGCTGGAACTTGATATGATTCAATATTGGGTTCCCTTTCTGTCGCGTTGATACTAAGATCCCAGAGGGGCCGGATTTGCTTGCGAGGGCCTGCGGCTTCGGCTGCTGGACTTTGGCTGCGGTTGGTCCAGACTGGTTGGTGGATGTTGCCGCGCTTCGAGTCAAGCCGCTGGATTCGGCATTAAGTACTGGTATAAATGCGTCATCATCGCCAAATTCCTCGGTCATTGTTTCTCCTGATATTTACAGAGTAGCGCACGGGGTTTGAATAAGGTGACGATTGAGCGTTATCTAATCGGGGTCGACCTTCACCGCCCAGCACTGGTGGGTCAATCAAAATCAATGGGAATTTTCTGCCGCCGATTTTTTGCTCCGAAACACAACTCTTGAAACAAAAAGTTACAGACAAGTAGAGATGTCTGATTCAAGCAGCCCGGAAAAGCCCCCTGAGGCTACCGGCGCAATTGCAGAGACCTCACCTAGCAAGGTCACATCCCAGGAAGACAACGTCTCAAAACCGCGCAGAGAACTGTTCATCCGATCGCTTCCCGCCTCAGCGACGACCGAGAGCCTCGCCGAACACTTTTCGCAGTCCTACGTGATTAAGCATGCCGTTGTCGTCATCGACCCCGCTACAAAGCAGTCGAAGGGTTACGGTTTCGTGACATTCGCCGACGTCGAGGATGCTAAGGCCGCGCTGGAAGAGTTGAACGGGTCGACGTTCCAGGGGAAAAAAATCAAGGTTGAATATGCGCAGCCTCGACAGCGTGTTGTCGATGAGGCTGCTGGAAAGAGCGTCCCGTCTGCTGCGGCGCTCGAGCGCAAGAAGCAGCGGGAGCAGCAGAAGGCCGATACACAGCCGCCGAAGCTGATTGTGCGAAACCTGCCATGGAGTATCAAGACTCCTGATGACCTTGCGCTGCACTTCCGAAGCTTTGGTAAGGTCAAATACGTCACTCTTCCGAAGAAAGGGACTCAGTTGGCTGGTTTTGGTTTCGTTGTGTTGAGGGGAAAGAAGAACGCGGAAAAAGCCCTGGAGGCTGTGAACGGCAAGGAGGTCGATGGGAGGACGTTGGCTGTTGATTGGGCAGTGGAGAAGGAGGTTTGGGAGAACCAGCGGAAGGAAGAGGAGCAGGAAGAACCAGAGGTCAAGGAAGAGTCAAGCGATGTGGACATGGAAGACGGAGGTGTTGGCTTGGATAACGGCGAGCTTGATGAGGACATGAGCGAGGATGATGATGAGGACGAGGATAACGAAGAAGACGAAGAGGAAGAGGAAGAGGAAGAAGAGCAGGAAGAAAAGGAGGACGAGAGAAACGCATGCACGATTTTCATCCGCAATTTACCATTTACATGCGACGATGAATCACTCTACGACCACTTCACCCAATTCGGACCACTCAGATACGCCCGTATCGTCGTCGATCCAGAAACCGAACGGCCCCGCGGTACGGGCTTCGTCTGCTTCTGGAAGCCCGAGAACGCGCAGGCCTGCGTACAAGACGCTCCCAAACATCAGGACCCACTTGCCGCAGAGAAAGAGAAGGGCAAGAAGGGCACTATCATCAAGCAGTCCGTTCTGCAAAATGAAAACGCCGATCCTACAGGTCGCTACACCATCGACGGCCGTGTCCTCCAGATCAGCCGGGCCGTGAGCAAGTCCCGCGCCACACAGCTCCAGGAAGAAGGTGTCTCGAAGCGACTAGTCCGCGACACCGACAAGCGCCGACTGTACCTCCTTAACGAAGGAACCATCTCCCCCAGCTCATCCCTCTACCAGAATCTCTCGCCCTCGGAAATCAAGATGCGCGAAGACAGCTTCAAGCAGCGCCAGAATTTCATCCGCAAGAACCCCTCCCTCCACTTTAGTCTCACCCGTCTCTCCGTCCGCAACATTCCCCGCCACGTCACATCCAAAGACCTCAAGCAGCTCGCCCGAGAAGGAATCGTCGGGTTCGCCAAGGACGCCAAGGAAGGCAAGCGCCAGCCCCTCTCCAAGGAGGAAATGGATCGCGCGTCTGAAGAGATGAGGGAGGCTGAGAAACTGCGGAAGAAGAAGGGTGTCGGTGTTGTCCGCCAGGCGAAGATTGTTTTTGAAGGCCGCGACGGAAGCAAAGTTACTGAAGACAGCGGTGCCGGTCGAAGCAGAGGTTACGGTTTCATTGAGTACTACACGCATCGACATGCGCTTATGGGTCTCCGGTGGTTGAACGGGCATGCCATCAACCCACCGAAGAATGTCTCCGAGGAGTTGAAGGACAGAAAGAAGAGGCTCATTGTTGAGTTTGCGATTGAGAACGCACAGGTCGTCAAGCGGAGGAGTGAGCAGCAGGAGCGGGTGCGCAATTTCAAGAAGAAGGATCAAAAGGACAGCGAGGAGGCTCCTCAGAAGGGCAACTCGAAGAAGCATGACAAGAAGGACGACAAAAAGAACGACCGCGACTCAGATTCCAAGGGAAAGAAGAGGAAGCGATCCGAGAACGGCGACAAGGGTCAGGATACAGAGGAGCAGAACAAGCTTGCGAAGCGTAACCGGATTATCGCGAAGAAGAGGATGCAGCGGAAATCCCGCAAGTGAAGCCCGAGCGCTATAAGTCGGGCAGGAAAATTGCATTGCATATAGAATGAGCACCTGTTGAATTAATGCTGAGGGAATGTACAGTTAGCTAGTTCCTTACATGATACCAATACCACCATTTGACGCTTGCGCCAAAAGAAGATCGTGCCAGATCACTGAATTACGTTGGTAGACTAGACCTCCATGTCTGATAGCGTACAACGCGCACGAAGACAGGACGTCAAGGCTAAAGCAACATAACAAACAAGCAGAAAGTCACGAACGGGTATGAGAATAGAAAGAACTTGCAGAGGTGTAGTATAGCTAGGCTAGAAAGTCCTCAGTAGTTCGTCGCATCCTTTACCTTTCCCACAATGTTGTACCGCTTGCTGAAGAATGTGAACCATTCATCCAGCACCTTCTTGTCCTTGTCCGGGAGGTCGTACCAATCGGGTTTGCAGTCTTCAGGCTTCAAGGACGAGCAGGCCAGGGCGCGGGACGCATCTTTGCCAGCAAACACTGCAAGACAACAAGTTAGTATCTGTTGGGAATCTTCTTGGTGATTGGAGATGGAAGAGACTCACCCTTGTACTGCCCCTCGGGACCATAGGCAGAGTTGCGACTCACATCAAAAACAATTCCCTTGATGGCGACATAGGTAGGGCGGCTGGGATCAGTGCCTGAGCCAAACAAAGAAGCGTCAGTTGCAATATCTTGATATACTTGCTTCATGGAATCATAGCCCCGTGGACGTGAAATTCCATAAGCTGTGTCGGTGCGGAGAACGAACCGTTACACTTTGCCAGCTCCTCTGGGGCGATGAGGTCGTCCTTTGGTGGATCCAGCTGAACGGGCACCTTGGGTGCGAACCGACCAGACTCTGTTCCAGTCATTGCGACGGAGGGAAATAATCGAGATGGGTTGGGAGAAGGAAGTTTGTGCGGAGGTGGGAGAGGAAAGGGAATTAATGTATAGGTAATGGGTTCCTGAGAAAATTGGACGCGGGGCACGTTAAGCTTGAAAGTGGGGGAGGGGAAGTTCACGTTCACATCGGGGGCCGAAAAGATGGGGAAGCTATCCGGATCATTTTTGCAGCCGTACGGATTTGCAGTGGATTTGTATTCAAATTATGGATTTGCTCATAGGTTGGTCCGTCGAGGGGTTGACTAGGAGTCCCGGATCATTGTTGCAGCCGTACAGATTTGCAGTGAGCTTGTAGGTATGTATTCAAAGCACGGATCTAAATCATTCTCGTAGGTTGATCCGTCGAGGGATTGACTGTGAGTTGGCAAGGCTGCGCCCCGACAGTCCGTAAGCTCTCTCTTCTTCTTCAGTGCAAGCGCTACAGATATTATATGCAGTGCAGGCATTTTAAGAACAGGAGCTATTGAGGGATTGACGTCAGCCACCATTCTGCCAAAGACGCTTATACTCGGCTGCCACAGATGTCTAGCAGTATTTGAACCGGCTTCCCCGGTCTGACTGATGGGAGCAGACATTCATCCTACCTACCTCTCACAAAAGAATGTCTTCCAGCCAAACACAGCAGTCGGACACCCGACAACTCCGACACGTTGCCGATAGACCAGCCAGCGAGAGCGATGACCCGGAACATAAATCCGACTATCAGTCTTCAGATGAGCCCAGCCTGAATCAGAATGAAGCGGAGCTCTCTCATTATCTTCATTACGAAGACAACGCCTGTTTCTTCGCACCGGACTGGCAGAACCGCTGTGCGATAGTAAGTCGAGCTCATACTGCGCATTCATAGGACTTCGGTATGTCGGCCATGGTCTTCATGCAGTTCTCTAAATGCTGGACTGAGACTAAGGACAGGATGTGGTGATCTCAGTGCATTCGGGCCAGGGCTTGGTGTAGGTGGACTTGAACGGCGACGAGAGGTAATAAGCGAGATACATTAGCACGGCGCTACTGCATGGTTAAGTTGTGGACTTGGGGCGTGTCATTTTGCGTTTTTTTAAAGTCGACTTCTCCTGGGATGATCTCGCTGGGTTGCCGCATGTTCCTTATCTCCTTACCTATTTATGCCTGCATGCGGAATGTTGGCAGCTGGAGATTCTCATGGCGATTCCCTCAATGTGCTTTTTCTAATTCTAAGTCGGCCTTAGTGGCCCCCGATTCTATGCCATCCTGGTTATCTTGTCTCGCAAGTGTCTGGCACATACGGTACTGAATTGATTGCCGTTATCTTCACTTTCCTCTTCGATTCCATGAACCTCGGCGCAACGGAGGATCCAGTTGACAGTGGGGATGCTGGACAAAACCATGACCACTCGACAAGTTTCTATTTGCTGAGTCGACCTGGGGAATCGGCTAGCCAGGCTGCCAGCCTGCTTCCTTGCTCTTTTCGGTAAGCTACGCTCTATGAGGTGATACCGGTAACGCTCCGGTGATGGCTGTCGCAGTGTCGCCTGCCACTTTTCCTCCCCACGCTTGTCAATCTATTCAAGTGCTTAGCTTCCCTTTTTTTTTTTTTTTTTTTTTTTTTTGTTTTTTTTTTTTTTTTTTTTTTTTTTTTTTTTCTCTCTGGGCTCTTTCTCCAACTGTCTTCTTCCAATTATCCTCCTTCTTCCTTTTGTTTGTACCATTCTTATTCAAATCAGCTCGTCGATTAGTACTTCCCCGCATCTACTGATCTCGAGCAATGTCTAGATCGGACCCGGCAAGCGCACCACCAGGGCCTCTACCCTATGGATCATCACCCGCCAATCGCTCCGATATAGCAACTGGCAATTTGACAAAACGGACCGTGAACCAGGGCGAATTCTCGGAAAAGGACGCAGTGATAGATAACCGCGAGGAGTCCATCGAGGAGGGGTCGAAGCCGGTCTATGACCATACACACCGGAGACTCAAACCTAGGCATGTTCAACTTATTGGCATCGGTGGTACAATCGGTACTGCATTGTATGTCCAGATTGGACAGACGTTGGCGAAAGGTGGTCCTGGGAGCCTCTTCATAGCTTACACATTATGGTGAGTCTCCTCGCGTTACTTCTTGCTCTCAATCCGGTCCCCATCTGGAGCATCCCATTAGGGTTGCGCACATTTACTTGTGAGATCAGAAATGAAACGGATTTGAAGCAATCCGAGCCTCCTGGGTCGTGGTTTTGCGGTCTACTAGCCGTTATCTTGACTGTGCTTGCATGGCTTTGCTGCCATCTATAAAGGCTTCAAAATCTTATACTTTTCTTACTTATAGGTGCACCGTTATATTATGTATAACTGTTTGTACGGAGCCCCCTTCCTATGAACCAACTTCCATCGCTGCCAGCAACAATAACTTCTCCCAAAGCGCCTGATGCAGATCTGCCCAATGCGCCATTACCCAGTTGCAGCCTTCGATCTACCTGATGGACGCAACGTCAATGTGGGCTAAATTACTAAAACGCGCGTACTAGGTCTGGCCGAGATGGTCACATACTTGCCGATTTCGTCCCCTTTTATCCGTTTTGCTGGGCGCTACGTTGATGATGCCTTTGGAGTCGCTGCTGGTTACAATTTCTTCGTCTTTGAAGCCGCCATGGTGCCTATGGAAGTTACGGGTAACTCATTTCTACCAATGGTCAAACTGAGCACGGCTAACGCCATCCAGCATGCAGCTTGCTTATACATTATTGGACAAACGCAATTCCTCTTGCAGCGATATTTGCTATTATACTCGTCCTCTTTGCGTGCGTCTTCCGAGGCGGAAACTCTTTATATACTAACTCCTGCCAGGTTTCTCAATGTTTTCGCTGTGAAATGGTATGGAGAATCTGAGTTCTGGCTCGCCTCTAGTAAAGTCCTACTCAGTGTGGGCTTAATTATATTCACGTTCATAACAATGCTGGGAGGCAATCCAATCAACGATCGATTTGGCTTTAGGTACTGGAACGAGCCCGGATCATTCGCGGAGCACTACAAGGAAGGTGACCTTGGAAGGTGGCTGGGTTTCCTCGCTTGCTTGATCAATGCCAGCTTTACGATTGCAGGACCGGATTACATTTCCATGGCTGCTGGTGAATCTGTCAATCCCCGAGGAAACCTACCGAAGGCGTACAATGGGATGTTCTACCGTCTCACTGCATTCTTCGTCCTTGGAGCGCTTTGCGTGGGGATCCTTGTCCCCTACAACGACAAGGCCATGTCCGATGCATTTGATAATGATGCACCTGGAGCCGCAGCATCACCGTATGTGATTGCAATGGACCGTCTCGGTATTCCCGTTCTGCCGCATATCGTCAACGCCATGATTCTTCTCGCGGTATTTAGTGCAGGCAACAGCTACGTTTATTGCGGCAGCAGAACCTTGTACGGGCTTGCCCTTGATGGTAAAGCCCCGCGGCTGTTCGCCAAGTGCACGAAATCCGGAGTCCCCATATACTGCGTGATAGCTGTGCTTCTGATTGGGCTCATCTCTTTCCTCCAAGTTTCGAACAGCGCATCAGTAGTACTGAACTGGATTATCAGCTTGGTATGTTGACCATCCTGAGACTGCACGAGATAATAACCTGACAAGGCTGCAGGTCACCGCATCGCAACTCATCAATTTCTCCGTCATTACATTTACATATACCCGTTTCCGCAAAGCCATCATCGCGCAGGGCATTTCACGCGAGTCTCTTCCATACAAAAGCTTAGGCCAGCCGTACGTTGCGTACGTTGCTCTGGTGTCGACAACGGTCATGGCATTTGTTGGTGGCTACGAGGTCTTCTTGCCAGGTAACTGGAATGTGCCAACGTTTCTGTTCTCGTACACGATGATCGGCGTTTTTCCTGTGATATACATCGGTTGGAAGCTCATCCACCGGACCTCTCTTCGGAAGCCGGAAGAAGTCGATCTCGTCACGGGCGTCGATGAGATTGAGGAGTATACAAGAAACTATGTACCAGAGCCAGCAAGGTGCGTTGATCCTGCCCGAATGCTTTCGATTACAGCCATCTAACAATATGCAGCAACCCCCTTTCAAGATTCGGTGACTGGCTGTTCAGTTAAACTGCCAAAATTAATGTCGTCCCAAACAATATCAAGCATCGAGAACATAAAGCTTTATGGTAGATTACGATAACGAATAAACGCTATGCATCCAGCCATTGTATTCATCATATACAGGTCTCGTAAAGTCACCACGCTTGCTTGCAATAACCATATCACAATTCATAATCCACGCGCTCTAGCATCCCCATTACCCTTGCAACAGGTACCTATATCCCACTTAATCCGCCTCCCCCCCTTCTTGTGTCTGACCGAGAGCTTGCCCCTGAGCCTTCAACTTGTCCATCCGCTCCTTATTCCTCTTACCCAGAACCCTCAGCGTATTCCGCCTCTCGATCTCCGTCATCTGCGCCCAATTCGCGATCCGCGCAAGCGTGCCATCTGTGTTAACGACTAGCGGGCCAAGGTGGTCTAACTTCACTCCATCACCGTTGACATCGAGTTGAGTGGTATCAGAAGCGAAGGATGCGTCGGGGAGTGCGAGGATGGGTTTCTTTTCAAAGCTCTGATCTTGCTCCTGGTTCTTGGGTTGTGATTGTTGTTCTGGGATGGAGTGCTGTGCGGACATTGTGGAGTAGTAGTGTGATGTTTTCGCGAGAGTTGCGTAGGAGTAGAGGTTTGTTGCGTGGCACTGAGCGAAGAGGTGTGATACGGGAGATTGGGATTTCGTTAGGGTGTTTGAGATAGTTATTTGTGAGGTTGATGTTGTTGTCGCTGTCGCTGTTCGGAGACCTAGCAGGAGGTTGAGGATGGTTGTTGCACGGGACATGCGCATGTTATGGCTTCTTTAATTCGGGGATATGATGAGTGTTGGGTCGAACTCGTGGTTGGGATGATGCAGGTGATCAAGATGGAGAAAGATGCTGTTCTGGAATTTTCTCCGCGGTGTCGGCCGGAGCTTGGACGTTCTAGAAGTGGGCAGAATCATGCACAGACGAATGGCGAACGATGCCTCAAGACCTGAGCTATTGAGAAGTTGGAATTTACCTTCTATTATAAAGCTACTTCAGATTTACAATTTTGATATTATTTATGGCTGCTGCAGAGACCAGATGCGATGTTATGTGGACGGCTATAAACTCAGATTCCGATATGTAATAGTTCAGCCTATGATCGGTCTGACTAACGGAACCACCAATTGACCTGGCAATATCAGCATGGCTACTACTGCGCGAGACAAACAACTTACTGAGGCCGTTACGCTTTCACCCATCCCCTTGATACTATGCCACCATCCTTTAGGGATGAATAGCCCATCGCCCGCCTCTAGCTCTGCCTCAAACCCTTCGTAGGCTTGTCCGGATGCATTCTTCACATTATTCCAAACAGCTTGTTCTAGCAAAGCCCTCTCCCGCCCCTGCATCATCTCCTCGCCCCGGAAAGTAGCCGCCTCTCTACCCCCGCTTCGGCCCAGCTGCCCTTGCACATACGAGAAAACTACCTGCCCGGCTCGCGGCGGTAGCAGCCGCACGGTCTTGTGTCCGGCAAGTTGGACAAACAAGTTGGGGTTCGGATCTCGGTGCAGAGGCGTGTAGGTTGGAGGATATCCGATCCAAATATTTGTATCATAGACATCGCCCTTCCCCGCTGTCGCTACTATTGGAGGCGTTGGGAAATCGTCGCGGAGGACTTGCGGAAGGTCAAGGAGTTGGCATTGCGCCAGGTATAGACGAGACTGGGCGTGCGATGAAGATTCAGCCTCGCGGATCCATCGGAGGAAGAGACTTAGCGGCGCGTGGAACTTGCGGAAGCTAAGTTCTGGATCGCTGCTCTCTATATTTTCGGAGTTCGATACGGATTGCTGCGATTGCGTGAGCTCCAGAGGAACGAGAGCCTCTGCGCCGTGCGCCGCCAGGTATTCGGTGTTCAGCTGCGAGGTGTTCTCCGTTGTGGAGTGGTGAAACCACCGCTCAAAGGCGGGAAGGTCGCCAAAGGATCGGCGTGGAAGAAGGGCAGGTTGCTCTGGGATAAAGTATCCCTCGCGAAATGCGTCTATGTTGGCATCTTGGAGGACCTCTAGGTGCTTGTAGTGGGAACGCGCGGAAGAATTGAGACCTCTGAGTTGACTGGAATGGGAGATGACTGCTGATGGCCATTGAGCTCGGACCCGAGCATTAGCGAAGATAAGCCATCTCTGGAGTTTCATTAGACAGCCGGCGTGCTTGTTGCGAGTCGTTGAAGGGATGGAATAATGAGGTAGATTGGCAAATTGAAGTTGGTCGATCCGGAGTTGGGTTTGAGGGCACGTGCTTCAGCACACCCCATATCTCCACATGCAGCATAAAACTTCAGAAGTCCATGGGTCCTGGGACGTGCTGGACTGCTGGTAAATTAATTGCAGAACAGGGCATTATGGTTATGAATCTCGGATTCCAACTTTAATCAATAGAATATGCAATTTCGTCCTGTGGGTAATGTATACCTATGTCATGGAGTAGCCCTGAATATGCGTCCATACTTCTGACCTCTTCGGACCCCAAAAAGCAATATTACTATATGGGACCTAGTCTCCATATGCATCATAGATATAGTTATAGACATACTACACTACAATTTAGTCAACGCGCGGAATAGACTATAGTCCATAGACATATTAGCAGAAGGCAGACACACTTTGATAGTTGGGGTCGTATATAGAGCCCAGCGTATTGCAGCTTACGCATGCTAGAGTCTAAAAGTAATTTGTTATATCCCAGCTGTTATTATTAGAGCAGCCGAAAGGAACGAGATGTCAGAGCTATATCCGGAGCGAGCACGCACCAGGGTGGATCTGGGGAGCGGACCTACCCCGCTGCGAGCAAGACCAAGTTGAACCAACCGTGGAATATCTCCGCACTTTCTCTTGACCTCCTACACGCCACCCCCGGATCAAATCATCCGAGCTGGACTGCAGTATGGACTCAGAACCGCCCCAGCTCGATGCCACCCGATCGCAGACCTCTCCCGGAGAACAAACAGACGCTCCGGCTGTTGACAGTGCAAAGAGGAAGGCGGAATTAGCCCCGGCCGGGCAGACGCGCTCAAAGAGAAATCGGTACATATCCATCGCCTGGTATGGCCCCTCCCCTCAACTCCTTTGCAGCTTTAGCTAAGAGGTCTCTAGCAATGAATGCAAGCGAAGGAAGATCAAATGTAATGGAAATCAGCCATGCAACCGATGCGGCCATCTCAAGCTAGAATGTTCGTCCCCGTCGAGATGATTGCTTGGTCCAACCGCTGACCAAACTCAGGCCGATACGCACCAAACTGTTGCAATAACAACTTCAAGGACTCCGAGTATGCTCTCTCAGCATTAATTACGGCGCTGCAACTAACAAAGAGGCTCATATAGGGAGTTTCGATCAATGAAAAATCAGATCTCCTCTCTGCAGGATCAAGTAACTAGCCTCTTCAGCAATATCAGTGAACTGCGCGCGCAAAGGACCAGCTTTGATACGCCATCCTTTGACAACTTCTCCCGTGATGGCTCACACATCTTTACGCCCATGCATCCTCCAACAGGCAAGCCTCGCCTGAAGCACGCTCGGTTTCATGGTCCTACCAGCTCGGCATTCAACTTTGACGTTGCTCGATCAAGCCTTCAACATATGGGCATTGCGCCTGTTGAAGAAGCCATACCAGATGATCTGACCACAGCCCATGCTACACCGGCGGGGTCACCTCCTCCTGTAGCAGCACTTAGTCAACCCATGCACCCGTCAAAAGACCCTATCTGGGCAATCAAGAAAGACGAAGCGTTACGGTTATGTCGGGTGTACGAGGAGGAGATTGGTATCATGTATCCACTTGTCGACATCGATCACGTCATCCAGCAAGTCACTTTACTTTATACCTTTATGGAGGCGGCAATGCGAACTGGACTCATGCACCGGGGTCTGGCAGGTGCAGATGGCCTTGAAGATGATAGCACGAGTTTGATCAAGCTCATCCTTGCTACTACCCTCATTGTTGAAGGTGGCGGGCGAAGCGAGCTCGGCCGACGGCTATATATGAATGTGAAGCCGGTTGTTGAGTCCAAGATATGGGATACGCTAGACGTCAAAACTATTCAGCTCTTAGGACTAATGGTTAGTATAATTTATCTTACTGTATAGACTCCCACTGATTGAACAGGCAACATATCACTTTCATACGGACGAGGATGCCTTGGCCTATCGGATCATCGGTGTGGCCTCCCGCATGTGCCTTGAGATGGGACTACATAGAAGGGACGCGCTGGCCAAGTACTTCCCTGATGAAGCACAGTGGCCAGAGATCGTCAGAATATTCTGGTCGATTTACTCTTTGGACCGACGGTGGAGTTTTGGTACGGGGTTGCCGTTCTCAATCCACGATGAGGATATAGACCAAATGGAACCGGTAAGATATCTCAACCTTCCTCAGTCGCTTTACTTATAGATCATAGGATCCATCATTACAGTACTTGCGTTGCATGATCACGTATAATCGCATCAGCTCGAAGGTTTGGTACTCCGGCTTGGGCTCAGATGGAGCAACAGACATACGTCGAGATGAGATCGGATACTTGGACTATCAGGTCCTTCAGTGGTATAAGCAGATCCCGGATTCTCTCAAGTTTTATCCGGCCGAATCCCCGAGGCAGGGTGAAACGGCAAGCCGAGGCATTCGAAGGTTGCGCATACTGTTGTATCTGCGTATGAATCAACTGCGGACTCTGATCTATCGGCCAGTTCTGCATTCAGCTGCTAGTATTGCCGAAGATAAGGGACATGCTCAGACGGTAGTGGATGTCGCTAAGGACACGGTTCGTATTCTCACCAGACTAAATCAAACCTCCGATATATACCGCACACAACAGATTACCTTCAATTACTTCCTCGTTGCCGCCTTGGCTGTTCTGTTCCTGGCCGTCTGTCATGCACCAAATGAGTTTAATCGCCAGGTACGGGACGAGTTCTACTTGGCGCTAGATCTTGTCAACGGATTCAGCACAAAGTCATATGTATCGAAACGCCTATGGAAGACAATCAAAGGCCTCAGACAAATTGGCGAGAGACTGGGCGTTCTTGCGCGGCCTTATGGACCAGACGTTAATGACCCGCACTCATCGGCGGCTGTTGCAATGGCTGGCTTGGCTGGCCATCCAATGGAAGATCTGTCAGTTTACGGGACTTTGAATGGGGTGGGTGAACTGGGCAATAGCCCTTTGAATGGGCTACAGATGAGCCATGAGCTCACAGCGCTGTTTGAGGCTGTGGGGGGCTTTGGAAACTTTATGGGCCCGACCACAGCCGATGGGATGAATGGTTTTATCGGTCACGAAGGTGAGCTTCAGAATACTGGAGAAGGACTGTCAGGCGTGCTGGGTGACGAAGGGGAATTTGCACGCGTGATACGCGACCTTTTCTGATCTACTACGACTGATGCTACTTGTACTGTGTTTTGGCAAGATACCCATTTTTCGCAACTTATTCGCTCAGGCTGTATAGTTCGTAGTACTGTCAGGCAGCAATCGAGCCCGAGGCATATAATATCACGTGATCGACCAGCCTCTTGCTCCTTGCCCTCTGGTAGTGTCTCAGCTGCTCATTCACTCCTCAGCAACACATCTCTGATGGCAATTTGAGTAATCAGTCTTCCTAATCTCGTCCATGTCCCAATTAGGCGACACTCTTGCATCTCCTTTGACATTATCGTGTCACACTCAACGTTGCCCACCGCCCCACGAGGCTAATTCGGAGGTCCGTCCAACCTCCGTCGATCGATCGCCTCACCAACCCGCAACGAAAAAATTCACCCCTCAACACACGTCTATCGCGCCCTTCCGTTAGATACCCGGAATTGAAGAAGTTGTATCTCCGGGCTTCTCTTTGTGTGGATTTTCGATCAGTGCTTAGTTCTGAGGTAGTTTAGCGGAGTATCGCGTCAACGCTCAGCCATCGCACAACAGCACCGGTCCCGCACATTGACATGACCCCTCGGCTTATCAGGAGGACACCATCACTCTTCTGACCGCACCAAGCCTGGCCCGCGATCATTTTCTCCGCTCTCTTCTATCAGACTTCTTCTTGCTCTCTTGCATCTCGATCTTCCCTGCTTAGATTAGGGTAGAGGAGAATCTGGAGTTCGAGACTCGTGGAAACAGGCTGTTGGTCTCCTGGTCTCCCACGGAGCGCTACTCGGCTTGATTTGTCGATTTTCTGATTGAATTCCAGCACCGTGTCGAGAGAAGTAGGCTCGGCGTTGGCCGACGGCCTCGATAGGCTGGATCTGAGTCAACTGTCTGAATCAACACCGTCCTCAACTGTCCCTTCCGACTCTTTCGATATGTCGTCGTCCGATGGCGCCCCGGAGTCATGGATCTCCTCGTTTTGTCAGCTCATGGGCCACGAGTTTTTCGCGGAGGTTTCAGAGGACTTTATCGAAGACGACTTCAACCTGACTGGGTTGCAGTCCCAGGTGCCGATGTACAAAGAAGCGTTGGAGATGATTTTGGACGTGGAACCGGAAGAGGACGAAGATGAAGAGGAGGACGAGGACGAGGACGAAGACGAGGACGAGATACTCGGTGATGAAAAACCGCCCGGCTATCGAAGAGAACGCAGGCACACGAGGGTTGCAAGCGATTTGAGTGTGATTGAGAGCTCGGCAGAGCTGCTCTACGGTTTGATCCACCAACGGTACATTACCTCACGGCCCGGCATCCAGCAGATGCTGGAGAAGTACGAGCTGCAGCATTTCGGCGTCTGCCCGCGAGTGTACTGTAATGGATGCAGAGTGCTCCCCGTGGGCCGTTCCGACACGCCAGGCCAAGAGACCGTGAAACTCTTCTGCCCAAGTTGCCAGGATCTTTATACGCCCCCCAACAGCCGCTTCCACTCGGTTGATGGTGCCTTCTTCGGCACCACATTCGGTTGCTTATTCTTCATGACGTTCCCGGATCTGGAGATCGGACCTCGTTTCGATGCTCCCTTATCTACTCTCTCACCGACGCGCTCAGCCTCTTTCCCCTCGACTGCCACAACTACGACCACTACTTCAGCGGGTACGAGCAACCAGGCCACATCTGACATACCTCGTCCTGTGTATCCGATAGAGCTCAATGGCATGCGGACAGTCAACTTCTGCCCCGGTCTGGGAGAAGGCAGATTGTACGAGTCGCGCATCTACGGTTTCCGAGTTTCAGAGCGATCGAGGTCTGGTCCACGCATGAAGTGGTTGCGAATGAAGCCGGCAGATATCCTTGAGCTGGACGAGATGTCTTACTTCAAGACGTTACAAAATCACGATGATGACGGGGACGCAGATATGGGAGAGGACAAGGCGCAAAATGCTGACTCAGCTATTGCTCAACGGAAGAAGGCTCCGATGCGGCGGCGACGGTACAACCCAGATCAAATGAACATAAACGGGGTGGAGGGGTGATTCATTCGTTGCTTCGAGTACTGCATCATGTCTACATACCGTTTTCTTCCTTGCAGGTTAACTACGAACACAGTTCTATTCTGCATCCCCTTTCTTTTCATGCTACTTTCTCCAGTCCAGTGTTTTGTGCTTTCAAACCGCATCGAGGCGTCTTGCGTCAACTTTAACCATAATCAATACATGAGCAGAAACCTGGCACAGAGCGCAAATATCATGGACGTAAACCATATGCGATTTTGGTCACATCTTCCATTGTTGTATATTATGCATGGGGCAGATTATCCCTCCGTTCTTTCCACTACGCCTCACATGAGTATCCTCGTAGCCGTCTGATGTTGATCAGGAAGCTGAACAGCCTACCGAGGCGAGGTGAGTAGTACCTTCCCAGACGCAGACGGGCACATTCGCGGGCTCCTGTCATCCAGAATAACCTTCACTATCTTCTGGTGTTCCCACGCCCAAGAAAGCATCTCCTGCTGCATTAAGTGCTTGCATTTCCCATTACCCTCGTCTGACCCAAGAGCACTAGTTGACCTCAATACATGGGCATCGCTGTATTGAGACTTGGACGAGGTTACACGATACGCTGGCGCAGATTGAGCGCAGACAGGCACAGTCCCTGCTTGGTTGGCAACTCTCATGGCGTATGTCATGGCGTCCTACTTGATTTGCCCAATACCCGCTGCGTTGCACATCATCGCCAATGGCTGACTGAGCTGTATTTGTTGTTGCTCGAGTTCAAGTAGCCAGAATCTACATGCAGAAAGACGTGAATCAGACACTTGATCTCGCAAGCAGGATAGAGAAGGTGCCAGCTGAGGCAAAGGCAAAGCTCGACAACAATCCAACTTCGTCCAAACTTTCACACGTCTCTAACAGCGGTTGCTGATATCATAATCGAGTCCTTGACTCGTTTAACCGGACGAGAATGGGCATACTGTTGTAAACTTCTTTTGAAGCTTTGTTTCAGTGAACAAGGAAGTCTTTCATACTTGTTGCAGTTTTGGGCAGCACCAGCAAGATTGTATCTGGTGAAGTGTTGTTCCATACTGCCATCTATCAGTCTTGGAGTTGCAAATATATTAACGCAAGGAATTTGATCTCGAGGTCAAGGGTTGCTGCGCGAGGATGATGAAATATAAATTTGCACTAATCTCAAGACCACTGTGTGCTACTTTCTATAGATTGTGTCCATCTGCGACAAAGAAGCCCGGCCATGCTCAACAAGCCTTGGGCAATGGTATGAACAGTACAGCCAATACAAGTTTGAAAAGGCAGGCCCAGTACAATTAAAAGACATTTCTCAACACTGGACTGTTTATTATAAACAATGTGCGTTGTGTTTTGAACCTCTGTCGCCGCCTTGGTGCAGGATTTTGGCCATGGCCCATCAGGCTAGGACTTGCAAAAGTACCATCGCCCTTGTGGTAGTAGGTTTCATAGCCGTGGCAGTTCCGTTAGCACAGACACAATTAGCAGCCATTATTGACGCAAGATCAAACTTAACCAAGCTAGATAAAGCGATTATCGCTGGGCAGCCGGGCAAATCCTCTGTTGGTCCCACGAGGCTGAGGCTCACTTGTTACTGGGACGCTCGCATTATCACGCCAACAATTGGTCTTTACCCCCTTGATGGCTGTACTTGGTACGGAATAGGCTATGGACATTCTTGGCCCAACCTTCCCCCGCGATGCGTGCGTATTATGCTGCGGAGCACAGTCCGGTCTGAGCCGTGTCCACTGTCCATTCATTCACGAAAGGCAGACAACACGTCGCTGTGTGCCTGGGCCCTGACCTGGAGTCTGGTGTCTGGTGTCTGAAATCTAGCATCTTTTTGACATGATAGTCGAAGGGCGATCTCCATGACCTTGGCGATGGGAAAGGGGGTCCAGCTCGGCGCTCGCAAGATAATTCCGTCAGTGTGGGCTGAAGTAAGCCATAATCTTCAGGCTGGCTGACGGGTGATCACTTCCATCCACCGTGCTTAATCTCTGTTTCTCCCCCCGTCCATCGGGTTCCTCGGATTATACGAGCCAGCAAGTCACAACCCTCCAAACAAAGCTCGGGTTTCGCCGGCCCCGTTCGGCCCCAGCGTCCATTTCCATTCTTTGACAGAGGCCATCCTGGACGCGCGATCAAATGACCGATCATTATTGATCAACAATTCATCTAAACGGCATAATTCAAAGCTCCGTTCCGCAATACTACTCCGACACAAATTCAAGGGCAGAGGCCCAGACGGAGCCGGAATGTTTGGGGCTTGCCGATCAGACTCCCACGCTTTCAATTGTGATTGTTATTCATGAATCCACGCCTCGCGCCATGGCTTGATAAGCCTTGGTCTCTTGACCGGCTGGCTTCCTCCGAGCCTCAAGGTTGGGGTCTGGAACTAGCCTACGGAGTAGTCTACCTGTCATTATTGATTACTCTTCTCAGCTCAGCACCTAATTTCTACCTACGTGACTGATCTGCGAGCTCGGGCTTGACGTCTGTGGCTGTGATCAGGGAGAAGTATGCGCGTTCGCAAGCTCGTCAGCCTGAGATGCTGCACAATCGCCCAGTTAGGTATTTGACAGCGCCAGCTGCACCTGGGCACAGAACTCCGTACTCCGTAAACGTATACTGCAAAGTATTCGCATAGGGCAAGATGCGTTACGGCACGCCCGAGGCGCAGCATCGCGTTGGCGTTCGCGTTCCCAAGCGAAACCCCTGCCGCAGTTTACAGCACAGCAATAGGCACAGCAATAGGCTATTAGTATCACACCCTCGTGCGCGGACGCGAACGCGAGCGTAGAGTCCGAGTCCGACCCCGACCCGACACTAGGCAGCCGATTAGAAATCATTATATTAATATCAGTTATGATGATTAGCATATTATTGCCAATCATTCATGAAACTTCGACGGCGCGAGCCCTGGGGCTGGAATCCTGGACAAGGCTGGAACCTGGGCTTCAGAATGCTGAAACAAACGGGGACGAGCCTGGGCGACGAACTCAATACCCGAATAAGTTAATGCCACGCTGCCGGGATTATACGAGCTGCGGCCGCCCCTTCCTTAGCCTGATTTCCATTGTCCGCGGCAGTCTAGTCAGGGACTCAGGGCTCTGAATCTGGAGCCTGGAGTCATCTATTATGGGAGCGCGTATTCTGGCGACAGACCCACCGGCTCCAAGGGCCACCATGCCTAAAAGGGACTATATTCGCATTTATATAATAATATATATATAAACTATAATAATACTTTTATAAAGTATTAAAGGCCTTTGCAAAATATACTTTAAAATTACTAAGTTATATAATAAGGTACAGGTATATTAATTTATATAAAAAACCTTATATAAATTAATATACCCGTACCTTATTAGTAAACTTAATAAAAAAGACCTTTAAGAACTTATTTTAAAGTTATTTTAAGGCATAGTAAACACGTTTTTTAACTATAGCTTAGTATTAAATTTGCAGCAAAGCTTTAACACGCTGGTACTTAAATTTTTATAGGAAATTATATATAAATTAAAGTATTTATATTTATAAAGCTTTTTAGTTTATTTATAAAATATTAGGCTAAAAATAAGGCTGCTAACGCACTAGTACTTAAATTTTTATAGGGAATTATATATAATTTAAAGTACTTATATTTATAAAGCTATTTAGAGGTTTATCCACGTGGTGTTTAGCTAAAAATAAGGCTATTAATATATTAGTAAGGCTATTAACATGCTAGTACTTGGTTTTTTATAAAAAATTATATATAATTTAAAGTACTTATATTTATAAAGCTATTTGGAGGTCTATTCGCGTGGTGTTTAGCTAAAAATAAGGCTATTAATATATTAGTAAGGCTATTAGCATGTTAATAAGGCTGTTAATATACTAGTACTTAATTTTTTATAAAAAATTATATATAATTTAAAGTACCTATATTTATAAAGCTATTTAAAAATCTATTTACATGGTGTTTAGCTAAAAATAAGGCTGTTAGCATATTAGTAAGGTTATTAACATGTTAATAAGGTTATTAACATGCTAGTACTTGGTTTTTTATAAAAAATTATATATAATTTAAAGTACCTATATTTATAAAGCTATTTAAAGGTCTATCCACGTGGTATTTAACTAAAAATAAGGTTATTAATATGTTAGTAAGGCTATTAACATGCTAGTACTTTATTTTTTATAAAAAATTATATATAAATTAAAGTACCTGTATTTGTAAAGCTATTTAAAGGTTTATTTGTTATCACCACTATGGTGTTGTAACTGCGCAGTGTTGCAATAACGCAATCCGGCGGCCTGAGGCCACCTAATAAAGAAACTTTAGCACTAATCTAACCACGCGCTAAGGCGGCGGTTAATTATATAATATATAAAATATTAAGTTTAACTTAAAATTTTAACTTAAAAAATTAGTAATTAGTTTTTACTATAAATATATAACACTTTTTTATTATAGTAATTTATATTTTTTTAAGCTTAGTATAGTATATAAAAGCGCCTTATAGTTTTAATTACTCTTTTTTTTAAGAAAAAACCTATTTTATATAATAGCTAAGTAGTAAACTTAATTTTAGGGGCTAGTAAATAAAGCTTTAAAAAAGTAATTATAAATCCTAACTTAATAACTAACTAACATGCCTAAAAAAAAATTTATAAACTTTTAACTAAAAAAACCTTAGGGCACCCCTGTAAATAAAAACTAAATTATATAAAAAATATTAAAATATAAAATATTTACTTAGGAATATAAAAATAAAAGTAATAAAAAAACTACCAAGAAACTATAGGTAATATTAAATATAATTTTAGTAAAAAAAAAGGAATTACAGGAACAAGAACACCATAAAAAAAAAAAATATTAATAAATCCATGCCTAAATTAAAAAGGCACGCTAGTAAATTATAATAATTAAAGCTAATTAATAAATATATAATACCCTTATTTAATTTATTAAATAATTAATAATTTCCTATTAAATAGACTTTAATACCCTTATAAATCTT